CGTCGCTCTCCCTAGTGCTCGTCGCACTCACTTCCGCCGTCGCCCTCCCTTCCGCCCGTCACCTTCCCTTCCGCCCGTCGCACTCACTTCCGCCGTCGCCATCCCCCTTGCGCCTGTCGCCCGTCGCCATGCCTTCCGCCCGTCACCCTCCCTTCCGCCGTCGCCATCCCTTCCGCCCGTCACCCTCCCTTCCGCCGTCGCCATCCCTTCCGCCCGTCACCCTCCCTTCCGCCGTCGCCATCCCTTCCGCCCGTCACCCTCCCTTCCGCCGTCGCCATCCCTTCGTCTCGTCGCCCTCCCTTCCTCCCATTGGTCTCCCGACCACCCGCCGCCCTACCTTCCCCTCGTCGCGCTCCCTTCCGCCCGTTGCCCCCCTTTGTCTCGTCACGCACCCTGCTGCTCATCGCCCTCCCTCCCGCTCGTCCCCTCGCAATCCCCGTATCTCTCTCCCCTCGTCGCCCTGGCATTCCCGTCACTGTCGCCATCCCTCCCATCTCCCTTCCCAACTCATTTGGACCAGTCACGCCCCCTTTCCAACCCACACACACGGTAGCGCTTCCCCTAATGATCGCCTTTCACCTCCACACCATTTACCTCTCTCCTTCCCCATGTCCCCTTCCCTGCTTCCCCCCCATCCCCTTCCGTGCTTCCCCGTGTCCCTTCCCTACTTCCGCCCATCCCCTTCCCTGCTTCCCCCCATCCCCTTCCCTGCCTCCCCCAACCCCCTTTCCTGCTTTCCCGTGTCCCCTTCTCTGCTTCCCCCCATCCCCCTCCCTGCTTCCCCATGTCCCTTTCCCTGATTCCCCCCATCCCCTTCCCTTATATTCCCCCATCCCCTTCCCTGCTTCCCCCCATCCCCTTCCCTGCTTCCCCCCATCCCCTTCCCTGCTTCCCCCCATCCCCTTCCCTGCTTCCCCCCATCCCCTTCCCTGCTTCCCCCCATCCCCTTCCCTGCTTCCCCCCATCCCCTTCCCTGCTTCCCCCCATCCCCTTCCCTGCTTCCCCCCATCCCCTTCCCTGCTTTCCCCCATCCTCTACCCTGCTTCCCCCCATCCCCTTCCCTGCTTCCCCCCATCCCCTTCCCTGCTTCCCCCCATCCCCTTCCCTGCTTCCCCCCATCCCCTTCCCTGCTTCCCCCCATCCCCTTCCCTGCTTCCCCCCATCCCCTTCCCTGATTTCCCCCATCCCCTTCCCTGCTTTCCCCCATCCCCTTCCCTGCTTTCCCCCATCCCCTTCCCTGCTTTTCCCCATCCCCTTCCCTGCTTTCCCCCATCCCCTTCCCTGCTTTCCCATGTGCATTTCGACATACCAACGCAGGCCCTATCGCTCTTCCACTCACTATACTCTCTCCCCATTCCCTCCCCCTTTGCTCCTCTTCTTCCGCGCGGCAGGCCATCGAAGCACCAAATCCAGCAGATCTTTGACTGGATCTGCCTTGCTATGAACCCGCCACCGCCTCTCCGCCCCCTATGCACTTCGGCGGGTTCTGTGAGATGCCTTCTCTTCTGGTGGAGCTGTGAGGCAGCCTCCTGTCGAGACTGCCTTCAGCCTCCCCTGCTGCCCCATACTTGGAAGCTGCTCTGCCTGACAGCCAACACTATGCTGGCAAGGAGTTGAAGTTGGATCATGGGGCAGTCTCTCGCCTGCCAGCATGCCACAGGCACTCTTAGGGCACTCTAGCGGCTGTGAGATATGAAGAAGCCGGGGTTATCTGGCCGTAGGGATCGACTTGTGGATTGTGCTATGTGATGCGCAGGAGGCTTTTAGGTACAAGGGTCTACCTGTGATGATAGTGGGGTGTATTTTGTATGCCCATATCTCAGTGCTTATCCGAGTTCTTCTTCGTGATGCAACATATGAATACCGGAACTACTACGGTTGCTGCTGACGTTTTTGATTATGCAATTGGCTTGGCAGCCTGGTGAGTGCAGCACTTCTAAGGTAACAGACGAGGATTCTCACAAATACCGTAATAAGAGATGAAGTAAGCACAAAGAATGTACATAGGTGTGTAAGTAGCACAGCAGCATGAGGTGACCGTTGAGGGCCCACAGAGATTGCAGTGGGGAGAACACCGCTCATGCTGTAATGTATGTGCATGACGCCGCACAGAACCGGCACGCTCACTGCCACGTCAGCATGCATGCCGGCGACTGCTGATATGGCAGCAGTGGCACCGGAAGGGGCAGCGGCGACGGCGGCGAGGGTGAGCGGCAGCCAGTCGTGGTAGAATTGGCGCAGCAGCCGGTCCGCCTCGCCCACCACCTGATGGGGGCAAGAGGGCATGCAGACGGTGCAGGGGGTGCACGGAGGGACTCATGGGGAGGCATGGGGAGGCATGGGGAGGCATGGGGAGGCATGGGGAGGCATGGGGAGGCATGGGGAGGCATGGGGGGGCATGGGGAGGCATGGGGAGGCATGGGGGGGCATGGGGAGGCATGGGGAGGCCGAGGGACAGAGGGGGCGCAGCGGGCACAGGGTGAGGGTGAGGGGCAGTCAATTATGGTATGATTGGCACAGCAAGCGGCATGCCTCGTCCACCACCTGATGGGCACAGGGCTGCGCATAGGGGACCAGGGGACAGAGAAGCACAGAGAGAATGTGAAGTCCCTGCACAGGGGGAAGCAGAGGGGAAAACAAGGGGAAGCAGAGGGGAAAACAAGGGGAAGCAGAGGGGAAAACAAGGGGAAGCAGAGGGGAAAACAAGGGGAAGCAGAGGGGAAAACAAGGGGAAGCAGAGGGGAAAAGAAGGGGAAGCAGAGGGGAAAACAAGGGGAAGCAGAGGGGAAAACAAGGGGAAGCAGAGGGGAAAACAAGGGGAAGCAGAGGGGAAAACACGGGGAAGCAGAGGGGAAAACAAGGGGAAGCAGAGGGGAAAACAAGGGGAAGCAGAGGGGAAAACAAGGGGAAGCAGAGGGGAAAAGAAGGGGAAGCAGAGGGGAGAACAAGGGGAAGCAGAGGGGAGAACAAGGGGAAGCGGAGGGGAAAACAAGGGGAAGCAGGGGGGAAAACAAGAGGAATCGGAGGAGGGAATTTGGAGAAGCGGAGGGGGGAATGAGGAGAAGAGGAGGGGGGAACGAGTAGAAGCGGAGGCGGGAAGGAGGGAAAGCGGAGGAGGGAATGAGGAGAAGCGGGGGCAGAAATGAGGAGAAGGGGAGAGGGAAATGAGGGGAAGCAGCGGGGGAACTGAGGGTAAGCAGGGGGGGGAACGAAGGGGAAGCAAGGGGGGAACAATGAGAGCAGAGGGGGGAACGTGGGGAAGCAGTGGGGTAAATACGGGGAAGCTGGGGCGGACATGAGGGGAGGCAAAAGGAGAAATTAGGTGAAGCAGGCGGGTAAAAAAAGGTAAATCAGGGGGGGGGGGGGGGGGATAGGGGAAGCAGAGGGGAAACAAGGGGAAGCAGAGGGGAAAACGAGAGGAAGCAGGGGAGTAAATGAGGGAAGAAAAGGGGGGAACGAGGGGAAGCATGTCAGAGGTCCACTGGTGATCCCCGATGATCCTAGGGAAGGGTTACAGGCACGTTGGCCTGGGGGGTTATGGGCGCACTCACCCGCTACACAAACAAGCCTTTTTATCCCAGTGGTTAGTGGCTGGGATTCTGACATGGTATCAGAGCGAAGGTCTCGGGTTCGAATCCCGGTGTGTGCACCTCGGGCATCCCAGTGCGGGGGGGTGTCAGAGGTCCACTGGTGATCCCCGATTGATCATAGGGAAGGGTTACAGGCACGTTGGCCTGAGGGGTTATGGGCGCACTCACCCGCTACACAAACAAGCCCTTTTATCCCAGTGGTTAGTGACTGGGATTCTGACAAAGCAAACGGAATAGAGGGGAAGTTAACAAGAGGGAATGGAAAGGCAAGGAAGCGAGGACAAGGGATGGGCGGGTGGGAGAAGGGCAGCGGGAGTGGAGGCGCGAGGAGGGGCAGCGCGACGAGGGTGCTGGCGCGCTGATGGCAGGGGAGGCGCGGCGAGGCGAGCGGAGGCGCGACGAGGGGAGCCAAGGCGCGGTGAGGCAAGCGGAGGCGCGGCGAGGCGAGCGGAAGCGCGGCGAGGCGAGCGGAAGCGCGGCGAGGCGAGCGGAGCCGCGACGAGGCGAGCGGAGGCGCGACGAGGTGAGCGGAGACGCGACGAGGGGAGGCTCCTAGAAACGAGCGGGCTTGACGACGGGACAGGGGGCGCGGCGATAAGAGACGCAACTACGGGAGGCGAGGCACAAAATCATTGTGTATGCGCGGGTGAAGTTCCTAAATTCTGCGTATTTCACTGTGCTACGATGCGCTATCGGGAAGTTTTCTGGCTAGTACTAACACAAGACTTGTGAGGTTGGCTACTCATTTGGTTGGTTGGGTTGGTTTGTCGCACACTCATACCGATATTGAGTGACGAATTCCCAATCCCCTCGCAGCCTGATCTCGCTTTCGCCCCGCCCATATTCCCGAAAAGAACTTTTTTGCTTTTCGCCAACACGTTTAAAGCCCTTACAGAAAATTTGCCAAAAACCATGCTGACCTTGGGCTTTAAAGCGACGGTGCACATTTGGCACCCGAAACCCTAAACCCTGGCGAGTTGTTAATGTGGAAGAAAAGTGACCACGCGAAATCCAAGTTTTCGCCTGCCAACACTTTCGTGCTGGCAAGCCTGGTTCAGAAAAAAAAAAACTTCTGAACCTCCCGCTGGATCCTGTGGCTTCTCATAATCTACAATCCTCCCAGTTTGCTACAACATTGGAAGTCATGCTCATGTCACAACCATCCAGCCACACTGCAGCACCACCAGTCTAGCATCCCTCGACGATGGCCATCAACCCTCAACTCTAGCATGATATAGAGGCCTACTCTAAAGGCAATTCTGAGGTGCCTAAGCAAATGTGTTGGCCATCTGAGCACCACGTACATAATGCCTAGAGCTTTGTAGGTGAACGGGAGCTGGGCTTGTCTAAGCGGGCAACACTAGAGACAATTTTTAGGTACCGTGTCTTGGGCAGCACATATATCATGATTCAAGCTTCGTAGGAGAAGGGAAGCTTGAGCTCGTTTAGGTTTGCGACACCAGAGGCGGGTTTGCCAGGCTCGTATGACCCCATGGCTGCTGCTGCATCGGGCCGATCCAAGGTAGCCCCTGCACTGCCCTCCCCTGCAGGGTATGGGTGGTACCAGTCGCCGGGTTGCCTCAGGATGAAGCGTGCCTCTGGTTGAAGAGAGAGAGGGGTGAGGAGGGGTTGGGAGGGGTAAGGGTGGTGTGGGAGGGATGATGGGAGACAGGGGGGAGAGATGAGGGTGAATGGAGGAGCTTGGTCAGTATGTGGGATACTACTACGTGAAGAGAGCATATGTGCAACTATGGTTGGAGGCATGAGAAAGGACATGACAACAATCGATTGCAGCCAAAACCTGAGACATCAGCATACCTGCGACAACGAGCATGATGCAAATATCACCTGAGGCAAAGAGCATCCGAGGCAAAGAGCATCCGAGGCAAAGAGCATCCGAGGCAAAGAGCATCTGAGGCAAAGAGCATCCGAGGCAAAGGGCACCTGATACAAAGACATTGGCGTAGGCATCATCGTCATAGATGAGCTCGGGCGGGTCTGGGTGCCCCACTCCCACTATGGTGCTCCCACTGCCACCACTCATGTGCATGGGTGAGGTGGGTAGGGTTGAAAGGAGATTTCAGAAAATAGGGTACGTGAGGAGAAGGGAGGCGTATTAAGTGAGAGGAGTGACAGGAAGTGTGGATGGCAAGGACGAAAGACATTCATCCCATGGCTTGGTATGGCTTGGCATGGCATGGCATGGCATGGCATGCATTGGGGCCGTACGGGAGTGAGGATGGTACCGCATGGAACATCACGGATGGCTCAGTGCAGCATGGCATGGCAGAAGCGGCAAGTGCACCCCCTGAGTCAGCTAGGGAATATGGCGTGAGTGCATTCCCGCCTGCTGGACATAAAGACTGCGGATAGCGGCCTCTTTTGAAATTTCTCGAAAGCCTCACCTGCCGGACATGAAGACAGCTGAGTAGCGGCCTCGACCAGCAGTTGCCACTCTCGTCTTGAACGACTTGAGCGATGGCAGCACCTCAAACGCCGGGGGCTCTGCTAGGGTGGAGGGCGGAGGAAGGATGAATGGGGGAGCAAGGGAGAGGGGAGGCGGGATGGAGGGAGGAGAGAGGGGGGACAGAGCGGGGAGGGAGGGAGGGTGAGATGGGATGGAGGACTGAAGGAGAAGGAGAGATGAAGACGGACTGGAGTGGAAGGCACGGATCAAGAAGCCTTGTTGCTGGCATGCATGAATCAATGCTCGCATGGATTGATGTTCGCATGCATGGATGCTTGGTGCATCGCTGCATGGTTGTGTGGATGCATGGTTGCAGGGCGATACACGGTGACACATGTGAGTAGATAGCACAGCACGCACCGAGGTCATTGACACATGTGGCCTCGGTGATGCCCTCCTGCCGCACCCACTCTTGAACTTTCCCAAAAGTGATTTCAATGCAGTGCCGCACGCACTCACTCTTGCAGAGACGCATGCGAGGAGAGGGGATACGCACCGAGGTCGTTGACACACGTGGCCTGGGTGATGCCCTCCTGCCGCACTCGCTCCAGCAGCACTCCCGGATCCTCCTTGCTCGCCCTGTCCAGACGAAACTTCTGCACAGCGGCGCGGGCACGGCAGTGCACAGAGAGAGGCCATTTTTAGATGGAAGGTCATAAAGAGGAAGCAGACAGAAGGAGGTGGAGATGGTACAGATGCTGAAGTGAGAATATTTGGTTTGAATTGTCATCATTCCATGCCATTGCCTAACCACACCATCATGTGCCACGTCATGCCAGGCCATGTTGTTAGAAACAATAGGAGTGGGGCCTAGGCTTAGTAGCCTAGGCCCACACTAGGAGGTAGTAGGTTGTGCCCTAGGACTAGGGTTTGTGGTATACGAAGGAGAATTGGAGAAGTGAGAATGGGAATGATGATGTGAACTAGCAAGCAGCAGGATACATATAGGAAACCCTAAGGGGTTGTACTCACTATTGAGCACCCCACTGCAGGCTAGACAAATAACATAATCTGACACATGTGCCATGCCACACTGCACAGCATGCATGGCACACACGCACGCACGCACGCACGCACGCACGCACACACGCGCACACGCACCCTGTAGACGTCAGCAGTGGAGCAGGCTTCAGGCGGCTTCATGAGCACCAGGGGCAGGTCGAGAGGCAGAATGGGCGTCACGTCCTCCACTATCTGCTCCTCATGGCGAGAGGAGGAGGGAGAGGAGAGGGAGAGGGAGAGGGAGAGGGAGAGGGAGAGCGAGAAGGAGAGGGAGAGGGAGAGGGAGAGGGAGAGGGAGAGGGAGGGAGAGGGAGAGGGGAGGGAGAGGGAGAGGAAGAACACGAGATCACTATTACGAATGATAAGGGCCGACTGAGCAAGGAGGAAATCGAGCGGATGGTGGAGGAAGTGGAGAAGTGGAAGGGCCCGGTTTCGTTGGCCTCTTCTGTAAAAGTTGTAGTTTTGCGCCGAGAGAGGAAGGTTCGCGATAGAAGAGCACAGAAGCCCAAGGGTGACGTGGACGGAGGGTGTCGTGGAGTAGGAAAGGAAACGGGTGTTTTTTAGAATTCTCAAAACACCCTTCAGCGTCATGCAGTAGGGGAGACGGGATGAGAGGCAATGCGGGATGAAACAAGGGGAGGGGTAGAGCCATCTCCTCGCCCCTCTCGTTTACCCACGCACACGCACGCACCTCCCCGCGGCCAGTGCAGTAGGCGGCGCCCTGGGAGAAGAAGAAGGAGATGTCGGACCCGATGTCCGCCGACCACTCCAGCAGATATAAGAGGCGATTGTGGTACGAATTCCCCATCTCACATAACAGTTGTACTCAACCCCCTCTCCACATCTTATTCCTCACTGCCGTTGCCTTGTCCCTCCTCTTTATCCCCTACCTCTCACGTCCCCCCTCCCCACCTTACCGCCCCTCTTCTCCCTAAACGCACCTCCCCGCGGCCAGTGCAGTAGGCGGCGCCCTGGGAGAAGAAGAAGGAGATGTCGGACCCGATGTCCGCCGACCACTCCAGCAGATGCGAGGGGGGCTTGTGGCACGTCTTACCAATCTCACATCCCACACACCAGCTGTTCTCACCCCCACTCCGTCTCTTCTTCCATACTTCACACTGTTGCCCTGCCCGTCCTCTCTATCCCCAAGCTTTGCATCCCCTCTCTTCCGCTCCCCTATTCCTCTCTGCCTTCTAGGTTCCCCAATTCCACCCACGCACGCACCTCCCCGCGGCCGGTACAGTAAGCAGCACCCTGGGAGAAGAAGAAGGAGATATCGGACCCGATGTCCGCCGACCACTCCAGCAGATCCGCCTCGCTCGCCACGTTGCCGCACATCCTGTTCGCTGCCCACAGCGCCGTTGCTGCGTTGCCGCTGCCGCCACCCAGCCCGGCTCCTGTGGGCACCTTCTTGTCCAGATGCACCTGGGAGGGCAGCAACAGCAGCGGGGCGAGCGGAGGGGTTGGGGGGGTGACATCTGAGTCAGATGATCAAATTAAAAGTCACCTCGCCACCCAGCCCAGCTCCTGTGGGCGCCTTCTTGTCGAGATGCACTGGGAGGGACAAGAGCAGCGATGGGGGAGAATTTTGAGGCACCTCGAACAAACATTGGAAGTGCATGAATGGAAGAGTATGGCAGAGCGAGGGAGAGCATGGGGGAGCAAGGAGGGGTACGGGGGAACGAGGGGGGGGGGGGCATAGCGAGGGGGAGCTTGGTGGGAGCGAGGGGGAGCGAGGGATTGGAGTGAAGCGGCTCACCCAGAAGTACTTTTGGATTCCTGTTTTGCGGCGGAAGAGGTCCAGTGCCTTGATGACCTGCCACGGTGGCGGGGAGAGGAGAGCGGTAGGGAGGGGGATGAAGGCAGGATGAAGGCAGGATGATGGCAGGATGAAGGCAGGATGATGGCAGGATGAAGGCAGGATGATGGCAGGATGAAGGCAGGATGATGGCAGGGAGGGTAGAGGCGGAAAGGGTGCATTGAGATACGGGATGGTGCAAGGCAAAGGGAGAATGTCAAGAGAAGCGAGGTAGAGCAGGACACGTGTGTAGGTGTGCTCGTGCTGGCATGCAAACAGTCATACGGGTAACGCAGGGCAAGAAGGGCAAGCAGGGGCGTGGAGAGGACGGGCTGAGGGGCGTACGAGGTTGGAGGAGTCGAGAGGCACGCCCGGTGCGTTGGTGGTGAGGGCGTCACGGGTGTTGGAGGGCGAGAAGGAGAACTTGAGCGTGTCGCCCAGACTGATCGCCTGGGGGGGCGTGGCCATGGGAGCAAGGCAGGGGATGGGGATGGAGAAGGGATAGGGATGGTAAGGGGAACATCTGGTGTGAGAAAAGAACTTGAGTGTGTCCCCCAGACTGATTGCCTGGGGGGGCGTGGCGCCAGTCGCAAAGGGTGGCGTGAAGGTATCGGGTCAGTTAGGAAACAAGCGTGAGGTTTGAGTGAGTGAGTGTGAGTGTGTGTGTAGCGCATGACAAGGAGAAAAATGGAGTCTGTTTTGCACAGGCAGGCAGGAGCATGGACGAGCGGGAGGCAGGAGGCAGGAGGCAGGTGTGGGAGAAGGAGAAGGAGAAGGAGAAGGAGAAGGAGAAGGAGAAGGAGAAGGAGAAGGAGAAGGAGAAGGAGAAGGAGAAGGAGAAGGAGAAGGAGAAGGAGCTCACATGGAAGAGCGAGGCGAGCTCGTGATAGCCGTCGGGGCGCTTGCGTGTGATGCGCAGAAACACGTTCACCTGCGGTGGTGGGTGGGGTAGGGAGGATGTGGTGTGGGTGTGGGCCGTGGCACGTGCAGAAGCGGGGCACAGGGGCGGGAGGGATCAGGAGTGGAAGGGGGAGGAGGGGATGATGGAGGAGTGGGGGGGCGAGGGATGAGGGGCGAAGGGTATTGGGGTTGACGGGGGAGGGGCGTCGGTGGGGGGATTTGGGACAGGGCTTAGGGAATTGCGGATTGCGCAGGTGGAAAGCGACGACGTTCGCTCTCCAAGTTCCCCCTCCCCTTCGAGTCCCGCCAGTCCCGCTAATCCCCGCCAGTCCCGCCAGTCCCGCCAGTCCCGCTAATCCCCGCCAGTCCCGCCAGTCCCGCCAGTCCCGCCAGTCCCGCCAGTCCCGCCAGTCCCGCCAGTCCCGCCAGTCCCGCCACTCCTGCTGGGTCCGCCAATCCCAGCAGCCTCCAGGAACGAGCCTGAGCGGGGGGGGCGACAATCACCGGAGGGTTGTGAGACTTGCCACGTGGCAGCACAGCACTGACCTTGGAGGGCGAGAAGAGCGTGAGCGCGCCGGGTCCGCGCTTCTCGCGCGTGGGGTCCGTCTCCTGCGCGTACTCCTCCATGCGCCGCTGCGGGCTGTACGACACCTGCCGCGCGTCGCCGCCGCGTCATCGCCAGTCGCAGGAGCAGTCGCAGCGCGTGCGTCGTTCAGTCGCAGCGCGGGGGGGTTGCGCGCACCGCGCAAAAGGGGGTCGGGAAGTCGGAGAGCGCGGAAGGGGGAGCGTGGAGGGGGAATTGCCGTGAGAATCCGAACGTATGATGCGCAATGTACTCAAGAGTGGGATGCGCGGGGAAAGTGTGGATGCTTGATCTACTCAAGCTCCGCATTACCTAACCCTCAGTCTACTGGGTGCTGATCTCCATACTCGGTATAGGGTCTTTCACTACCGCATCGCATTGCTCCATACAGCATCGCGATACGCTCCAACGTACCTCGACCTGCTTCTTCCCTCCATCGGATTCACCGCCAGCGGCTTGCGCACGGACGGCCACCAATCGCGGCTTGACGGCTAGCCGCACCACTGGCGATTGCTTGGCTCCAGACGAAAATTTAGCCGATAGTAGCGACGGCTTTAAGTGAACTTGCCGCACGGAGGGGCAGCCCGTGGCGCTGAGAGTCTGCATTGCGCGCGACGCTGCGCGACCGGCCGTTTATTGGGTGAGCACGACCGGCGGGTAGACGCCGAGAGGGAGGAAAGCGGAGGTGGGCCAGAGCGGGGAGAAAAATGTGGTGGCTTTGCCGAGGTGGGATAAAATGTGGATAAGGAAAGATCGCCAGACTCGTCCGCGTTACAGAGCAGCGTTCGTTTGGCCAAAAGGTTACTCGAACGAAAATGCTAAATAAGGCTCGTTTGTAACAGAATCCATTGACATCCTTGCTATGGAAGCTTAATCTTACCCAATTGCTAGAGTGCACGCATTGGTTTTCGACCCCTTTCCTCCCTATTAGTATTTGAATACCCACGTTGAACATGAACCTACCTCCCTTCTGGTGGACTGATTTAGTCAGTCCGTCCGCACATGACAACCCAATACACGCATATAAAGGCTTCTAGGCTGCTTGCTATTCCTTTGCTCCTTTTACCCTGGTGGAAGAAATAGGAGCGGGATGAAAGGACCAGGTCACAGGAAGCGATGACAACGTGGAAAGGGTACAAGAGACACACAGAGAAATTAATAGGTAACGGTCGAAGAGAAGGTGGGCAGGCTGGAATGTGTCTGTATAGAGAGGCAGGATCAGGAGTTGGCTAATATGATGGATGGATGCACGATCGCTTGGATGGGAAGTAAATAGTGAGACGCCATGCAACTAGTGTTATTCGATCGGTGTCATGTGGGCTATTTCTGATGTGGTTGAATCCCTGTATGTTACTCACCGGGTGACATAAGTGAGGTCTGACGTCTGCACTATGATTTCATCCCCTGCCACCACAAACGACGGCACCTGCTCCCATGCACAGAGCGGGCACGAAGGCATGCGAGGGGATTTATCGGTGAGAAAGTGAGACAGCAGACGAGACGAGAGGGAGGGGCGATTGGCATGGCACGGGACAGTGAGCGCGTGCATATGATAGGAGTGCGTGGTTCATGGTTCTACCGCCATGCCATGAGAAGAATGATCCGATGGATGTACACAGGAGGTCAACAATGGTCAATGATGGTCAACAATGATCCGTAACAGGAAGGCGAGATGGCTGCTGCAGTCGCTTTGAGATTGTCTCTGCTGCCCTGTGCTCACCTGAACCGTGATCCCTGATCTCAACTTGACCTTCTTGTACCTGCCAAACCCCATCCACCCCACACACGTTCACACGCACACACACAATCAACCAAGTGCGTGCATGAATATAGGGAGGGGGGGAGGCAGGTAGGAGAGGAGAGAAAGTGAGAGCTGAATCAAGTTTCAGCAGAAAAAGGACAAACTTGGGATAATCAGAAGGTTAGAGATATTTAGGGGAGAGAGGTGCGACAGAGGGGCGACAGAGGGTGAGGAGCTGGGCAGTTAGGAAGAAATGCAGGGACGGAGGAGGAAGGACGCAGGGGGGAGGAGAGAGGAGGGAGGAGGGAGGAGGCATCATACGAGGGAGCAGCAGTCTGCCCCTTAAAGAAAGGCTCTGCCTCGTCCACAACATCGGACACTCTGGCCGGCAGCGATGCGGAGAGGGCCTTGCCGTTGAACAGATGCACCACCACCTCCATGCCGTCTGCAGCACACACCAAGGGACATGCATGCACGCAGGGCAGATCACAGAGGGGCAACGCAACACGGGGGGGGCTGGGAGAGATGAGCGGGGCGCGGAGCTGGAGGAGGGACACGGAGGGGCTTGCAGTTGGGGGGTGAGGGAAAGGAACGGTAATGCGGGACTTTTGAGCATGGAAAACGCTAGATTAGGATTACCCTTGTATGGGAAACACTTGAAAGGGGGATACATGGGCGAACCAGGGGGTTCTTACCTTGCAACAAGGGTGCCGCGTCGCCAAACATTGAAATGGGCAGCGAGATCTGCTCAAAGGTTTGCTTCCTGACAGCAGAAGGAGGAGAAACGATGAGGGGCACGAAGAGAGAAGGGGAGCAAACAGCAGAGGCCAAATGCTTTGATGAGTGAAAGGTGGCACACAATAAGGGTAACATCATCACTGGAAGCAGCAGCAGCAGCAGCAGCAGCAGCAGCAGCAGCAGCAGCAGCGGAGGCGGCGGCGGCGGCGGCGGCAACAGAGCGACCACCACCATTGTGCTCATACTCCTAGGCTCTGTTATGCGCACAATGGTGCCCTTCCAATCTTGCCATCTGTTATGCGCCACCTAAACCACTGTACACGAGCCATGCATGTCGGGCAGTTTGTTTGTGAGCCGCCTCAAAATGAAAACCACTAAACACACACGCCTTTTCTGCTTGCTTCCCTACACGTGCATGCGGGCACGCATGCCTGCTCACTTGGCTTCACATGACTCACTCCATGAGGCACGCGTTGCCCTCGTCCACGTAGAGGAAGACAAATGGCTTGTCATCCGAGAACACCACTGCGGTGAGGGACGGGATGAGAGCAGTACGGAGGGGATCAGATCAGAGTAGTAAGGGATGCGCATGGGGAGGGAACACAAGGTGGATAGGCATGCGTTGCTCTCGTCCATGTAGAGGAAGACAAAGGGCTTGTCATCCGAGAACACCACTGCTACGGGTGGAAGAGGGGGACCAGAGTGGTGCGGGATAGGGGCGGGGAATGCAGGGACCGGCGGGTGGAGGGGAGGGGGAGGGGAGGATGGGGACGAAGGGTGAGAGGGAGCACATTCATAGAATGAATACAGGCGACAGAGGCGATCTGTCTTAGTGGTGGCACTGCAGAATGATGGATGAATACATATATACATATTCATATGTACATACACATGAATAAGAATATGATGTTTATGACATCCCAAGCACAGCCCCTGTTAAGAGGCACGGAATTGAGGAAAGAAGGTTGGGGAGCAGGCATGAGCGGAGCTCTTCTCGAGCTTGGAGGGAAGAAGGGAGGAGGGAGGGCATGGGCAGGGCTGACTGACAGTCAATGTGCTCGGAGGTGCGTAGCTTCTCGTTGCTCTTGAGGCCCGTCTGCACGTCCCGCAGCTCCACCTGTGGTGGTGGAAAGGCAGAACAGAACAGGACCCACAAGGGCATGGACGCACACGCAGGGCGCACGGGAAGGAGCAGAGGGGGGCGCCAGAGTCGGGGGGAGGGGAGCGGAGAGGGTCAGGGGGGGGCACAGAAATCGGGCACGGAGGTACGGGGAGAGATGGAGAAAATTGGATGGCGGCTAACATGGGAAAGATGTGCTTTGGTGCAGTGCAGCACGTTGAGGATTGGCCTGGAGTGATGAAAGGTAGTGTGGGGAAATGGCAGCATGCGAGGCAGTGGGAGAAATATGGCAGTGCTGGTTTGACAGCATGGCATGGTGTGTGGTGTGTGTACCTGAATGGTGGCGCCGCCACGGCCTTGCTGTGTGTGCTGCGTCTTCACAACCTGGATAATGAGGGGGATGAGATGGAGGAGCGGAGGGAGATGCAGCGAGGAAAGATATGAGTTGTTGTGAGCCTTTATGTGAGCTGCATTAAGGGCAAATGTGCATTCCATGAGCAACGAAAGAGTGAGAGAAACGCGTTGTGATACAACCAGGAAAGCTGATGTGGATGCATCAAGTCGGTAAGGATTTCAGAGTGGGCGCGTTCGGGGCACACTCGCATACACATGCACATGCATGTACCCACGAAAGTAGCAATCGACCATGTGCATGCACCAATAATGCATGTGAGCGCGCCATTTAATAGCAGCAGCAGCAGCAGCAGCAGCAGCAGCAGCAGCAGCACAGCAATGCACACACCTGGAAGTATCTGCCTGCATCAGAGAATCCACGTGGCATGGTACGGCACGGCAGCATGGCGGGATGAGAGCATAGAGCCATGGGGAGACACAACAGGGCAGCACATGGGAATGGGAAGGGGAGGAGGAGGCGGTGAAGGAGGGAGTCAGATGGGGGTGGTGAAACATCGGAGGGTACGGGACATGTGAGGCAAGGCATGGTGTGGGACAAGGCACAGTGTGGGACGAGGGAAAGGTGAGAATTGTAACTTAAAAATCGGGCAGAGAAAGAAATAGAGGCCTTAAGACAGTGGGTAGATGCACGAGAGAGAATGATGTGTGGGGTGGGTGGGTGGGTGCAGTGCATTGCATTCTCTCTCGTGCATTGCATTGCTTGCACAACAGCACCTGGTTGGTATGGCCTGGCCCACCTTTTCGCTCTATGACGCTGCCCACTTTCACCTGCGCCCACATAACACCCATGCACACATGCCCCACATGCACACATGCCCCACATGCACACATGGACAGGGGGGCCAACACATAAATGCATGTGCACAAGTACGCATACAAAACGTGCACATGTGTCTCAGCACTCACAATCAACAACATGTCACCTAACCTGGTGCGGTGACAAAAGATGCTGCTATTCCCACGTCTCCCATGCTGCTCAAGCCTTTCAAGATATTCCACAGAACCATGGCTGGCCGCATGGGAGGCCGCATGGCACAATCGAATCCCACTACCATCCACCCTCCCTTTTTTCCCTCCCTCCTTCCCCTCCCTTCTTCCCCACCCCCTCCCCTCCTTTTTCCCCCATGCTCATTCTCTTCTCGTTCCCTCAAGTGTCACTGCCCACACTCCTACCCTCCCTCCCTCCCCAGGCCCTTCTGCTCGCTTCTGTGCTTCCTCACACTTCTCCACCGACATCCCAACTTCTCAAGCGCACATGCTCTCTCCGTCTCCCCTCCCCTTCCCCGCTCCCCTCTCCGCTTCCCTCTCCGCTTCCCTCCCCGCTCCCGTCTACGCTCCCCTCTCCGCTCCCCGCTCCGCCGCACCTCTGACCCGGTGACCCGCGCGTGGCGCACGCTTTGCGCCAGCCCGCCGCGGCTCAGCGGACCCGTTGCCAGCTGTTGCCAAAGCAGCCCGCCTTCCGCCGCCGCCGATCGCGGAGCAACAGCCGCTGCGTGGCCGCTGATAAGCCGCTGCACCGTGGATCGCGCGTTGGGACTGATCAAGACCGTCAGATCTGCTGCCGCGGTTTCAGGAGACGTTACGGTGGCAGGAGATGCGCCTACGGATGTAGATGACGTGGCATGAGAGATGTGATTTGGGCTGATCTCATTGGAGGACGTCTGCGCGGGAACTGACAAGAGCGTCGCAACGTTGTGCGACACAGCGGCGGCGACGGTCTCATGGCATGCGCCTTTGCTGCTGCGCTGCCGAGCGACTGCACGTGCGAAAGTAAGCATGGCGGTGATAACGGCCAATATTGCGGCAGGAACTGCGGCGGAAACAGCGGCGGGAACTGCAGTTGTCAACGAGGTAGTGGTGCTTGTGGTGGTGAATTCGACGGAGCAGAGTATCTTCTGGCGAATGACATGACTTGGTCATAGAGTGACTCGCAATTGCCACAACTTTGCTGTGTACCAGCTCTTTTGTCTCGCCTATCTCTACGTGCTATGCGATTTTAACATTTCAAAAGTGTAAGAGTTTGTTACAAACCGGTTACCAATCTCTTACCACCTCCTCCTCCTCGGAACTGGGATGCATTTCATCCTGAGATCTGTGCTCCACCGCACCCGAGCTCACCACACACCTCCGCATTCCACACCGACTCTTCCTTGACCGACACCAACTAATGCCTACTGGCGAATCCGTGGCTCTGTATGGTTCCTCGGTTCGCCACCGTCTACGCTCCGTGTCGAACTAATCTCTGACAGCGCTGCTCTAGCTCGCCGTTGTGATGTGATCCGTTACGCTGTTCTTCTTGCGCATCCATTATTGGTCGGATCGGATTAGTCTGTCCGTTTGATAAGCCGCAATGGCGGAGGAGATTTCCGCCAATGGCTTCGCGCAAGACCGCGCCGAGCCGCCTCTCGGGGAAGACGGATCGGCGTCCGCTATGTCGCCAACGTCAGGCGCGGCTCGGCCGACGAACCTGGCCTCTTTATTCGGCGACGATAAAGACCCGCAGGTAGGGCGAAACGGCACCACCCCAAAAGGCACTACGGAGGAAGTAGCGGAATCAAGGAAACGGCTTTGTCGTCATCGTCGTGATTATGAAGGGATTTCATGAGGAGTGCGGGGTGGTGTGGTGTGGTGTGGTGAGGAGGAGCAAGGTGGCGTATTGTGCCGGCGTGGAGCGGCGTGCGCACGTGAGATAGAACGGCATAGCGATTACGCTGCCATGTGACCGTGTGGGGGAGACAACGGCAGCAATGTCCGGCTGTGGGAAATCATATCAGCGAGTGGGGACACGTCCGCAAAAGGTTCCGCAGAGAGTTGTTCGCGGAGATCACGGGCAAGACGGAGTATAGAATCGTCGACAATCTCCCAGGTTCCTCTAGAATTCCGTCGAATCTCCTATGTCAATTCGGAATCTCGTAGAATCCAGCCGATCAGGCCGAACCAGGCAATGCGTGAAAGCCAGGTCAGGGTGATCCAGCACCAGCAGGGTGGATTCACTGGTCTCGAACAAAAGCCGGTCACGTCACTTGGTGATCGGTTGGTGAACCCACCGGTCTTCTCTGATCACCGCTCAGTGAATCCACGTTTCACTCGCGCCTTCCCCGCTCCCGCTACTGGGACTGTTTTCCGCCAGTCCTCCGCCCGTAATTCCGCCACCCCGTGTTTCCACCCCTTCTTTCGTGCCTTCCCCGCTTTCGCCTTCCCTCCCGTCCTAACGCTATGCCGGCCTCCCCCTACCCCACCATTGTTCGACCTTAACCTCGACTGAGGATGCAAATCCCTTGTTCCCACGCGCCCCTTGTCCCACGTGTCTCCTCCCCCCTCCACACCAGCCCATGTGGCTGGACAAATCAGCGTTCCTGGACCCGTCGTTCGACCCCGACGCGTACATAGCGACGGTGAGGCGCATAGCGCCGCTGGAGTCGGTGCGCGCGGAGCTGCGGGAGCACCTGGCGGCGCTCAAGAGCGAGCTGGTGGAGCTCATCAACCGCGACTACAACGACTTCGTCAACCTCTCCACCAAGCTCGTGAGTGCCGTGCTCTGCATTGAGGCATGCGGGAATGGGATCACCTTGTGAGAAGTTTCAAAGGTGAGTCCAGGATAGCCAAGAGCGAGCTGGTGGAGTGGAGCTCATCAACCACGACTACAACGACTTTGTCAACCTCTCCACCAAGCTCGTGAGTTTCCTGCCCTCTCCTCTGCTGAACTTGTGACTGCCCTCTCTGCCACCTGAGTGCCCTCTCTGCCACCTGAGTGCCCTCTCTTCCGCCTGACTGCCCTCTCTGCCGCCTGAGTGCCATCTCTGCCACCTGAGTGCCCTCTCTGCCACCTGAGTGTCAATCACAGATTCAGCCCCCACATTCGCATTCCACAACCCAACGTTTCTCCTCTTTCTCCATCGCACTCCAGTCCCTCATTCCTTTTATCTCCCCTACTTCCTCCTTCCCGCTCCCCCTTCCCCGCCACTCCCCGGCAGGTGGACGTGGACGGGGCAGTGCTGCGCATGAGAGTCCCTCTCACGGAGCTCAGGGCGCAGCTCCTAGCAGTGCGCAGCAGCGTGGCAGCGGCGCCAGCAGCGCTAGAGGACGGGCTGGCGCGCAGGGCAGAGGCGGCCACAGCACGCCAAATACTCGAGCTCCTTCTAGACACCTCCAACGTGCTCTCCAAGGTCGAGAAGCTGCTGCTGGAACTCCACGCCATGCCCGATGCTCCTCCTCCCACACCCGCCTCCGGTCCCTCCGGTCCCTCCGCTTCCTCCTCCGCCTCCTCCTCTTCCGCGTCTCCAGCCAAAAGACCCTCCTCCACATCTCTCTCTGCGGAGCTCTCTGTCTCGGCGTCTTTCGCTGTACCACCCGCGGGGACGGGGGCGAGGAAGGGTGGCGGTGGGGATGGGAGTGCAGGGGAGGAGGGGGGGGATGCGGGGGCGGGGGCGGGGGCGGCGGCAGGGTCAGGGAGGGATGCGGAGAGGGAGTTGGAAGAGGCAAGGAGTCGGTTGCTGGAGCGGATTGCGAGTGAGATGAACCGCCTCAACTTCTATGTCGCCAAGGGGAAGGTGAGTGAGTGCCTGGTGTTGTGTAGGCCGTTTGAGCCACTTGTTGAGGCGGCTACAAAAGCAGATCACTGGAGGCCTGGAATATCGATCCGCCTCAAAAGCACTCCCTGCTTCCCCCCCCCGCTCCCTGCTCCTCGGTTTCGCCTCCCACGCTCCTGCTGCATCGCTGTAGCGCCTCCAAAACCATTCCTGCTTCCCACGCTTTCTCCACACCCCGCGCCCGCTTTACAGGACCTGCCGTTCATGCGCTCAGTGGAGGGCCACATCTTTGATGCACCCCAAAAATCACTCCCGCCCCCAACTCCCACCTCCCCACATTCCCCTCCCCAGTCCCCCCTCCCCACTACCCCCTCCTCACTCCCCCCCTCCCTACTCCCCCCTCCGCACTTCCCCCTCCCCCCACCCACTCCGCACACCCCACACTCAACCCGCACCCCGCGCCCTCCCTGCAGGACCTGCCCTGTGTGCGGTCAGTGGAGGGGCTTATTCTTGAGGCGCCGCAGAAACCTCTCCCGGATTCCAGATCCCCGCATCCCACTCCGCACTCCCCACTTCCACACCCCACACTCAATCTCGCACCTCCCGCCCTTGCTGCAGGACCTGCCATTCGTGCGGTCAGTGGAGGGGCGCATCCGGCAGGCGAGCAGCACTTCGTGAGTCAACTGAAAAGTAAGAGACTCATAATCTGAGTTGTGATTCGACTCAAAACTCCCTCCACACCCCCCACCTTCCCTGCAGGACCTGCCATTCGTGCGGTCAGTGGAGGGGCGCATCCGGCAGGCGAGCAGCACGCTGGCAGGGCACCTGCGGCGGTGCCTGGAGCGCGGCCTGCACCAGCGCTGGCGCCGCGTGGTGTACCACTGCCTGCGCGCCTTCGCCTCCCTGGACGCCGCTGCTGACGCCGAGGAGCTTTTCCGCCGGGCCGTCATCGCTCCCCTCGTGGCCCAGGCGCTGCTGGGATCAACAGCGGGAGGAGGAGCAGCAGGAGGAGGAGCAGGGGGAGGAGGAGCAGGAGGAGGGAGCAACAGCAGCAGCAGCAGCAGCAGGAGGTGGCGCCGTCGTCGCCCAAGTCCCCGTCCTCACCCACCTCTGCCGCCGCAGCAGCAGCAGCAGGGGACCTACTGCAAGACGTGTACGAGCGCATCGAGCAGGCAGTGTCAGAGCCGTGCCAGTTTGTGGTGGGCATTGTAGCATCGGCGGATGCAGGGCTGCATGTGTTTCAGTTCCTTGCAGCTAGTGTGCTGAAAGAGGTGGCTGCTGCGCTGCACCGGTCACACGCTGCTGCCTTCTCCCCCGGCCGACCCGCCCAGTTCCTGCTCAACTACAAGGCGTCGCTTGACTTTCTCGCCTTCCTGGAAGGTGCGCATCCATGGCCTTAACACAGGAGCAGCAGCAGGAGTAGGAGGTCGTTACCTGTTTAAGAAATCACACCAGAAATCACAGAAGTTTCTGTCTCCGTCTGCTGCTTTTTTCTGAGCATGCCTCCCCTATAAGCTTCTGGTCCATGATTGGTGGGTGGTTTTGCTGACTGCAGGCTCTGAACCGAGCCTGCTCTAGTGTGTGTGTCAAAACGATCCTGGAAGGCTATCACAGACCCGAAAGGCCTCAATATGTATCCCCACCCCACCACAATCCTCTGCAACCTTCCTTCTGGCTCTCTTGTCTACCCCTTCCTCTCACATCCCTGTCCCGCTCTCCTCTGCCGTGTGCCCAGGCTTCTGCTCGAGCCGTGAATCGCTCGCCTCCTTCCGCGTGCATCCCTGCTACTCGGATTTCCTCAAGGGCTGGAACCTCGCTGTCTACTATGCGTCTCGGTACGCCCACGCACTCATTCACTCATTCACTCACTCACTCACTCACTCACTCGCTGCCTGCTGCCTGATTGCCTTTCTGAGTCGGCTCAAAACTCATCGCACTTCACATCGATTTCCTCAAGGGTTAAAACCTTGCTCTCTACTATGCGTCTCGGTACCCCAACTGCTTCCTGCCTTTCTGCCCTCCGTATCTCATGCACGTCCTTATCCTTTTCTTCCTGTTGTAGGCGTATTTTGAGACATCTTGAAGTATTACTGTCTTCCTCTTCACACTGCTTCTTGTATCTCCTCCCTCTACTCTCTTTTACCCCTCCAACCCCTATCATCCCCACCTCCTCGTTCCCTTTGTCCTCCTCTTTCCCCCAACCCCTCCCTCCGTGCATCTCTCATTCCCTCGCTCTGCTACGCCCTCAGCTTCCGAGAAATCGCCGGGCTTCTAGACGACGCACTGGTGCCGCCGCCCGCCAGCTCAGCAGCAGCAGCGGCGCGCGTGGCGGTGCAGAGGGCAGCGGTGCGGGGCATGGGAGTGGGGCTGCAGGCGTCGGTGGTGCTGTGGGAGGCGCTGCAGCGCTGCTGGCACCCCGCCGTCTTCATCCCCTGCATCGCCGACAAGTTCCTGCGCCTCACCCTGCAGCTGCTCTCCCGGTGGGTGTTCCTAGGAGGTGCCTGGGGGCCTCGATGGGTTGGCTGGCTGCTGTTGATCGGCTGCGGTTGAATCTCAATACATTTGAGATTCTAGCTTTGAAACTTCTTCGTACAAGGTGCGCTTCACACCTTTCCTCCTGCGCTCCGCTTCCCCCGTCCTCACCTTTCCCCCATCAGGTTCGGCAAGTGGGTGATGGCAGGCGTGGCAGCAAGGAGAGCAGGGTCAGCAGCAGACAACCCAGGAGGCGAGTGGGGCCTAGCAGCCACACCAGAGGACCTTGCGCTGGTATGCCTGCCTGCCTTGATTTTGAGGCGCCTCAAAACACCTTGCACTGGTATGCCTGCCTGCCTTGATTTGTTCACCCCTGACATGCTGAAAAAAGTGCGTTCAGTATTCTGCAAGAGCCACGTAGCTGCCAGCCCGCCGGAGGACCTCGCTCCTCTGCCCCTCCCCTCTGTTTTCTTCTCTCTTCCTCTCCCATCCCTTAACTCCCTGCATCGCTCTACACGCCCCTCCCCCAGATGTGGCACGACCTGCTAGTGCTCTCCTCCAACATCAGAGCGGCCTATGTGGGCGAGTTAGTGCAGCAGCTGGGACCTGGGGTGACAGGGGAGGTGCGGGCTGCAGTGCGGGGCGAGGTGGAGAGTGCAGCGGACGGGCTGCATGCACTCACAGCGCATGTGGCAGCGCTGCTCTCGGATATCACTGCGGATCGATGCATCGAGGTGCGCTGCTGCCACTGCCACTTGCTCACTCCCACTCACTCACTCACTCATACTCCCTGTCGGTCTTGCTGCCCCTTGTCTTTGCTTGTTCTGCACACCTTCTCTGTATCCCCAGCATTACTTGGGGAATCGTTTGCCATTGTTGCCTTCGTTCTCTCCATGTTTGGCACGACCGAACTTCTCTATTGCGTTTGACGGCATGCTCTCTCTCCCTCATGGCCTCAACCCCCCACGCATTCCTCTCTCCCACGTGGCTGCAACCCCTCTTGCCTTCCTCCCTCTCTCATTCCAATCCCTCGCAGGTCCTGAGGCCTGTGAGAGCGATAGCAGCCATGTATCGAGTGCCTAGTCGCCCACCCCCCACCCGCCATTCACACTACGTACCAGGAGTGCTTCAACCTCTCAAGGTACTGCCTGTTCCAGGTACTGCCTGCGGGCACCAGGTACTGCCTGTTCCAGGTACTGCCTGCGTGCACCAGGTACTGCCTGCGTGCACCAGGTACTGCCTGCGGGCACCAGGTACTTTCTTCTCCTCCGTTGCCTGCCCCTTTCCCTCTGACTAGCTCTTTCTTTGCGAAACACCTGCCATCTTTTTCCACTTGTGCTTCCACTCCGCCCCTCCCCCTGTTTTGGCACTAGATGGATTCCCCACTTCCCCTCTCTCAAACAATCACTCATTCCTCCCAGCATCCGCTCCCGCTCTCCCACTCTACCTGCTCTCTAATCCCTCCTAAACTCCTTTTCTTTGCACCATCTGCCCTCGAACTTGTCCCTGTCTGAGCTGACTCCCGGCCATGTTTTGTTAGGTTGTTCTGGAGGGTGATAAAGCCCGCGCAGCAGCAGCAGGGGGGGCAGGAGGGGCGGAGGAGGTGTGGAGTGAGGAGATGAGGGCGGTGGTGGTGGGTCAGGTGGTGGAGCGGGTCACTCAAAAGTTTGACGAGCTTGCCAAGGAGGTCGTTGCCACGGTACGCACACAAGCACACGCATGTACGCATGCACGCGCACGCGCACGCACGCACGCGCACGCATCACAGGTTGGCACCTTGGTCAGGATCATCTGCAACTCCTTCTCTGTGTGCTTTGCTCGAAACTAAAGCTGCTGCAGCAAGTTTATCAGCAGTTTCCAAGGTTTAGAAAATTGACTCAAAGACCCACCTCCCGTTTTCTCTCCCCCATGTGTTGGTGTGCCGCCGCCAGGCGCGACGCACAGAGTCATTACCGAAGCTGCTGCAGCAGCGGTCTATGAAGTGGCCAATAGGAGCAGCAAATGCCATGATGTTCAGTCAAAAGCCCACCTCCCATTTCCTTCCCACTTCCACCACCAGGCGCGGCGAACGGAGTCGTCACTGAAGCTGCTGCAGCAGCGGTCTATGAAGCGGCCCCCGGGAGCAGCGGATGCGGGGGGGGCGTCAGGCATGTCAGACACGGATAAGATCATAGGCCAGCTCTTCCTGGACGTGCAGGTGCGTGCATGTGCCCAGCAGGTAGGGTAGGCAGGCAGGCAGGCAGGCAGGCAGGCACGGAGATCTGAGTGTGAGTGTACAACACTGTTGCACGCTCTGCCTTACTGTCTGTTCTGCCTGTTTCTAGGGCGAAACAGCTTGTGTTACTCGTCTGCCTGAGTCTGTCTGTGATGCGGAACACCCAGGGTTGGTCAGTCACTGCATGGAACCTCTCTGTGTGGGACTTGATCCAACACCAGCCCTTCTGATCTCTGTTCTCCCATACCTCCACGCCCGTTCCAGGAATATGGCCGCATAATCCGCACGTTTGGGTTGGAGCCAACAACTGTTGCACCCTTTGCGTCACTCTGGGCGTCTGTGGCGCCGGCAGACAGGCAGGACATGAGCTTCTAGGGTCTGCTTTGGTAGAATAATGTCTGAAATTCTATGCTGCAAGCAGAGCTTGGGTTATGATCTGAGTACGGCAGCACATTCATGTCATGCCTATGTATTAACCACTGGTTTTCCCATGTTCTAGTGTACTGTAGGATTACTTTGGCCAGGTGTGGTCTTGTTTCATTGATGCTCAAATGAACCATGTAAAGAAGTTGGGTACTGGCTACGACAAAAAGGTGTATGTGATGTGGTCAACCCATTGTCTTGTTGACAGGCGCCTGTAAGGGTATGTGAACTGCTGCTGGTCACATTCTCGTGCTTTGTACATGTAAACTTTTAACAAGGAAGTGTTGTAGTGCAACTACAAGACGACAAAGCTCCCAAATTTTGGTGTTGGAGGGGGGGGACCACACCACAGTTGACCCTGACTGGCCGTGATGATGGCCGCGGTTCGTTGCGAGCCTACTAGGCCGCGTTTAGTGGGAACGAGGACCAGTATAGGTGGTTATCAGCTTCTCCAGCCACTTTCGTCGTAAGCAAGCTCGCGGCAATCCCAGGAGACCCATCGCGTGCAGATCAGGTTAGGTAGGGTAAGGTCGGCTCCAAGGCCCGGATTCAATAAGGGGGGTCCAGTTGGCATAAATCCATTCTGGAAACACGAGCGAGCGAACAGCTCTCAGTCACTGAATCCAGTTTCTGTCGCTCGGTTGTGTGAAACTTTCGCGGCCTTTGGGCCGTCTTTAAACTTGTTCGCTGCTGCTCGAAGAAAAGTCCGAGCTTTCAGCGGAGGAGGCGGCGTAATTACGCTAGCATCCACATCCGTCAGCTCAGGAAGCGTCTCTTAAATCGCATCTATCCGAGGGATCCGATCATTGTCTAGCAACCAGCTCCGCCGCCGCCGAAGAAAGATCAATGTCGCAGTCTCAGCAGCTCGCGAAACCCGCTGCAGCTGTCTCCGAGTCGTACCTATCAAGTATATGGTGCGTCGTTTCCTCCCGAACTGATCCGTGCTCCTCTCTCACCTACTTTCTTATGCACATCTTTATCCCGTCGTCCTCGTCATTAGACCCCCCCCACTGCACCAAAACCCCGCCCTTCCCACCCCTCTCCTCTCTTCCATACCCACCATTGACCCTATTTCCCCCGGAACGCTCGCCTTCCCCTCATCTTCCGCTCCGTTTCCCCCATCCCCCGTCCGTCCTCCCCGCAGGTCCTTCTGGAAGCGGCGTCGGCGCGCGATTCTGATAACTCTGGGCGTGGTGGGCGTGGGCGTGGGGTCGTACGTGGTGTATCAACGGCTGCACGCGCGGCTGCTGGAGGACCAGCAGCGCATCCAACGGCAGCAGCAGCAGATCCTGGAGGAGGCGATTCGCGAGGCGGAGGAGAAGCGCCGCGCGGAGGAGGAACGCGAGGACGCGCAGTAAGTGATTTGATTCAAGCGCAGTTGTTGTGATGCGGGTGATGTGAGTGATTGGTGAGGGACGTGCTGTTACAGGCAAAAGGTTGAATGGAGCAGAGAGGTGGGTGGTAATTGTGTGCGCTTAAGGAAAATGGGTGGTATTGCAATGTCACCATCCTTCCTCCCCATTCCCTTTCTCCCCTCTTCCTCCCCTCTTCCTCCCCTCTTCCTCCCCTCTTCCTCCCCTCTTCCTCCCCTCTTCCTCCCCTCTTCCTCCCCTCTTCCTCCCCTCTTCCTCCCCTCTTCCCCCCGTCTTCCTCCCCTCTTCCTCCCCTCTTCCTCCCCTCTTCCTCCCCTCTTCCTCCCCTCTTCCTCCTCTCTTCCTCCCCTCTTCCTCCCCTCTTCCTCCTCTCTTCCTCCCCTCTTCCTCCCCCCTTACTCCTCTCTTCCTCCCCTCTTGCTCCCCTCTTCCTCCCTCCCCCTCCGCATTGCCGCCCTGGCACCAGGATCCGAGCGCACTTTGAGAGCATTCAGCGGATAGCGGACGCCACCACGCTGCCATCAGTGCTGCCGCACCTGCGCACGCAGCTCTTCGCCTCCATCAACCTCACCGCTCTCACCGATGCGCTCTTCTCCTCCCGACAACACGCCGCTTCTTCCACTGCCGGTGCTGCTGGGGAAGGTGGAGCAGCACAGGCCAGTGTCGCCCGTGCTCCACTGAGTGCACAGGAGAAGCTTCGGATATGGGAGGATCTGAAAGTGCTGAGTAAGTGGGTGCTTGCTCGCTGTGCCCACACTCCACCTTTTTCCAAGACTCCCCTTCCTCTCCCCCGTTCCTTCCGCACTTGCCACCACATTGTGTACCTCACCACCCATCCCTATCCCACCTTGTCGTTTCCATCTTCCCGTTTCCTCACCTCTTCCCCCTCCTCCCCCGCTCCCCGCCCACCAGTAGCATCTCATCAGCAGCAACCATCGTTCCAATTTCCCCTTATTTTTATCCTTTCCCATATCTTTTCCCTTAGCTTCTCCCCAATCGCCTCCCTTATCCTTTCCCCATGCGTGTCCGCCTACAGGTTTCTGTCGCACGCTGTGTGGCATGTGGTCCCTGGCGCTGCTCTCGCTCTTTGTGCGTGCACAGCTCAACGTGCTGGGCCGGCGGGTCTTCCTCGACGCCGCTGTGCGATCTGCCAGTTCCTCATCACTGCAGGTGTGCCCATGAAAGCCCCATGACAGCCCCATGACAGGCCCATGGCAGCCCTGCTCCTAATTGATTCAAAAGCAAATCCGGCCACATTGCCTCTTGCGTGATATCATTGCCATTCCTCCCCCCCCCCCCCCCCCCTCTCTCTCCTCCCGCCTAAATCCATCATCATTCCTCATTATTTGGAATTCTTCCTTACCTACCAATCTATTCCCTCCTCTGTATGACCCTTCCTTTCACCGGTTCTTGTTACCCTTTTTTCGATACCCACCCAAGCAGGACCCGCAGCAGCAGGCGTGGAGGAAGAGGCAGCTGCCCATGCGCTGCCAGCACCAGTTCATTGCTCTCGCAGACTACCTCCCCCAGATAGGCCTGCGCTCCCTCACCAGAGACGCCCAGGCCTTCATTGCTCCAATACTAGAACGGTAATCAAAGAAACGAAGAAGAAGCAGGAGATGAAGGCAAAGCAATGGTGCTCACGATTCCCCATAGAATTCTGCCTAATCTGCACTTCCACTCCTCTCTTTTCTTTCTTTCTCTCCATCTCTCCTATCCTCCCTCTCCGTTCCTTTTTACTCAGTTCTGTTTTGTCTCCCCTTTTTCCCTTCCCACTCCCCTCCCCACTCCCCTCCCCACTCCCCTCCCCACTCCCCTCCCCACTCCCCTCCCCACTCCCCTCCTCACTCTCCCTCCTCACTTCTCCTCTGTCCCATGACAGGCTTTCTCTCCGTGACAACATATCTCTCCCCCAACTGCTCTCTCTCATCCACGACATCCGCCTCGAATTCGAGGCCCGGGATTGCGCCACGTGGCAGCGCTACCTCCTCCCACCCGACAATTACCTCCCGGCTGACCTGGCGGCTACCTCCCTTGCCGCGGATGCATCAGCAGGAGGAGGCACAACAGGGCAGGGATTGGGGGGAATGGGGGAAGGTGGGGGGAGGGTGAGGGTGGGTGCTGTTAGTGCGATGGAGGATGAGGAGGATCAGGCTCTGCTTGGGGAACTGATGGATGAATTGCGGCATGTGCTCAGCAGGTGGGTTTGTGGGGATTGCTAGGGTATTGGGTAAAATAGTACAAATGAAAATGTTGGTCTGTCTGTGATGGTTGTGCCGGCTAACCCTGTCCTCTGCTGTTTTCGTTTGGTTTCTTCCTTTCTGCATTCTGCACGTTTCTGTGGCATGCAGCTATGAGTTTCAGGAAGCCCTTTCAGCATCGCTGGATGCGCTGACAGAAGCAGCACACGAGCATCTTGCAGCTGCGTTCCCCTCTGCTGCTCCACAGCCATCACCGTCCTCCACCCCTTCCCACTCCACGTTCGCTTCCACTTCGACTTCTCCCCTAACATCAACTTCGACTAGTCCTGAGCGCAGCACCAGCGGTGCCACCTTTGCTGCCAACGGCCGCAACATATTGATGAATCAAAGCACAGGTGCATCAGCATCAGCAGCAGCTGCTTCACTATCACCAACACTCCCTCTGGCAAAGCTCCTGCCTCCAGTGGCGTCAGTGAGTGCGTCGATGCTGGAATTGGCGTCAGACAATCCCTTTGTCCAGCGCATGCTCTCTCTTCCCCCATTGCAAGCCTTCTGCTCTGCTGTCTATAGTGCATCCTGCGATCCCTTAGCAGCTCCTGTTGACCACATGTAATGTCAGGATTGAGGAGTTGAAGCCTGATCTTCTAAAATGTTCAAGATGTGAATGACAGATGTATGACTGGGTCTGTTTGTAGGGTTTATTTTCGGAGTAATGGAGGTGTTTTCCTGCATCCTGGTTGAATATGTATTACCGTATAGGTTTCCGCGCTTCCATTAGAATTTTCTGATTCCGTACTACTAATACAGAGTTTATGCTCCTTGCCTATTTGTTGTCCAAGCTGTCCAAAGCGCGAACACGACCAACGTTTCGCGCCAATCTCTCTGCAACAGTTCCCCGCCAGGCGAAGCGGCCCAGTTTCCAAATGTCCGCAAACGGCTCGATGGGGTGTCGAACCAGACTTGCCGGTTCGTCCCTCACTGGTGCCTCTTTTTCGTCGCACCGCCGTGCTCCCACCTTCTTGGCAAAGTGGCTCGGCATCACGCGACCGCTTCCAGGCCTTACCCTACTTGTATCCGACCTGAGAACGTAGGTACGGATGCACACCTCTATGACGGTGGCCAGGAAGGGCGGGTGGTGTGGTGTGGTGTGGTGTTGACGTGAACCTGCGGGGTGGTGCTTGCTGCTAGCCAGCAGAACTGGGATTCCCTAGGATGGTGGTGTGGGACAGGGTCCAGGCCAGGGAGGACGCACCATGAGGTGACCCCATCCCATTCACAATGGTGTGCTGAGGAATCCCACTCACTAACAGGCCACTGTGGAATGCTGCTGCACTGCAGCTGTGCAAGCGGGCCTTTTCACAGGAGAAGCTTGTTCTGCTCGCTCGGCTGAGAAAGTGAAGCCGTCTGCGTCTTTAGCATTCTCTCTCTTTCACGAGTAGTGTTGGGCTCGTATTCGTGCTATACCACTTGCAATGACCGCCGCCACTTCCACTTGTCCTTGTTAGGTGCCGTTCTTCTGTCTACCGACTAGCAGACCATCGATCCTTCACCTGAACAAGTTTCGTAAATTGTCAGAATGTGCAAACTTAGTTCGCAGTTAGGTTATTACTGGCCAACAGGTGGACCTTACGTACAGCGTAACTACACCACGCCTGCTATCACTCGTCGGTCGTTCCACCGCAAATAAACCATTCCAAACGGAAACCGAAATTCCGTCGTTAAGTGAGCACAATTGAAAAACTCATACACACCGTTTCTTTAAGCGGCCGGCACCCAATCAGAGCCGTCCTCGCCTGCCCAGGTCACCTAGTTGCTGCGGTTCCAGGGTTTGATTGACGAACTACAAAAGGCCCTGAGGCCAAGGGCTACCAAGTTATATCAAGTTTCGTAACTGCATCCAGCTGCGTCTTGCTGGCCGTGGTGACTGCAGAAGCCTACCATTCCTGAACGGAAACGCATCAAGCCGAGCGTTCTAGCCCCAAGAATTTGTTACGGGAGGGAAGGGAGAAGAGAAGAGGAGGCTAGAGGAGGAGGCGGGAAAAAACCGCGAGAAGGAGCGCAGAGATAAGGAGCGAAGAGGGAAGAGGAGGAGAGGAGACAGGAGTAGTGAACTGGAGAGGGAACCGTGGGAAAAGCCATTGCTCGGAGCGGAAGCTGGTTGGTTTGCGTTCTGTGGGAGGCAGGAAGGTGCATGGGGAATTGCTGCAGCTGTGACACGTGGGATGGAGGTATCTTCTGCTGCAACGCGAGAAGGCGGAGCAAGAGAACCGCCCAAACTGTTGGTGGGTAGATTTCCCTCTTCTTTCTCCCCCCTTTCGCACATCAAACTAGAAGTCTGATGACAATCAGACTTCTAGTTTAACGCGTGATAAGACTCGGGACTGTTAGGATTAAAGCGCGTGCTGGCAGCAGCACCGCCTTCGTCGCGTTTGTGCTGCTCGCTTACTAACGTTCTATTTTTCCTTTCACGTTGCTAGTCACGTTCACCCCTCTTCCGCTCGTCCGCGCCGTTTGCCCCCATTCACCCTTCCTCCGCTCTCTCTCTGCGACTGCGTTGTGTTTCTTGTTTTTGCGGGCGCTTTTTAAACATTTCTCAAAAACGCCTCCGCTCACTCTCTCTCTCTCTCTCCACCTGCGTCTTGTGTCTCTCTCCAACCCCGCCTCTTCCTCCCGTTTTCCACTCCCGCGCTCAGACGCATCTCAAACAGCCGTGCCAGCGTGGCCGCAGAAGGACGCTGGGCCGTACGGCTCAAACAAGGCGCCAGCGCGGCCTGACATGGCACCACTGCCCAGCAGCTATCCCACGGCTGTGCTCCCGTTAGGCGTGCCGGGCGATTCCGCGCTAGCCGTATTTTCGTACAACGACCTGCGGGCAGCCACGGAAGGGTTTCGCTCCGATAATAGACTGGGGGAGGGCGGGTTCGGTATAGTGTACAAGGGGTGGGTGTGCATGAGACCTGGCGCGCGGCCGGAGGAGGTAGCGGTGAAGGTTCTGAACCACGAGGGCCTTCAGGGGCACAAGGAATGGCTGGTGCGTGAGAGGTTCTCAGAGAAGCGAACCCTTGCCATTGATTGAGCCCTTGATCGAGCCCTAGACTGATTCCCTGATTGAGCCCCTGGCCTATCAATTTCTCCTACGCCTGCTCGCTCTGACTCTTTAGACGCGTCCTTATCGCTCTACAACATAGCTGCTCCATCTTGACGTCCGCCCTCGTCTCTCCCATTTCTCTCTCACCTCTCTCCCATCCCTCTCATCCCACTCTCATCCCTCTCTCCCCCCCTGCTTCTGGGCCGTCAGGCGGAGGTGAACTTTCTGGGGCAGGTGTACCACCCGCACCTGGTGCGGCTGATAGGGTACTGCGCGGAGGCGGAGCAGCGGCTGCTGGTGTACGAGTTCATGTGCAACGGCAGCCTCGAGGTCCACCTCTTCCGACGTACGCCGCACCTTGCCTTGCCTTGCCACGCCACGCCACGCCACGCCACGCCACGCCACGCCACATCCTTCCCCGCCCCGTTGTTTGTGCCGTGCCTGTGTCCTGTTATGTGCTGCGCCTTGCCTTGCCGTGCCATGCCATGCCTGTGCGTCTCATGTTTTGTCGTAGTATCGTGTCATGTCTCCTCTTGTCGTGTCATGTCGTGCCATGCGCACTGCGGCCGTGTGTTGCTACGTCTCCACTATTGCTTGGCGGAGTGCCAGACGTTTGTTTGCTGCCGCTCGGGTCACCCGTTTCCATCGCCATTCTCTCAGCCCCCCATAGCCCAGCATCATTGCTTTCTCACCTGATCCCAACGTCCCTCCTCCGCAATAATCTCCCCCCACTCCAATTCTCGCCCTCTCCACCATCTACCTTCTCCCACCCCATCCCCAAACCCCTCCCCACCCGCCTCTCATCCTTTCTGCTCCACCCCTCCTCTCCAACTCTGCATAAAATCCCCCCTGCAGAGCACCTGACGGTGTTGCCATGGAACACACGCATGAAGATTGCGCTGGGAGCAGCGAGGGGCCTGGCGTATTTACACGAGGAGGCCACTCGCCCCATCATCTACCGCGACTTCAAAACCTCCAATATCTTACTCACAGAGGTACGCACGCGCACGTGCTCGCGTGTGTTTCTGTGGGGTTCCGGGCATTTGGGAGGTGCGCAGGGTGCCGTAACATTACTGCTGCTGCGTTCTGTCAGTCGTATTGAATGCGGTCCATGCACTGCGCCCCTTGTCACAAGTTGTTGTTGCTGCTGCTGCTGCTGCTGCTGCTGCTGCTCCACTAGGTGGCTTACACCTCAAACCTCTCTTATCACCCGCCCGTACCCATTCCACCTCAAACTCTCTTCCTCCTCACCCACCTCCCTTTCCCCCCACTTCCTTACACCTCACACCCCCTCCTCCCCCCTCCGCCCCTCCCCCTACTCTTCATTCTCTCCCGATGTCTCTTTTTCTCCCGCCTCCCCTCCCCACGTTTCCCGTGTTTGGTCTCTCGGCGGCTCCGACCCACCCCACAGGACTTCTCCGCCAAGTTGTCTGACTTTGGGCTGGCCAAGGACGGTCCAGAGAGTGGCAAGACCCACGTGTCCACGCGTGTCATGGGCACCTATGGCTATGCTGCTCCTGAATACGTCATGACTGGTACGCAGGAGGAGGCGTGTGGGCATGCTGGCCTTGGTTGTTGCAGAGTAGGATTTTGAGGGGATGAGGGGGAACATCAAGGAAGGGGTATGGTGTTGGGATGGATGAGGACAGGGAGGGAGGGACTGGCTTGGGAAGGTTGGTCGTGCCAGGTGTGGAAGGACATGTGAAATTCGTTACTTTCTCCAATTCAATTTCCCAAGTGCGCTCCCATTGCTTCTTCGATTCCCACCACCCTTATCCTGCATATCCCCTCTCCCCACCGCCCACCAGGCCATCTGACACTGAAGAGTGATGTGTACAGCTACGGAGTGGTATTACTGGAGATGATCACGGGGCGACGATCCATGGACAAATCCTTTCCCCCAGAGGAGCACAGTCTGGTGGACTGGGCGCGCCCCTTCCTGTCGGACCGGCGCAAGGTGTTCCGCCTGCTGGACTCGCGCCTGGACGGCATGTACTCGGTCAAAGGCGCGCAGCATGCCATGGCTCTCGCGCAGAGCTGCCTCAACAGAGACCCCAAGGCGCGGCCGGTTATGAGCGATGCGGTGAAGATTCTGGAGGCGCTGCAGGATTTGGATGACATGGCGGTGTATGGTGGGGGTGGTGGGTCCGGGAGGAGAGCGGGAGGAGGAGGGGTTTCTCCGAGTTCGCCTGGAGGTGGTTCGGATGGTGGTGGAAGCGGTGGGGGGAGAGGTGAAGCTTCGTGGCAGCAGCAGCAGCAGCAGCAGCAGCAGCAGCAGCAGCAGCAGCAGCAGCAAGGAGGGTATTACTAGCAGTGGTTGGTGTGAAAGAGGGGATCAAGGGTGAAATGGAGGAGGTGGACATTCAGTGTAAGGATTGGATCTTGGAAGCTGTTTGATGCAGAGCTGAGGTTGCCACAGAGAAGAAGCAAGGGTGGGGATTGTCTACGATGAAGCTTCCATGTTCCATTCCACAGCTGCTTATACGTCCTTTGAATATTCTGGTGCATTTTTTTTGTATGGTTTATGGGGGCAGCCCTTCTATATGCGTGCATAGATTAGCCTGACAGCTAGCTGACATCCAAATGTCTATCAATGTCTGTTTCTATCTCAAACATTGTTAACAAAGGTAGGCTGTATGGCTGATTTTTAGTGCATTAATAAGCGGAATAAGTGTTTGCATAAATCGGGGTTACACTTTTGCTTTCGTGTATCGCCAGAGCGATTTTCACTTCGCCAAGCACCAACCAGAATTCGCCCAAAACCTGCAAGATGAATGTGATCTGCACCCCCATTCTGTGGTCTGGTAAGGTGCTACAATCAGCAGGATATTTTGCTGCAAAAGCGACTGACATGGCAACATTTCCCTCCTCGTGTGTCGGTCTTATCCTTCCTAGCTGCTTGACCTCCTTCAAGTACGGTTGGGACGTATTCTGTGTTCGGCTAGCTGTAATTGTCGATCGAAATATGTAACGGACCAATTGGCTTTCGGTTTGGCTGCCCCGAGACCTCTAGCAACTTCGTACGAACGATCGCAGGTTCGCTATGCCACCGCACTTAAATCCTGCTGAAAGCATTTCTGACTTTCAACACCGTTTTTAAATTCTTAATATTATGAACCTGCCCAGGTTCGATCGCAGGGTGATGCCAGAGGTGTCTCGTCCTGAGCGAGCGAGTCAGTGTTCTGTTGCTGCTGACCCGCATCCCCGTCTTGTGTTTCAATCGATGACAGCGAACCCGGATCTCGAGGCGGCTGAAGATGCGGGGCGACACAAAGGAGTTGAACAAGGTGTCCGTTGTGCCCCGCGTTTCCAGGAGCTTGAATTCAAAAATCAAACTAACCCAACCCTACCATACCCAACCACTCAGTCCCCCCTTCCCCGCCCTCCCTTGCTCCCATCAAACACAGCAGCACTTTTGCACGCAGATCTCGCCATTGCTCTCCCATCTCCCTTTTTGATAGCTCATATTCCTGTTTTGTTTCTGTAGTGGAAACTATCTCCCCGCGCAACCCTGGTACAAAGTGCATGGTCGTTGACCCGCTGATGCCAGGCGCTGCTGACTAATTATCGACCAGACACATTCCTGCTGGAGCCGAAGCCCCACGGTAGCGTGTCGCGTGCCAGCCATGTCCGCCATTCACTCGTCAGCGACTTCCTCTGCGAAGTCGCTGATTCAACCCCCTGTAGCGAGTCGCTACCCTCGCGACCAGCATCCGCGTCGCTCTCGCGCGATAACGTCAACCACCGCAGCAGCAGCATTGCCTCGCGGCTCGCCCGTGCGAGTGCAATACCCTCGCCGGTCCGCATTTCTTCGCGTGCACGGGTCTGGAAGGCCGTTTCACGGCCTCAGCAGTCTCCATGGCATCGTAAGCAGCCCTCGAGGAGGAGCGACGTGCAGGAAACGCAACGCGTCGCTGCTGCGGCTCCGAGCCGTTTCTCCCCGTGCCGGCCCGTACGACTCTGACCCTCAGCCGCCGTCGCGAACGCCGCCGCTGCCGTCTTCGTCATCGCCAGCATCATCATCCGAGGATGCTTATGTCGAGGATGCTCTCTCCGCATCAGATGTTACTGGCTCGACCGCGGGAGATCCAGCGGGATTCTCTGTCAACGACGCTGACTTTTCAGACGGCAGCTCCGGAGCTGCCAACACTGGTATAAACATCGGTAACAACAGCTACAGCGGCTACACTTCGTTCTACTCCAGGAGCAAATCCATCGGCAGTTCTTCGTCTGGCTATGGCGGCACGAGCGCGTTTTACGGCGGGACAAGCTCCGCGAGTGAAGGCGAAGAGGGGTTGTCGGATAGCGAGAGCCTATTGGAGAGCAGCGCGGAGTTGGGCGAGTATCGGAAGCGGTTAACGGATATATTGCTCGCGACGGACGTGGGGAGCTGGCAGGAGCGCATCGCGCTGCTGCGCAAGGGCATCCACAGCTCCCAAGGCCCCGCGCTGTCGGAGCTGGCGTTCCGCCGATCGCGCTTTCACCGCACGCCCGCGCCGTCGCCTGCGCCGCCGTCGCAAGGTGGGCTGATGGCCATTGGGAAGAGTCGCAGGGTTGAAGGAGAGAGGAAAAGAATGAGGGGGGTGGGAGGGGTATGGGGGTGGCAACGCGGGAGGAGAAGGGTGGGCCTGAGAATGGGGAAGGGGGGAAGGAAGGGAAGGGGGTGGAAAGCTCAGCTGCTTGGTTTTATAAATGCATGTGCGTGTGCGGGGCGGGGCGGTACGGTGTGGTGCGTCATGATGTGGTGCAATGCGGTGCGGTGCACACGTCCTAACCTCGTCGCTGCGATGCAATCCACACCTGCGTGTTTGGAGCTTCTGCAATACAGGAGAAGAGGCGCGCTTTCAAGAAGCCAAACTTACCACCATTCTGTACAATTCTCTCTGCTTGTTTGCCTGTTTTCATAAATCTGCTGCCTCTTGCTCGCTAACCAGCTCCCCTCAACTCACTCCCATCCCCGTTCTCCTTAGCAGACGCATCCGGTACTAGTTCCGCGGACTATCCTTCCGCGGACTTCGCCCCCCCGCTAGCTGCGGGGACGTGGGGGGACTCGGCGCAAGAGGGCGAGGGCGAGGGCGAGGAGGAGTGGCAGAGCTTGGCAGGAGTGCGCGGCGGCGAGTCCGCTTATGGCGCGTACGGCTCGTGGAGTGCGTCCAGCGCGGGGGAGGATACGGAAGGCGGGCTGGTGACGGACGGGGAAGGGGAAGGGGAAGGGGAGGGGGAAGGGGAGGGGGAGGGGAGGGAGGAGGTGTTGGGGATGCAGTGGTCGACGGTGTGTGAGGGCGTGGTGGTGGGAACCAGCCCTGCCACGGCTGCTGACGTGGACGTGATCAAGCGGAACATTGGCGCTGATGCCATGCTTTGCCTTGAGGTGCGCGCGTGTGATGGGGAGAGGGGAACATCGGGGGGTGGGGGAGGGAAGCATGGGGGGAAGGGGGAGCATGGGGGAATCACTTCTCTTCAGCGGGGACGTTCACTTCACTCACTGCACACATACCATCCATGCTCCCTATTCCGATAGCTTGATTTCCAGTCCTCTCATCTCTCTTCTGCGCAGCTTATCTCACAACTTTGATGCGTTGCCCCTTGCACCCACTCCGCCCCTCCCCCGCCCTCCATTCCCCCGCCTTTTCCCCGTTCCCTCGCTTATCTCCTACATTTCAGACGGACGATTGCAGGGACGCGTTGGGGTTACCGTGGAGCGAGGTGAAGGACATGGCGCAGCGCGCGGGCATTGTGGCGCTTAGAGTGCCCATGCGCCCTATGGACTCCGCCAACCAGGTGCGCAAGAGCCTCCGCGGACCAGGTGCGCAAGAGGCTCCGCGGACCAGGTGCGCAAGAGGCTCCGCCAACCAGGTGCGCAAGAGGCTCCGCCAACCAGGTGCGCAAGAGGCTCCGCCAACCAGGTGTGCAAGAGGCTCCGCCAACCAGGTGCGCAAGAGGCTCTGCCAACCAGTGTCGCAAAAAACACTGGTAAAAACCAGAAGCAATCAGTGAACGGACTCAAGCATACAGGTCTGGTTGGCGTCTTCACTGGCTGCTTAACCCCCTTCACAAGCGAGAGAGCACACAATCGAGCAGTCACGCATCCAAGGCTCAAGCAAACGCGGAAGTGAGGCCAATGAGAGACCTTTGTTTTGGGGCGTTAAGTAAGCACTCTCGGGCTCACAGCCACTCTCAGGCACGGCACAGTAGGATAGGTGTCAACCGGCTGACTGGGCACAACTGGTGCGCTCGTGAGTGCTTGCCTCCGCTTGGTGGTCTTGAATACTCTATCACAGTGTGTCGTGGCTGCTGTCCGTGTGGCTGCAGCTCTCATAAGCAAGGCCTCCTTCTCCCCTTCGCCTTCTCCGCTTGCCCCTCTCCTCGTACCTCTCTCCTCCTGCCCGTCTGCCTGTCTGCCCGTCTGCCCGTCTGCCCGTCTGCCCCTGCTCCTCTCTCCGTGCGCGCCTTTTCTCTCCTGCCCGTGCCCCCATCTTATCCCCCCGCAGGGCGCGCTTCTCCCAGAAGCCATCCGCGTGCTGTCCGCGCTGCTGCACGCGGGGCGCACCTCCCCACAGCCGCAGGCGCAGCAGGCGGAGGAAGGGCAGAGAGGGGCAGGCAGTGGCGGTGAGGGCAATGCAGGAGGATACAGGTCTGAGGCTGAGAGGGAGCGAGGAGAGGGTTTCGAAGTGTGGGACGAGGCGGCAAGGGAGGCGAGCAGTGAGGGAGGATGGATGCCGTCCGTGGCATCGCCAGGAGAAGCATCGTCAGTGTCAGCAGCAGCAGCAGCAGCAGCAGCAGCAGCAGCAGCGGCGTCATCTCCCCAGCGCACTGTGTTTGTGTGCTGCACGTCGGGATGCCATCGCAGCCCTCTGGTGGCGCTCGGGTGAGATTCGTGGTGGTGGTGTGGTGTCGTGTGGTGACGGTGGTGAGGGAATGGCTCTTCTGGTCTTCTTACCCGTGAACCGCCCTCGCGCCCTTCCCATACCCCCCCTGAAACTCCACCTTTCTTTCCAGCTTGGTTCACCACTACTCGTTCGTGATTTTCTTCTCTTTGTTGCTGTAGGATTCCCTTAAGATTCTGCTGCATTTCCACTGTCCTACTCGGCCCCCCTTCCAAAGTCCCAGCGCCCCTCACATCACTCTCAGTCTCTGATTTCTCTCTGCCTGTCCCTCTGTCTCTCCTTCTCTCCCGCTCTCTTTCTGCCTCTCTTGCTGTCTCTATCCCTATCCGCCCCTCTCCCCCTCTCCGCCCCTTTCTCCCATTTCCCCTGCACAGCTTCCTCACATTTGTACGTGGCATGGAGTACCGTGATGCCAAGACGCTGCTCATCAACGCGTGCCCTGAGGCTGTGCCCTCCTTCCAGGCGTGGGACGATGTGAGTCTCACGAGCACCTTTTCCACGATGTGTGCCCTTTGATGGAACGGAATGGAACGGAATGGAACGGAATGGGATGGAGTGAGACCGAAGCAATGCACTATGCTCTGATATCCGCAGAGCAGTCGTCTGCCTTGTTCCCGCACATTGCTCGCCGCCCAAGCAAGCAACAAGCTGGCAGCGGTGCACATGGAGGGAGGGGCTCCTCCTCACTACTTCCCATCCCTTCTTATCCCTTCTCACCCCTCACCGCTGCTTTTTCCTTATTCCCTCCGTGCGTCCGTTTCCGTCCGTGTATGTTTGTTTTGTGTGTGTGTGTGTGCGCGCGCGCGCGCGCGCGCTCGCGAGCGTGAATGTGTGCATGCATGCGTGTGTGTGCGCCTGTGTGCATATCTGTGGTTGTGATCCTCTGAGTGTGCCTGCCTGTGCACGTGTGTGTCCATGTGGGGGTGATTGTGTGGGTGCATGCGTGTGCTTATCTGTACGGGCATGGCCTATATGTGCGGGAATGGCATGGCACGGCACGGCATGTCACGGCACGGCATGGCACGGCACGGCGTGGCACACCGCACCACCAGGCGAGCAGCAAGCTAGCAGCGGTGGACATGAAGGGGCTGACCATGCGAGCAGAGGACATCAAGGCACGCCGCATGCAGCAGGGCCTCCCGGGCGAGTCCGTCGACGACTGGCTGGTGGGTGTGACTGTTGCTGCAGTGCTGTCAATTTTGAGGTGCCTTTTGAGTCGACTAAAAAATCAAGTTGTCATTCTCGGGGGAGTCCATCGGCGACTGGCTGGTGGGTGTGACTGTTGCTGCAGCGCTGTCCACTCTTGAGGTACCTTTTGATTTGAGTCGACTTTCAAAACTCGACTTGTCATTCACGGGCGAGTCTGTCGATGACTGCTGGTGCGTGCTGCTGCTGTGCTGCCAATTTTTTAGGCGCCTCAAAATACGCGCCGCTTGTATAAAGGGTCTCCCGGGCGAGTCTGTTGACGACTGGCTGGTGCGTGCTGCTGCTGCTGTGCTCTCAAGGGGCGCTAAGCTAACGCCACGTTGTGCTGGGGAGTGGGTGCTGAATGGTGGATGTCTGGTGGTTGGCTGCGCTGTTGAGGGTTTCTAAGTCTCATGGTTCAGGGTCTAGTTTGAGGGGAACGGGAAACAGGAGGGGTTGGGTTGAGAAGAGCTAATTTGCGGTGATAGAAGTTGTTTGTGGGGGGAGGAGAGCGGATGGTGCATGGTGAATGCCTGGTGGTTGGCGGGCTTCTTTGTGCATCCCATTCTTCGGGTTGCTCTGACTCAGCGTAGAAAGTTTAGCTGAATTCTATTGCTGAGGCGCCTAAACGGTTCTCATTCAGTCAGGCCAGGAGTCAGTTGGATGCATGGTGCGCTGGCGTTGCATGCCATGCCATGGGGTGTGCTGTCTCATGGAAGTTAGGCGTCTCGCTGCTTGCCATATGTGGGAAGGAGGTAGGTAGCTGGACGTTTTAACTGTCAATGGTGCACCCTTCTGAGCGTATGTTGCAATGCTCATGCACTTGTGTGTGTCCGGGGGCATGTGCATGTTTGTGCATGCGTGCATGCCCGTTTGTGTGCCATCTCTGTATCCCTGCACATGTGCATGGGTGCATGGGTGCATGGGTGCATGGGCGGCATGGGTGCATGGGCGGCATGGGTGCATGGGCGGCATGGGTGCATGGGCTGCATGAGTGCATGGGCGGCATGGGTGCATGGGCTGCATGAGTGCATGGGTGCATGGATGCATGGGCGGCATGAGCGGCATGGGTGCAGGCGGCGCAGCGGTCGCTAGTGGCGGATCACTTTCAGCAGCAGCTGCACAACGACCTTGTTATTGCCAACTCTCTTTACAGGGTACTGCCCCCTTCTCCTGCCTGCACGTGCTCCCCAATTCCCCTTTTATTGCTGCCTGCTGGTTCTCGTGCTGAAAACCTTCCCTCCCCGCTCTTTACCTCGCACCCACCTTGCACCCACCTCGCACCCACCTCGCTTCCATCTCGCACCCACCTCGCACTCACCATCTGGACCCACCCCACACCTGCTCCTGCATGCCCATTCCGTCGTCCCATCAACCACCCACGCATGAACGCTCCTGAAGTCGCACCAACATTTACTTGTAAATTGCTCTCGAAAACCAAAAAAGAACAACAGAAAGAATCATCAACAAGCAAACACCCATGTATGGGCTATCCATCGGTCAACCCACCAGGATGTGACTACCCGTGAGGACTCGCCTGTAGCGGCAGAGAGCCGAGGGCAGGGAGTTGAAGCCTCGGGCGCGGCAGCCTTAGAGGCTGAAGCTGCAGGCGCAGTGGCAGGGGCAGACGCGGCAGCAGGGGCAGGCGTGGCAGCAGCTGTGGCAGCAGGGGCGGGTGCGGCAGCTGTGGCGGCAGCAGCACTGGTTGGTGAATTCCCTGCGGCTGAGGCTGGGATAGCAGGCGAGAACATGCTGCAAGAGCTGGGTGAGTATGGTCATGCTGCTGCTGCTGCTGCTGCTGCTGCTGATTCTGCTGATTCTGATGGGACGTTGGGCGGCGGGATTTTTGCAGAGGATGTGGGCCTGGAAGGGGATTGGAGTGAGGTAGAGGGGGAGGGAGAGGGAGAGGGAGAGGTGGTGGAGGGTGGAGAGGAGGTGGTGGAGGAGCGAGAGGGAGGGGAAGAGGAGGAGTGGCATGCAACGGCAGAGTGGCTGGGATCGACAGGCGAGTGGGAGGACTCGGGAGAGTCGGAGGTTGAGGGTGGTGTGGGAGGAGGGGTTGTGGGTGAAAGCGCATGGCTGCAAGCACAGAGGGGGCTGGGTGATGGTGATGGTGATGGTGATGGTGATGATGGTGCTTTTGCAGCAGCTGCTGCTGCTGGTACCACTGCGGCTGCAGATGTGGTTGCGATTGAAGGTCTGGAAGGAGGAGTTGAAAGTGAGGAGTGGTTGGGGAGGGCGGGTGTGAAAGGGGTTGAGAGCGGTACTGACAGCGAATGGGGTGGTGCTGCTGCTGGGGGTGTTTTTGTGGGGGCGGCATGGGGGGATGAGTACGAGCAGCAGTACCAGGAGTGGCGTAAGGAGGAGGAGGCACGGGAGAGTGAGAGCGAGAACGAAAATGCAAAGTGGGATGCAAACGAGGGGGAGAGAGGGGAATGGGAAGAAGGTGAGGAAGAGGGTGGGGAGAACAGGGAGGAGGTATTTGGGGAAGGTGGTGATGATGATGTGGAAGCGAGGGTTGGAGAGAGGCTGCTGGAGATAGTGGGTGGTGTGGGGGAGGGTGTGGGGTTGGTGGGAGGAGGCACGGGTGACTGGGCTGATCCGGAAGCAGTTGTACCTGAAATCGGGGCAGGGACCGCTGCTGCTGCTGCAGTCGATTATTGCTGCTGCTGCTGCTGCTGCTGATGATGATGATGATGATGATGTTGACGAAGCTGCTGATGATGCTGACGGTTACTATGATGAGGATATGCTTCCTGTTGTGGGAGGTGCGGCGACTGAAGAGGGCGAGGGGGAGGTGGAGGAGGGCGTGTTTGTCACTGCTGAACAGGAGATGGTCCTGAACGAGGAAGAAGAAGGGGAATGGGAGGACAGGGAGGAGGGGGAGAATGGGGAGGAGGAAATGGAGGAGGGGGTGGAGGAGGGGGTGGAGGAGGAGGAGTGGAAGGGGAGTGGGGAGGTGGAGAACGGCGAGGTGCTTGGGTTGAGGGAGGCACTGGCAGCCATGCAGGAGGAGCTGCGACAGGCCGTGGGCTTGCAGGCTCAGGTGGGCTTGCAAGGGTGCATGGGGGGTGGAAGCGTGTATGTGTATGAGTATGTGTCTGAGAGAGTGAGTGTGAAAGGAAAGGGCCGTGTGTGCAAGGATTCCCATTTGCACAAGCTGTCGCTGATGCATGGCCTGATGAGATAAAAAAGACAATCTGATCTTATGTAACTGCCAACAGTCTTATCTTACTTTGAGTCGACTTGAAACTCTCTTTATCCCCGAACCTCTTCCCCCTATCTTCCCCCCTCCTCCCTACCCTTCTCTCTCCTTGCTCCCTGCTCCTTGCTGCGTGTTGTTTGCTTCATTCTCGCTCGTATAAAATCCCATGGCGGCCCACCAGGCACAGCAGGAGAGGCAGCAGCTGCAGCAGAGGTTCCGAACGCGGGAGGAGGAGCTGCAGCAACAGCTGCAGGGCATGCAGCAGCAGCTGGAGTTGGCACGTGTGACAATCGTGGAAGAAGCAGCAGCCGCCGCACTGCTGGCAGAGGCAGCAGAGGCTGCTGCTAGTGCAGCTCTGGCTGAAGCGGCTGAAGTGGCCGCGTACGCTGAAGCCGCGGGGGCAGTGATGATGGGAGAGGGTGGGGAGGGTGGGGAAGGAGGTGTGGAGAAGAATGGGGAGGAGGAGGGTGCTATGGGAGTTGCAGAAGGGGTGGGGGCTGGGGCTAATGCTGCTGTTACTGCTGCTGCTCCTGCTGCTGGTGTTGATGTTGGTGATGCAGGCGAAGGGAAGGATAAGCTTATGGCAGACATAGCTCAAGCTGGTGCTGCTGCAGGGGCAGTAGCAGCCTCGGCTGCAGCAGTTACAGCTGCGTCTCGCGGAGTTGTTGGAAAAGCTGATCAGCAGCAGCAGAAGCAGGCGCCGCCCGTGGAGCAGCAAGACTCAGAGCAGCAGGATGAGAGCCGGGAGGGCAAGGAGAAGGAGCGTGAGGAGGCTCTACTCCTCGCGCGCAGCAGAGCCGACTTCCTCCTCCGCCGCCTCGACATAGTCACCCAGCGCGAAGCCTCTGCCCGCGACGACCTGACCACCGCCCGCCGCCAGCTGGCAGCCGCTGCTGAGCTGGCAGGGTCTCTGCGGGCGGCGCAGGCGGAAGCGGCGGCGGCGCGGGAGGAAGCGGCGGCGGCGCGGGAGGAAGCGGCAGCAGCGAAGGCGGAGGCGGCTAGGAGGGAGCAGCAGCTGCAGGCGCTGGTGCAGGCCGGTGAAGCGGATGTGGCAGCGGCAAGGGCACGAGCAGCGGCAGCAGAGGCGGAGGTGCGGGCGAGGGTGGAAGAGCAGGTGCAGATGGAGAGGATGATTCGTGCGGCGGAGGAGACGGCAGCGGCTGCGGAGGGGAGGCTGCGAGCAGGGCTGGAGGCTGGAGAGGCGAGGGTGAAGGCTGCGCAGGTGACTGCTGCGGGGGCGAGGAGGAGGGAGGAGCAGGCGAGGGTGGCAGTGGAGGTGGCCGAGAGGAGGGTGGCGGCTCTTGAGAGGGAGTTGCTTGCAATGAAGACACGGCTTCAGGGCAAGCAGGGTAAGGAGGGTGGCGAGGTTGGGGAATCGGGAGCGGGTGCAGAGGCAGTGACTGGGAGGGAAGAAGCAGTGGTAGAGAGGTCAGCAGCTGTAGCGGAAAAGGCACTGGTGGGTGAGGGTTCTGCAGTTCAGGTGGGTGGTGAACAGGCGTCCTTTTCTGCGGACGTGCGGGCGGCGCTGGAGGCAGCGGAGCAGCGGGTGCAGGCAGCAGAGGAGCGCGCGCAGTTTGCAGTGCGGCAGCTGGAGGTGATGCGCGCACAGAGGGAGGAGGGGCAGCGGCGCGCCGAGGCGGCTGAGAGGAGGGCGAGGGAGCTCGCTGTGAGGGTGGCAGAGGTGGAACAGAAGGTGGCGGAGGCTAACTCGCAGGCGAGGCTGTTTAACATGTGTGTGGAGGCTATGGCGCGGGAGGAGGGGGAGAGCGATGGGGGAGAGAAGTGAGTGCGGAGAGGGAAGTGGGATAGGGGGGTGCGATGGGAGATAAGGTGAGGTGAGGCGTGGAGAGGGAGGGAATGGGATTTGGGGTGGGTGGGTCCTGCTGGGGGAATTTAGAGAGTTGGGAGGCTTTTTTCATGCCTTTCTGTGCCATGTGGTTGTGAGATGGGATGGAAGCACTAGTGAGGGAGGATGAAGGTGGTATGATGTGGTTTTGTATGGTTTGGCACTGGTAACCTGGTGAGACCAGTGTTGGAAATTCGGACATAATATAGGGCGTCTGAGGGTGCCAGCAGCAGCCAGTCCCAGCACCCGTCGTGGGTATTGTTTGTTTGACCACCTGACAATACCACATTGATATCTGTTTGCTGACTTCCTGCGTAGTTGCTTAGTAATTGCATTTCTTTTGCAGTAGGTAGACTGCGCTGCATTAGCATTCATTCACGCTTCTGTATTCGCTAGACCCTATTTATGGATATACTGTTGGTACCCACATTTGTATCTAAGCTTTAAAGCCGGCAGCCCAAATTGCACAAGTTTTAAAAGGTTGACGCGAGGGGGTTTTTGACGCGAGGGGGTTTTGGCGAAAGATTCCGATTTCGCTTTTTTCGTTTTTTTCGCCAAACCCAGCCCGCCCTCGTATTTCGCCCTGGGGGTTGGTTCAGTTCCCAAAAGTCCCAAATTGCAGGCACGCTTTTCTTCAAACCTTGAAAACACTAGTTCGTCAAGTTTTAAAAGCTTGACCCGCGCGGCCCGCAATTTGGGACTCGGGCTTTAATACTAGCAAACATGAATGCTGGTCGTAGCATCATCATGCTGGTAGGTACACTTGATCCCCGACGATGCCTTTCTGCTCTCACAGGCGATCATGCATCGCACGGTCCACCGCATCGTACGTGTATCGCATCATCCCATCCATGCATGATCCGGCCAACCAGCATGATCAGCGCGCCAATTTTCGTGCTTGCAGGCGGCGCCTTGAACCTCCCTGCTTTCACTTTGCGCTTCCGCTTCGGTTGATCTGAAGGGCTTCGCTTCGGTTGCAACCAAAAACCCGTGTCTTGCCATGCATCACCCTCGTTCCCTTCAGCTAGGTAACTGCCAAGCGCCGCCGATATCCTGTCGTCGCAGCTAGTCCCCAATCGCGGCTTCTCATATTCCGAATCCTGCTATGGCTTCTTTCTCCCTTTACGCCTCCCCCTCGCAACCTCCGCCGCAGCCGCTGCCGCATGCGGTGCTAGCCTCGCAGGCCGGGGGGGCGGCTCCGCCAGCGCCTGTCCCCGCGCCTATGCGCCGATCCGCGCCCGGGCAGCCTGGGCCACGCGGCCCGCCATGCGCGCCGCCGTCGTTCGGCGAGCCGTGCAATGCGGCGTGTTTCGCGGCGGTGGGAAGCAACCCAGCCACGGCTCCCGTGGGCGTGTGGTGGGACCTTGCGCGCTGCCCCATTCCGACAAACGTTCCGCCAAACTTTCCGCCAAACGTTCCCCCGAACGTTCCGCCGATCGTCCCCCCGGGTGAAGTGGCGGGGCGGCTGCGCGCGGCGCTGGCGGCGCAACACCGCCACGGGCCGCTATCCGTGCACGCGTTCGACGACATGACGCGATTGGATCCGCGAATCGCGGAGGCGCTGAGCACGTCCTGCGTGACTCTCCACCACGTGCCGTCAGGATCCACGTCAGCACCAGGATCCCCGAACGACGCAGCGCTTCACAATTCAACTATCCAGTCTAGGATTCAGTCTTCTAACGACGAGTCTAGGAGGCAAGCCTCTGCGGATAAGGCGGTGCTGACGTCACTGCTGCTCTGGGTGGTAGACCACCCTCCCCCCGCTTCCGTGTTCCTCGTCTCCTCTGACGCTGGCGCCGCCCCCGCGTTGCACGGCCTCCGATTCCGATCGTACGACGTCCTCCTCGCCGCGCCGCTAACGGCGCCGCTGGCTGTGCCGTCCTACCCCCCCGCGGCTTGCGATCCGCATTCCGCCTCCGCCTCCGCCTCCGTCTCCGCCTCCGCCTGCGCCTCCTTACCGTCCGCTCACCCGCAGCTCGCATCGCTCATGGCTGCCGCGACAATTACGTGGGACTGGATCAAGCTGCTCCGCCCCCCGCCTTCTCCCTCCCCCTCCCGCGCGCCCTCTCCATTCCCCCCTGCCCCGCGCAACCCACAGACTCCCGCGCTCTCCCCCCTGCCCCCGTCGCTCCCCTCTTCCGCGCCCGGCTCCGCCTCACATCCTGGTGGGGCGCATGCTCCTCCCGCCGTTCCGCTGCCTGCTTCCGCCCCCAACTATACAACGATGCCCCCAACTTCCGCGCATCCCTCCGCGCATCCCTCCGATCACATGGCGCACCTGCTTGCGCATGGGGTGCAAGGGGGTCCAGCAATGACACCAGGCGCCTTCCCAGGAGCGCTTGCAACTGCATCTGCAGTGGCAGATCCCTATGCTACTGTGAAGGTCAGTGCGGCATGGGGTGATGAAGGAGGGGTGGGAGGCGGGCAGTTGCAATGGCAGGCGCAACAACCGCAACAGCAACAGCATGAGCCGCATTGGCAATGGCAGCAGCAGCAGCAGCAGCAGCAGCAGCACGATGCTGTCTGGCCTGTAGAGCAGCAGAGGGGGAGCATGTGGGGTGCGCAGACGGCACAGCAGCAGGAGCTAGAGGAGAAGGGCGAGGATGAGCAAGAGGAAGAGGAGGAAGAGGAGGAAGAGGAGGAAGAGGAGGAAGAGGAGGAAGAGGAGGAGGAGGAAGAGGAGGAAGTGGGGGAGCAAAATAGCGAAGCGCAGCAACAGCAGCCGTGGTGGTGCCTACAACCGCTAGAGCTACAGCAACAGCAACAGCAACAGCAACAGCAACAGCAGCAGCAACAGCAACAGCAACAGCAACAGCTACAGCAACAGCAACAGCTACAGCAACAGCTACAGCAACAGCAACAGCAACAGCTACAGCAACAGCAACAGCTACAGCAACAGCTACAGCAACAGCAACAGCAACAGCTACAGCAACAGCAACAGCTACAGCAACAGCAACAGCAACAGCAACAGCAACAGCAACAGCAACAGCTACAGCAACAGCAACAGCAGCAGCAGCAGCAACAGCAACAGCAGCAGCAGCAGCAACAGCAACAGCAGCAGCAACAGCAGCAGCAGCGGCAGCAGCAGCGGCAGCAGCAGCAGCAGGTGGCGCAAGCATCAACAAGCACTGGCGCTGCAGGGAGCAGCTGGCGGAGCTCAAGAGAGGGCGGGGCATTAGAGCACCCCATCGCAAACGGTCCCACTACCACCACCACAAGCTCTCAGGCCCCATGGCTGACAGGAGGTCCCAACTCCAGGGGCTCACATGATGCCGCTGGTAGTGCTTCTGCTGCTGCGGCAGCAACAACCACAAATGGCACAACCATAGGCGCCAGTACAACAGAAGGAGGGGCTTGTGGTGGTCCTACCACAGTTGCACCGCCGAGAGCATCAATGGGCGTTCGCACGGGCAATGCTGCTGCTGCTGCTGCACTAGGGGCTAGCATTGCCCCAGGCAGCAGTGGGTCGACCACAGGCGGCGCTGCCAGCAGCAGCAGTGGCAATGGGGTTGCCATTCCGTTGCCATTAGGTACCAGTGGCGTTACCAGCGGAGTAACCAGCATTGGCGTTGTGGCCCCTCCGGCGCCCACAGGCTGGGGCACTCCTCCTGCCTCCCCTCCGTTCAAGCCCCCGCCTCCTCTCCCTTCCCCCGCCACTACTTGGGACACTGACCTTGTATCAACGTCTTGGGACCCTCCTCAATCCGCCCAGCCCCCCGCTGCTGTTGCTGGGGCTGCTGGTGGTGGTGGTGCTGTTGCTGCTGCTGCTGCGCCTTCTCCGTCCCCTGCTTCTGCTGCCGCTGCCTCTGCTACCACCGCTGGTGTCCCTGGTGCTGCAGCAGGCGCACGGGCAGTAGAAGGTAGCAGCAGGGCTATGAGTGCTCAGAAGCCAGGGGGAGCGGGTTGGGGGGACGGCGAGGGGACTGCAGATGGGGGGAGTGCAGGGAGAGCGGGGGGGTGGGGCAGTGGAGGGGTGGTGAAGGTGAGAAACGAGAGAGGGAGTGGTGGTGGTGCTTTGAGATGGGGTGATGATAAAGATAAGGATGAGGGAAGGTGGGGGGGTGGTAACTGGGGGGATCAAAAAGTGGTGAGGGACTGGGGTGGAAGGTGGAAGGAGCAGGGCACGGGAGGGAGGTGGGGAGAAGATTCCAGGAACGGTGGAGGGAAAGGAGTATGGGTGGCAAAGGGAGTGGGAGAAAAAACCGCCGGTAAAAGCAACAATAACAACATCACCAGTAATAGCAATAACAACAACAGCACGAGCAGTGGCGCTTCAGCTTTGGATACCGATCGCAGCCGCAACAACAGCACCAAGAGCAACAGCAGCAGCAGTAGCGATGACTGGCGAAGTGCACGGGCTCGCAACCTGTCCTCCTCTTCCTCCTCGTCCACATCTCACCCTGACTTGCCAGACACCACCCCCAGCAGCAACAGCAACAGCAACAACAACAACAACCAGTCGCAACCTCGGCCGCAGCAGCAGCAGTCAAGTCATGTGCGGGAGAGTGAGAAGGCAATCCTGCAGCACGTGTTCAATGGGCTGAGAGCCGATCAGATGCCTCCAGACCGCTGCAACGTGCTGGGGCGGATCAAGGAGCGCCTCCGCTCCTCCCGTGCGGGCGCAGCAGCAGGAGGCGGAGCAGGAGGAGGAGCAGCAGTGCAGGAGGAGGCTGAAGCGCTGCTAGCCCGAGCCCTGCAGAGTGGGGAGGTCGTGAGTGCATTCGCGCATGGCAAGGGACATAAGAATGCCGGGGGTGGCGGGGCTGGGAGGGGTGTGCGTGTGCTGCTGCCGAAGGAGCTTGTGGGGGGAGGCGGAGGGGGAGGCAGCGATGGGGGCCTGGGCGAGGGAGGCGGGTGCTGAGAGTTCTACGATGCGAGCAGGGATGTGGATGTGCTTGGAGCGGACGTGTGGGACGCGTTTGGGCGGTTCCTGGCTTCTGCTGACGGCGAGGCGGAGATGAAGAAGAGCAAGAGCAGGTGGGGAGGGACGGAGGGGGGGAGCGAGGGAGAGAGGAAGAGAGGGCGAGAGGGCGAGAGGAAGGGTGGGAGGAAGGGAGGGAGGGAGCGAGGGAGGGATTGAGGGAGGGAGTGAGGGAGAGAGCAAGCGAGGGAGCGAGGGAGGGAGGGAGGAAGGGAGGGAGCGAGGGAGGGAGGGAGCGAGGGAGGGAGGGAGCGAGGGAGGGAGGGAGCGAGGGAGGGAGGGAGCGAGGGAGGGAGGGGGTCAGTGCTGCAGGTTCTTCTCTCGCGCGCATTATCCATGTCTTGGCCGTTACTAACCTCCACTCCACACACCATCATCAGTCTTTGACTGCTTCCCGCTCTCCCCGCATCCCACCATCTACACCATCCCTACCCCAACCTCCTCACCCAATCCCTATCCATCATCCCCACCCCTCCCACCCCTCCCACCCCTCCCTACCCCTCCCACCCCTCCCGCCAGGTACGATGCAGTTCTCCTCCTCAAGGCACGTGGCCCAGCTGCCCTGCGCGCGCAGCCGCTGGGCCTGCTGGTGCTGCTGCTGCAGCTGGCCATCTCGCACCGCCGCTGGCTGCACCCGCGCTCCACTGCCTGGCTGCCCCTCACCATCACCCTCCCCCGGGAATATGTCCCCAGGGGAGTGGCCGATGGGGGTGAGGGTGAGGGGGTGGGGGGGAAGATGGGGCAGGGGATGTGTGAGGTAGGTGGCTGTGATGGCTGCTGATGCTGGTGGCAACAGGGCAGGGCACTGGTTAAAGGTGGAGATTGCGAGAAGGGCTGTTTAAAATTTTGTGGCTATCACTTGGGAAGGAGTCAGGTGATGGGATTTTTGTGTGCTGTGCAGTGCAGTGTAAGGTTGATCTGGTGAGATTTGTTTCCATTGGCATCGTAATTTATAGCTTCTGGTATTTTGAAGTAGTTTTTTTCAGCTATTACAAGTCGATCCAGGCAAATACACTGCAGACCTGGGAGTAGTTTTCCATGGTTTGCATTGCAGCAGGTCAAAGCTCATAACGCAGCCATTTAGTTTGTGTACGGGCTTCCGCAGTTATTTCGTTTCGACGAGATTGGTGACAGCAAATCGATGTTCTTGTACGGAGCTTAGTTCTTGTTTCGATGCTGCGACTCGCCCCTTGCGCAGCACGCGCATCGGCCCACTTAGACAGCACACAGACCGCGATCCTGTCCCTTGTCTTGGGGGAGCCACATTCATCTGAAACTCCTCTGATTGGATAGTCACCCGTGTCTGTCCACATACATTCATCATGCGGCCATTTTCAGGTGCATGCAGCTTAGTCGAGACGCGTTATTCAGGTGCATGCCAGGTTGCTTACACTTTTCTCAGGTTAAAAAATGTATCTCGGAAATTAACACGCAGTTCAAGATTCGATTAAAATTGGCACAAAAGGTCTGAAATAGATGCAATTTCGGGCTACGCAAATTGGAATCGGAATGGTTGGCTCTCGATGCTGCATTTTCTGACGTAACTCAGTGTAATGATTGCATTTTGTCCAATTTATACGCAAATTTCTGCTTTGCACCAACTCATTTCGAACGAATCTAATGCTAGATCTGTTGTACTTTTGACGCAGATGACGGACGCTGCGCATGGCAAATCAGCAAACCCTTCGTGAGTGTTTGTATATTTTGCCTCTACCAAACTAAGTTTGCCGTACGTGCATATTGAAATAGGTGGTATTCAACGGCCTTAATTACGTGGCATTAAATATACATGTAACATACGATATATCCTTAATAGCGGTAGGGGTAACTCACTCTTAACACTCGGGCATATTTATCGTGTTTCGGACTACCCTTTTCAAGCAATGCACGTCCCACTAGAGTTTGCTGATTTGACCCGCGAAGCGTCCGCCACCTGCGCCAACAGTACAAACGATTTAGCATTACAATCCGTTCAAAAAGATTTGGTGCGAAGCAAAAAATTGCGTAGAAACTGGGCAGAAATGCAATCATTGCACTGAGTTACGTCAGAAAATGCAGCATCGAAAGCCAATCATCCCGATTCCGATTTGCGTATTCCGAAATTCCATCTATTTCAGATTTTTTGTGTCAATTTTTATCGAATCTTGAACTGCGTATTCATTTACGGGAGAAATTGTTTAACCTGAGAAAAGTGTACGCAACCTGGCATGCACCTGAATAACGCGCCTCGACTAAGCTGCATGAACCTGAAAATGGCCGTTCATCATGAGTTCTCTTTTCCCGAACGCCCATCCCCGTTTCGCTGGCGTCGTCAGCCTTTCGCTGAGGTGGACATCTCTGTTACCGCATGCCACGAATTAGCCGCGCTCAGCCCCCTTCGTCGCGTCTCGTCCCATTTGAACAAAAGCGCCGGCGCACAGATGAGTTATCAGACCACCACACGTCCAACCAAACCACCGAAGCAACCAATCAGCACACACACTTTTGGTCGCTCGCTTGGTCGCGCAGCTTGCTCGCGAAGTGGTTTTTTCCATTCATTCAGGGTTTCGCAAGCGATGCCTCCACGCGCCAGCTCGGTGAGGCATTCGCTTCACACACACCCAGCATCCGCGGCGCGGGTCCGCTCACCACCATCCCACGAATTTTTGGCACAGGCGAGGCGAGGCGATCATAGGGGAAAATGCTGGGCTGGCCTGGTGTGTTCGCTTGTGTGAGCTCTTGCCTTGCCTCACCACTTCTGCCCCGAGGGGCTCTGGGGACTGGTCTGCTGTGTGGTGTGGTGTGTGCAGTCCCCCCTTGGTTCTGGCCCCTTACCCATTTCCCTGGCTTTCTCATCATCATCATCACCAACACCACTTGGCTGTCCGCATATCCATGCACACATCCATGCACCCCCTCACCAGACGTCCATTCACCTGCAAAACGTCGATGCCCACCCGAACATCCGGCACCCAATTGATTCCACGTTTCCCAAGGGTATGCAGCATCGCTTCATAAATTGCTACTTATGTCCTCCAGCATGCCGTCTGCCCGTCCGTCCCTCACAACCATCTTTCAATTCTAGCGGATCTCAGCAAGCCGCGCAACGCTTCGCGCGATGAGCTGACCTGTGCGTACTCTGCTGACGGAGTTGTTCTTTCCTCCATCCGCACATGCCGCCTCTCCCGAGTCCCAACTCCCAACCACGAGTTTGAGTCCCAACCCGACCCGAATTGAATCCTCATATCGCGCTTCGCTGCTGACAGGCCGTCGATAAACTCGGCGAGGCGATCCCGTCAATCCCGTCTGTCCATGCGGCCTCCTGTTCCTGGGGCGCCTAAAAAATAGACGCGGCCCTGCCTCGGTTTCTCCGTCCACACGTCCTCCCGTCCTGCCGTCAGCAGCATGCCACATGCGCGCTCCTTACCGCCGCTTCTAGAAGCAGACCTCCTGCTGATCCATTTCCACACCTGCCGCACAGCTCTCGCCTCGAATCAAACCCAGCCGAAGCAAACCGACTCGTCTCTCTCGTTCTCCCCTACCGCTCCTCTTGCACGCCCCACGTGACAATTCGACTCGGAATGAGCGGCTCGGCGAGCTCGCGAGGTTCTGGAGGTGCCACTAGAGATCAGTCGAAACTTGAACGATGCGAATTAGAGATCGTTTCATTTGAGCTCCCGTAAGGGACGGCTCTCAGGAACTCTCGTGACGTTGACTTTGATAAGAAGTCGTGACCTCGAGGTAATAAGGCAGCGTCTCGCGAGAGTTTATCATTGCCAACAGGCCACGCAAAGACTTAGTGATAGGTCAAAAGTCGAGCAGTTACGAAGTCGTGAGAAGCCGTGAGAAGCGGTGAGAAGACGCGCACAGCTACAAAGCCGTGAGGAGCCAGCACCAATCCCTCTGCGGCCTGGCGCTGCCGGTGTGCCAGTCCACCGCGGCCGCGGTTACGGCCATTCGTCCATACACAGGCCATGAAAAGTTCCTTCCTCTCCGCCTTCTTTCCGCTGAGTGAATCTCGTCGTCGATACTACTGTGGCCTCCTAGATTTGGCGCGTCGCCGACACATTCATTCACCAAGTTTCACTTTCGTGCGGTCGCTGCCTGCCACGTCACCTAGTACTACTGCTACCAGGACTAGAGCTACTTAGTGGGATTCACGCGTAAAACTCTCGATCAGCGGCGGCAATCTTGCGCGTGGCTCGAGCAGGTTTGAATGGCTGCGGGGAACGTGGCACATGGCGGAAAACAGTCGAAGCTGTTGCTGTCGGTACCCTCTCATTGGTCCATTTCCCGTAGTAGTTTCAGCGCCAGAGGGAGTGGCAGCGGCAGCGGCAGCGGCAGCGGCAACGGAAGCGGAAGCGGAAGCGGAAGCGGAAGCGGGAGCGGAAGCGGAAGCGGGTCGATGCTGCTATTTCGCTGGAAACACTGGCTGCTGCTAAGAGCTGCGAGGCGACACGGCGTTGTCGCAGTGGCGCGTGCGACGCTGTCGGTCGTGCTGCTGCTGCTAGCGACGCAGCAGCTCATGTTCATGCGAACTCAGGACGCGTCGCTCGACGCCCCTGCGACGGTTGCGACGCCGGCCGGCTTACGCCGCGGCGGCGGCGTCGCCGGCGGCGCCGGTGGTGTGGCTGAGCGACAAGCGCACATGTTGCTGCTTTCGCGAGGTAGGTTGCGGCTGCTCGCGCGCTTTAAAGTTGAGTCACAGAACCTTCTCGTTCTTTCCTTACCTCTCCTCTGATCTTATTCCCTCCTATGTCCCGTCTTCCCCACCCACCTCACCCCGCCTCACCCACCCCGTAGGTTCGCAACCGTCCGATCTAGACACCTTGCCCGCCGCGATTGCGCTGGCGCGATCCGCCGTTGGACGGTCGCTGTTACACGGCGACGGGAGGGAAGCCGACGGCGAAACGAACGAGCGCCTCCTCTTCCCGGATAGGCGTAGGTGGGACGGGACAGAGAGCAGCAGCGGAGGCGGGGACGGGGGTCAAGAGAGGAGCGTGAGCGAGCAGGGAGGAGATAACGCGCGATGGGAAGCAGGGGAGGAGGAAGGAGAGGGAGGGAGGACGGCGTCTCGCCATTTGGGAGTATCGGTTGCAGGAAGCGCGTCAGCAGAATCAGGAGCATCAGCAACAGCAGGTGCGGCAGGTGCTGCAGGTGTGGCAGGCGCGGCAGGTGCGGCGGATGCGGCAGGAGCAGGCCGTGCAATGCGTGGAGCAGGCAAGGGGCCAGGAAGAGAGAAGGTGCGGCGGCTGAGGCAGTGTCTGCTAGCAGTGCAGGCGTATCTGGGGGCGGCTGTGGAGTTCAGGGACAACGCGATGGCGGAGCAGAGCAGGAGAGAGATGAACCGCTGCCTGCTCCTGCTCTCCGTCTCCTCCCCGCTTCCGCTGCCGCTTCCTCTCACTCTCCTCAACACCTCCGCCTATGCGCATGCAGCTTCGGCGGTTGCTGATGCCCTGTTGACGCTTGGTGGCGGCAGCAGCGGCAGCAGCAGCAGCAGCAGCAGCAGCAGCAGCAGCAGCAGCAGCAGCAGCAGCAGCAGCCGTCATGGTGGTGGCAGCGGGAGCAGGAGCGGGGGAACGAGGGGGAGCAACAGCGGACGGGGCAGTTACGCGGACAGCAGCAGCCATGGCAAGGAGAGAAGCGCGACAGCTTCTTCAGAGAGAAGCAGCGCGCTCGTGAGGCTGGAGGAGCGGCTGGGCGAGGCAGGGCGGACTTTTGAGACGACTCAAAAGTCACCTCATGGCAAGGAGAGAAGCGAGACAGCAGCATCTGCGGAGAGAAGCAGCGCGCTAGTGCGGCTGGAGGAGCGGCTGGGCGAGGCAGGGCGGCAGGCGGACGCGGTGGTGCGGCAGAGCATGCTGTTCAGCCACGTGGCCTCCACCGCCGTGCCTGCCCCGCTGCACTGCCTCTCCCTCCGCCTCACCCTCGCCGCCCAGAACGCGTCCCTGCGCCGCTCGTGGCTCCCTGCTGCTGCTGCGCCTGCTGCAGCGCTGCAGGTGGAGGGGAAGGAGGAGGGAGACGGGGAGGAAGGAGAGGGGGAGGACGGGGGGAAGGAAGAGCACGTGGGGAGGGGTAAGGCAGGTGTGGTGAAGAGAGGAGAAGGGGAAGGAGGAGGAGGGGACGGAGAGAAGGAAGAGGGAGATGAGGAGATCGGGAAGGATCGGGAGAGGGAGAGGGAGAGGGAGAGGGAGAGGGAGTGGAGGAGGCGGGTGGAGGACCCATCGCTGTTCCACTACGTGGTGATCACAGACAACGTGCTCGCAGCCATGGTCGTTGTCAACTCCACCGCCTCACACGCCCGCCAGGTGCGCCCCTTGAGAATGGTCGCTAGGAAAATGCCCGCCCGGCGTGCCCGGCGCTCTTTGAGCCTGCCTCTGCCTCAGAAAACGCCGGCCAACCAGCCATCTCCCATCTCTTCTCTTCTCTTCTCCCCTTCTTCTCCCCCCCCCCCCCCCCCCCCCCCCACCAGCCATGGCGCCATGTGCTCCACGTGGTAGCGGACCCCAGCAACCACAACAGCCAGGCTGCCGCTCCCTTCCTCATCCCACCCCTCCCCTTGCCTTCCTTCCCCTCCCCTCCCCCCCCTGCCACCAGCCATGGCGCCATGTGTTCCACGTGGTAATGGACCGCACAACCACAACAGCCAGGCTGAGAGCCTCTCCTTCCCCCTTCCCATCCTTCCGTCTCCCACCCCCTCCAATCCCTCCTCTCCTCTCCCCCACCCCCACCAGCCATGGCGCCATGTGTTCCACGTGGTAACGGACCGCAGCAACTACCCGGCGTTCACGGCGTGGTTCAGCGCCAATCCTCCCGCACACGGGCGCATGGCGTGGGAGGTGCTGTGCCTGGACGACTTGCCCTGGCTGCTCTCCATGCCGCTGCTGCACCACCTGCAGCGCCCCGCCATGAGAGACTTCTACTTCCGCCACTCCTCCGCCGCCGCCGCCACCGCTGCCCTTGCGCCCCCTGCTGCTTCTGCCGCTGACGATCGTACGCCTGTTGGTGGTGTTAGAAGTGCTGCTGCCCGTGGCAACGGTAATGCTAGTCATAGTAGCAGCATCAGCAGCGGCAGTGGCAGCGGCAGCGGCAGCGGCAGCAGCAGCGGCAGCAGCAGCGGCAGCGGCAGCAGCAGCAGGGAGGACTATGGGACGCTGAGGTTCCGCAACCCCAAGTACGTGTCGGTGCTGAACCACCTGCGGTTCTACCTGCCGCGCATGTTCCCCCGCCTGCACACGCTGCTCTTCCTCGACGACGATGTCGTGCTGCAGCAGGACGTCTCGCACCTATGGCAGGTACGACCTTAGCACTGTCTGTGCCCTGTGCCCTGTGTCCCTGTGCTGTGCACTTGAGGTGAGGTGGGTGCCACTCAAACTCACCCCGCCTGCACACGCTGCTCTTCCTCGACGACGACGTCGTGCTGCAGCAGAACGTCTCGCACCTCTGGCAGGTACGACTGCTCTAAGCCCCCCGGCAGTTTCGCACTTCAGGTGATTTTCTTATCCTTCAGATTAAAAATTTACCCTCCTGTCACCCATCAGCCTTCAGACAAGTTCGTACCCTTCAATTGGCTTCTTTATCCTTCAGGTCGCTGACTCTGCCCTTCAGCACCCTTGCTGGCCTTGCCATTGCAAATCCAATGCACACCACCCCACCGCACACCACCCCCTCCTCCCTTCTCCCCCCACCACCCTCCAACACCCCAGGTGCCGCGAGGAGGGGCAGTGAACCTAGCGGTGCCCACGTGTGTTGGCCGCACGTATCACCGCTTCAGCTCCTACCTCAACTTCTCACACCCACTGCTGCAACCGCACACCAGCACCAACAGCAGCAGGATTGATAGGAGCAGCAGCAGCAGCAGCAGCAGCAGCAGCAGCAGCGGAAGTGGGGAGCAATGGGGTGCGGGTGTGGATCCGAACGGGTGTGCATGGGCGTTTGGGTTCAACCTGTTTGACCTCAACGCGTGGAGGGATGGCAGATACACTGAAAAATACCACTTCTGGCTCTCACAGGTATCTCCCTCCCACTGCCTCTTTCTCCCTCTCATTCTCTCTCTCCCTCCCCATCTCCCGCGCCTTCTCCTGCCCATATCCTGCGATTTCTCCCTTTCCCTCTGGCTCTCTCTATCACCCCCCTTCCCCAATAACCCCCGACTGTCCCACCTGCAACCCTCCCGCCCCCTCGGCCCCGTTCGCCTCCCTCCCTGCCAGAACGAGAACCGCACGCTGTGGCAGCTGGGCACACTCCCAGCGGGCCTGCTCACCTTCCTCCACGCCACGCACCCTCTCCCGCGCTCGCTCCTCGCAGCCAGCCTCGGCAGCCGCAGCACGGTCCCGCTGAGTCGAGTGCGGTCAGCAGCAGTGCTGCACTACAACGGGCACGCCAAGCCGTGGCTGGACCTGGCGTTTCCAGAGTACGCGCACCTGTGGTGGCGCTATGTGCCGCTGCACCACCCTCTGCTGCGCGCCTGCTACTTCTACCCACCGCCTCAGGCGTCTAGTTTTGAGGCACCTCAGAAGTAGGTTTCCAGAGTACGCGCACCTGTGGTGGCGCTATGTGCCACTGCAGCATCCTCTGCTGCGCGCCTGCTACTTCTACCCACCGCCTCAGGCGGCCGCGGCACCGCTGCTGCATGTGGCAGCTGGTTAAGCTGGTGCTGCTGGTGCTATTGATACTGGTAACCGCAGTGGTGAAACCAGGAGCACGCAGTAACCTGCTTCAATTGCTGCCTGCCAGCTCCTCCCTTCCCTTCCACCCATGCCGCCCTTCCACCAACGCCGACCTTCACCACGAGAAACTTACTTGCCATAGGAGCAAAACCGTGACACCCTCCTCACACCTACCGTAGTCGAGTGCCCTACCTAGTACCTACCCACGCACAGTCCCAGTATTGCTGGTCACATGGTCATGTCCTTTGTCAACATCAGGCTGCCCCGCTTTCAGCTACTACTACCATGGTGCCACCACAATCTCAGTTGCCATGCCACCTTTCAGAGGTAATCAGAGGTACGGTAGGTAAAATACGGTAGTCACACTGCAGTCAGCTGGGGTACGGTAGGGACAGTGTAGGGTTGTGGCACTTGGGGCTGACGATCCATTCTGTTACGATAGCTAGCTAGCCTGCCTAGTTATACAAAGAAAATAAGGAGGAAATAATTGTCATTGCTAGCCTAATGCTGCAAGTGTACGTTGCAGGCATAATTGTACAGTGTTTGTAGCCACATTTGTTGGCCACACTATTACCAGTACCTTTGTTGCTCAACCCGCAAAACCACCATCACACCATGGACAACACTCATTATAAAGTCAAGCAACACAAGGCAGCCAGTTAATCTTGTCGTAAATACACAACATTCTAACACAACCACCACATGGAACACCTCTTATCTACTCACAACAACACACCACCGCACAGCACGGAATGAGTCCTGCCATGGCAGATGCTTGTTCAAACCTTTGACCTCCCTTTCTCTCCCCCTCACTCACTCACTCACTCCCCTCACTCACTCATCCACCCCCCCTCTCTCATTCCCTTTCACTCACTCCCCCTCACTCACTCCTCCTCACTCACATCGCCCATCAGCCCAGGCCCAGCAGCAGGTACTGGCAGCGGCACCACGGAATTGTAGTGCTCTCCCAGACCATACGCATGGCGGTGAAATGACACTCGGAAAGGTTAGCCTCTTCTCTCCCTACAACACACCACCACGTAGCATGGAATGAGCCCCGCCATGACAGATGCTCGTTCTCACCTCTGACCAGCATACAGCTTCTTCAAACATGCGACCTCTTTTTCTCTCCCTTTCACTCACTCCCCCTCACTCACTCCTCCTCACTCACATCGCCCAACTGCCCAGGCCCAGCAGCAGGTACTGGCAGCGGCACCACGGAATTGTAGTGCTCTCCCAGACCATACGCGTGGCGGTGAAATGACACTCGGATAGGCGCAGGACCAGAAGAAGAAGCAGAAGACGCAGCACCACCGCTGCTTGCTCCTCCTGCCACTGCGCCATCTGCTGCTGCTCCTGCTGCTGCCCCTGCGGTTGCGCCTGCCCCGCCCGCTGTCGCTGCTGCGACCTCTGCGGCTGCAGGAGCATACTCCAATCCGAGGTTGACATCTGGCAGGTCGGCTGAGTAGACGATGATGTGGCGCCGCAGCGACTGCGCCAGCGCCTGCAGCTCCAGCTGCCCGCCCCACGCTGCTGTGTGCTCCACCTCGTGACAATAACGAAGGAACATCCGCCTCTCTTCTGGTTCAAACTCCCACTCAGCAGCAGCAGCAGCAGCAGCAGCAGCAGCATCTGCTGCTGCAGACGAGTACCTTCCGTCCCCTGCTCCTCCTCCTCCTCCGGCTCCTCCTGCTCCTCCTACTCCCCCTGCTGCTCCAGCTCCGTTATCCCCATACGGATGCAGCTCGCCTGAAGCCAGCTCCGCCACCACAAACGGCATGAAATCCTCAGCATGCGCACGCATGTATTTCGCCGCCACCGCTCTCAACCCCCAGAAATCCATCCCCTCTCCGCCAGGCCCACCCACCGCACCCGCCGCTCCCCCCGCGCCCAGACCCAGCCCCTCACCAGCCATTCCGACTCCCCTCAACTGATCTTCCACGGCGCGGAACAGGCAATGGCCGTCCGGCTTGACTTCTCTCAGGGTGAGTCCGAGAGGGGATAGCTTTGCTGCTAGCCGTTGCTCCTCCACGACGCGCTCGCTCACCAGCCCCTCCTGCTCCTCCTCGATCCGCGCCGCCCGCTCCGCCTCCTGCCGCGTCTTCTTCTCCCGCCGCTTCTGCGCGCGGGACACTCTCGGCGCCTCTGCTCCTGCTCCTGCTGCTCCCTCACTTCTTCCACCGGGTTCTCCGGAAACGGCAAGGCCGGCGACGCCCGCGGCCGCCGCGTCGGCTGCTGACGTGGCGGCAGACGCGAGCTCGTCGAGTTCGCGCTTTTGTCGGGCTTTCATCTCGGCTTCTAACGCTTGAACCTTCTCCTCTACTGCTTTCTTCTTGGCCTTCTGCTCCGCCTTGCTGCCCTTCGCCGCCGCTTTCTTCATCGCCATCTCCTTCTTCACTAGGTCTTTAGCCTCCGCCCTGCAATGCGCGCGGGGAAGATCGACGGGACGCGTTGAGCGTAAAGGTGGAGTACGTTGGGGGTAAGATGAAGAGGGAGGGGTGGAAGGGAAAGAGATGCTTGTAGGTTGATAAAAGGCATGGAGCGGGGGATTCGATGGTACAATGACGGAGCGATTGTCGCAGCCCTGTGTGTTTCGAGTCGACTCAAATTGTGTTTTAAGTTGACTCAAAACACACCTCGAGATTGCAGGGTCGCGTCGATGGTACAATGACGGATCGATTGTCGCAACCCGCTAACCGATCCGACGGCAGACAGGCATGGGTGAGGGGAAGAGTAGAAAGCAACGAGGGAGAGAAAAACACGGGAAATAAGCACAATGCTTATCGGCTTACGCGCCGATCTCGAAGCGACGTGAATCTTGCCAAGGCATTATCGAATCGGAGGACCTACCTGTGTCGCTCCAGCATTTCTTCCCTCGTTTCGGAAACACGAGCAGGCGTGGCGGGAGCCGCCGAACCTGCGCCTCCGTCCGCGCCATCAGCAAGCGCCGCTGACGCCTGGGAGGCAGCTTCGGAAGCTTCCGCCATGGCAGAGTGACTCGAGATTCTAGAGACTTGTGTGCGCAGGAACAAGCAGGTCTTGTGTGGGTGGGAAAATGCTCAGGAGTGAGTGTAAATTCCCAATCCAAATAGTATCGGGGACAGGGGTTTGTTGGCGGAAGTCGGGGAGTAAAATGTGTGGGATTCGACGGGAGACATAGTAATTATATTCTCGACTTCATATTGTAAACGATGTATTCGTTTTGCAAAGCCGCGTATAACGAGTTGAACCTTTTCATTTGTCCTCGTTCGTTGTACAACACCCAGAACCATTTTGCGCCGCTCTCGCGCCAGAGTCCGCTCGAAACAGTCACGTCACGATCAATCAATCTCGTGATCCCTGTTCAACAAACCTCAAACCAACACGGAGGGTTCATTCCCAAGGCAATACAATCCCAAGACAAAACATTCTCAAGGCGCAATTACTAGACAAAACCAGGGCCAACTAGGAGCCCCACGGGAATTCCTCCTCAACTCCATGCTCCACTCCTCTACTTTCCCCTCTGCGCGCCAGCTTGCATTCCGCCTCGTCGCGCCGCGCCAGTTCGCCTCTCGCGCATTGCCTAAGGGCAGAGTGCTGGCGGAAATGACGGGAGGCTCCGCGCCGAGCAGCAGCGCGAATTACGACGAGGCGCAAGTGCCGAAGAAGCAGGTACAGGGCGGCAACGCCACGTCACGGCAGCATACCACTCTCTAGTACGGCGATCATTGCGATCACTGCGTTGGCTCCATCCCGTTATCCTTCTCGTTCCCTCACACATGTTCTGAAACTCCGAGTGCTTCCGCTCCCCTCGTCTCTCCCCCTCCCCCCATCCACCTCATTCCTCCACCCCTCTAAACCCCTCCCCACTACCCGTTCCCCCCTTACCCCTCTCCGTTCCCCTCCCGTCTCTCCCCCGACCACCCACCATCCTCCGTCTCCCTGTTGCCCCCAGATCTCGTCGCGCCTGGCCAAATTCGGGCCGACGGTCTTCGCGGAGTTCTCCGCGCTCGCCGCGAAGCACGGCGCCGTGAACCTAGGCCAGGGCTTCCCTAACTTCGACGGGCCGTCTTTCGTCATCCAAGCCGCGCAGGCCGCCTTGCAGGCCGGCAACCTAAACCAATACGCGCCGGTCGCGGGCGTCCCCGCGCTCACGGCGGCCATCGCGGCGCGATTCTCAGAATCCACGGGCGTGGAGATTAAAGAGCCCGCGCAGGAGATCACCGTGACGTGCGGATGCACGGAGGCCATAGCGGCGACGATCTTAGGATTAGTAGACGAGGGCGACGAGGTAGTAGTATTCGAACCGTTCTACGACTCTTACATCGCGATGCTCTCTCTCGCCGGCGCGGTAGTGCGCCCCGTCACGCTGCGCCCGCCCACGTGGCAGCTGGACGAGCAGGCGCTGCGCGCGGCGTTCCAGCCGTTGACGGAAGGCGCGCGCACGCGGGCGGTCCTAATCAACACGCCGCACAACCCCACGGGGAAGGTCTTTTCCCGCGCGGAGCTACAGCTGATCGCGGAGCTGTGCAAAGAGCGAGACACCATCGCGGTATCAGACGAGGTGTACCATAAACTCGTCTACAAAGCACCCTCCCCTGCCGCTGCCGCCGCCGCTGCCGCAGCTGCCACCGCCGCTGGTTCCGATTCCACTGCTTCTGCTGCTGCTGGTGCAAGCGAGGGTCACATCTCAATAGCGAGTCTCCCAGGGATGTATTCCCGCACCGTGACCCTCAACTCTCTCGGAAAAACCTACTCGCTGACTGGCTGGAAGGTCGGGTGGGCCGTGGCGCCGCCTCACCTCACATGGGGGCTGCGGCAGGCGCATTCTTTCCTTACATTCTCCGTCGCCACGCCTCTGCAGCACGGCGCGGTGGCGGCTCTAGAGGCGCCCGAGTCGTTCTATGAGGAGCTGGAGAGGGAGTACAGGAGCCGCCGGGATGTGCTCGTGCAGGGGCTGCTTGACGTGGGCTTCACTGTGTTTGAGCCCGAGGTATGGGTGCCGTGCGGTGCTGTTCTGTGGGGTGATGTATGGTGCAGTGATGTGCGGTGATGTCAGGTGCTGTGATGTGCTGTGCTGTGCTATGGTCTGCTGTGCTGTGCCGCGGTGTCTGCTTGCTCGGAGGTCGTTTTGTCCAATTGCCATGGCACTGCTTGCTCCGGCCTCATTCCTCCCTCATCACCATCACCATCCCTATTGCAACCACCGACACCACCGCCACCACCACCGCCACCACCACGACCAAGTTGGCAGGGCAAGTACTTCATAATGGCGGACCACACGCGGTTCAAGCGCGGCTCAGACGTGGAGTTCTGCCGGTATCTGGTGGAGGTCGTTACATGCCATGGCAATTCTTGCTCCTGTCTCATTCCTCCCTCATCACCATCCCTATTCCCACCACCACGACCACGTTGGCAGGGCACGTACTTCATAATGGCGGACCACACGCGGTTCAACCGGGGCTCAGACGTGGAGTTCTGCCGGTACCTGGTGGAGCACGTGGGCGTGGCCGCCATCCCCCCCAGCTCCTTCTACCTCAACGCGCACGAGGGCCGCAACCTCGTGCGCTTTGCTTTCTGCAAGGATGAGGACACGCTCAGAGAGGCTGTGCGAAGGATGAAGGAGAAGCTTGTTCTGCCGCCAGCAGCCTCATCGTGATACCGTATCGTTGATGATGATGTGATGTGGGCAGGGTATGACGTGTGGTGCTGCTGCGTGGTATGCTGACGGATTGCGATGGTCTGGAGGGGTGTATAGCACGCAGTGGTTTTTGAGTATCGCATCGTACGGCAGTTGGAGTGTTGCACGTAAGTCTTGTGTATAGTTTAGATTCAACATCCTCCCAGGTTCGCGTATTCATCGTTAGGCGGTTGTTCAGTTGCCTTAAGGACACGTAGGGGTACCTTCCTGTCCTGCGAGCATAGAAGCTTGCAGGGTGCACAACTACCATACTACTCAGGCTCATGTCTGCCTAAAACATCAGGCCTCTTTCTCTTCTTTGGAACTCCTGCCAAACTGTACTGGACCGTAGGACTGGCTGAGTACCTACAAGAACGCAAAGCAGCAATGCTGCCATGCCGAACCATGCACGTCTACCGTATTTCCAGCTTCTTGTGCGACTACCGAACTGCATTATGCATCACTCCACATACCTAAAAGGTACGTACCGTACCTGGTACCTACCTCACCCACCCTGGTGCAGCGTGCCCTGTGCACCACACAGCACCGCACGCACACACACCTCAGCTCAGCCCAGCCCAGCCCAGTGAAGGAAAAGGCCTCATACAAACAAACTTCTACCGGATCATGTGCACCTTTCTGAGACCAAGTGCTGCTACATTCTTTCATCGTTATCAACCCAATTGGTGAGGCCTCATGGAGCAGAGCAGACAAAACTCACTACCCATATAATAGAGACAACACAGCAGCAGACAAGGCAAAGGCATGACACGGCACTTCTACCACTAACTCTAAACCAGGGCAATTACAACGGGGCCAGGCCACCCTGAGCAGGAGCAGGAACGGGACAGCACAGCACCAATACTAAAGAACCCCTGGAAGGAAGGCCATGGTAACTAGACTAGCATGCCTATCATCATGGTAGGGTAAGAGGTGTGTGAATCGGGTGAAGGCCAGTGGTACGGTATGTTGTATGCAGATTCATCGTGGATTAGTGGGTGGTTGTGAATTGAACGAAGTCCAGGGCTTGCAGACGAGACGAGATCCCGAGTCCCTGACCTGACAAAGCGTCTCAAATGGAGCGATTAACATGGCGTTGCTGACATGATACCACTCGCTAGCTAGCCTCGATGGCCGAGACGAGGCTGCGAAGGATTAAGGAGGTGGTTGGATGGGAGGATACGAACGCAGATTGATGGTTTAGAGGATTACAGAGTGCAGGGGGGGTGGGGTATAGGACATGACAAGGAGGCAGATAGATACCGTCATCACCCGGATATAAGACAGTGTTGAATAGTAGACAGGGGTTGTCTATTATACGGGTGTCTCTTATAAACAGGCTAGCCTCATTATAAGACACCTATTTGTGTGTACGGGTTAAGAAAGTGTAGGAGTTAGGGGCAAATGTATAGCGAGGGGGTATCTTCTAAACGGTTCTTTGTCCATTTATAAGATTTATAAGACACCCTAAACCATCCCGTTTACAAGATAACTCAAGCATTTTTGCCCGTGTACGAGATAAGACATATATGTCTTATATCCGGGCGATGACGGTAGTGAAAGTGTGTAGGGAGTGGTGGGATGCGATGTGAGGAGGGATGTGATGAGAGCGGCAGGACGACGGCGAAAAGAGAGTGAATGCATGTATGAAAGAGAGAGGTACGGTACGGTACCTCTGGCTGTTGAGGTGCCCGAGGCTGCGCTGCACGTCACGAATCAAAGAGCCGCTACCAGCTCACGAGACAAGACACTTCCAAACACCTTTTACAACGCCGTCCATACGGTATGAGAGAGGCGCGGCGCCTCCTGCACCGTGTGAGCGAGCGCGTCCACTGGGCAGTCACTGGGCAGTCACTGGGCAGTCACGACATAGGGGAGAGATCTGGAGAGGTGGAGAGCCAGAGAGTCCGACAGAGAGTCAAAGAACCAGAGGGCCAGCGAGGCAGCAGAGCAGCAAGACAGAGAGGTAGAGAGTGTCGGAGAAGGAGGGAAGCAGCGAGTGGGAGAGTCAACGCAGGAGGCAGAGGCGGAGGCGGCGCGGCGATCCACTTTCTGTTAATAGGTTTGATTTCTTGAGGAGTCTTAGAATCAACCGACAACGGAAAGGGAGGAAGGGAGTGCGTGGGCGAGTCAGTGGTGAGTGAGCGGCGAGGCGAGGTGAGGCGAGTCAAGTCAGTGCAGGAGGCAGAGGAGGCGGTCAACGATCAGGTCCCTCTCACTGCCAAACACCTCGCTTATCACCCTCTTTCTTTCTTGCTAAAGCTGCAGACAGTGACGAGGGCAGTGCGTGGGCGAGTCAAGTCAGTGCAGGAGGCAGAGGAGGCGGTCAACAATCAAGTCCCTCTCACTGCCAAACACCTCTGGTGCCACCTCCAGCGCCAGCAGCAGCAGCTCCACTGTCACTGTCACCTTGCCACGCCTGCTGCTGCCTCTGCCCCTGCTGCCGCTGCTGGAAGTCCCCAGGCGTTTCGAGGACCCAACCAGATGCTGCTGCTGCTGCTGCTGCTGCAACTGCCGCTGCTGCTGTTGCTCTTGGTCAGGGAGAGTTTGAGGCTGACTTTGAGGCCATTGGTCCTGTTTCCAGCCATGCTGCTGTTGTTGCTGCTGTTGTTGTTGCTGCTGTTGTTGTTGCTGCTGCTGCTGCTGAAACTGAAGCTGTGCCTGCCCGTTGAAACCATACATGTGCCCATTCGGCTGCTGCTGCTGCTGCTGCTGCTGCTGCTGATTCATCAGTGAGTCCTCCTCACTGATTCTTGTCCGTCCTTTCCCCTGCACTTGCTGCCATTGCAGCTGCTGCCACGACTGCTGGTTCTGCTGCTGCCAACCAGCCATTACACCCATACCCATCTGTTGTTCCTTCAGATCATCTCCTTCCCCTCGCTCCTTCTCCTCGTCTCCTTCCACCTCATCCTCCTCATCCTCCTCATCCCCCTCCTCTGCCCCCTCTTCCTCCTCTTCCTCCTCTTCCTCCTCTTCCTCCTCCTCCTCCTCCTCCTCCTCCTCTTCCTCCTCTTCTTCCCCCGTGCCCTCTACCCCCTCCCCTTCATCTTCCTCCTCGTCCTCGTCCTCCTCATCATCCTCATCCTCTTCCTCCTCCATGCCCTGTTCCCCCTCCCCTCCTAAACCATCACCATCAACATCATCTCCCACCTCATCTTCTTCCTCCTCCTCCTCATCCACCTCCTCACCCTCCTCATCCCCACCTTCCCACACCCCCCCTCCCAACAACCTCCCTCTCCGCCTCCTTGCACCTCTCCTTTTCCCCCGAACTCTCCCCATCCCCAAGCCACTCCCTCGCGCCATGCCAGCAGCTGCCGCACTTTGCCCCAGCATGGCCAATCCCAACGGGCAGAGGGACGGGGAGGAGAAGAGCAGCGGAGCAGACGGGACCATAGACCCACACCCATTCGCGCCCACGCGCGGAATATTCGCGCCAAGCATATCCCCCAGATGTAAACTCGAAAACCCAAGCTCCAGATTCCCCTCCCCTTCTCCTCTTCCCCCTCCTCCTCCTCCTCCACCTCCCCCCAGGCCCCCCGCTGCTCCCAACATTCCTCTCCTATCCGCGAGCAGCGCAAGAGGGGGAAGGGGCAGCCTTTCTCCGCCGCCCTTCCCGTCCCCAGCCCCTCCCCATACCCCCCTACCACTACCGCCACTATCACCACCTTCCCTGATATCACCACCAGCAGCAGCAGCAGCAGCGGCAGCAATGGCGCCAGCAGCAGCAGCAGCGGAGCGGCCAACAGCAGCGCAGGCGCGGATGATATTCGTGAGGTGCAAGATAAGCGCCCTCTGCACTACCTCCGCCGCTTCCGCGCTCACTCCGCCCGCCAGCCCGCTCTCTCTCATCGCCACCTGCCTCATCCTTACAAGCAATGCGTCGCTCGTGGGTAGACACCCCCCGGAACCTCTCCCTGGGCCCCCCTGCCTCCTGCGCCCTGCTTTCTTTCCTCCTCCTCCTCCTCCTCCTGCTGCTGCTGCTGCTGCTGCTGCTGCTGCTGCTGCTGCTCCTTCTCCTTCCTCTCCCAAGCCGCCTAAATGCGGAGCATGATCATCAGCGGCGGCGGCGGCGGCGGCATCCGCGGCGGCGGAGTCCAGCGGGCAGCCCAGGAGCGTGTGCGTGAGGGGCATGCCGGGCGGGGGGCGCGGGGCCACGGGAACCGCCGCGCCCCCGCGGCTGGACGCGAGGAACGGGATACCCAGCGGGGCGGACAGCGGAACGGACAGAAACGCATCCAGCGCCGCCTTCTGCCGCGCCTCTGTCTCCCTGCTGATCTCCGGCGCGCCCCCCACACCCCCAGCCGCCGCCGCCGCCGCCGCCGCCGCCGCCGCTGCCGCCGCCGCTGCTGAGGCTGCTGCCGCTGCTGCTGGTGTTCCTTTCCCGTCCTCTTCCTCCGCCTCCTCCACTCCTCGATAAATTCCCTCTTCCTCTTCCCCCTCGCCCGCCTCTCGTTTCACCTCGTGGTCCCCCCATACTCGGCCCACCAGCGGTAACCCTAGCAGCTCCGCCTGTTGCTCCCCCATCCATGCTTGCGCCAAGCACACAGGAGGCGGCGGAGCCAGTCCCCCTGGCAGCGGAAGGGGCGGCCTGCCCTTTCCGCCAGCCCCAGCGCGCCGATCCCCCTGCTGCTCCCCATGCGGCTCCCCCCGCGCGGGCCACAACCCCGCAGCCCCCGCAGATGCGCCGCCGTCCCCCCAGTCCCCTTCCCCGTCCGCGGGGAGAGCCCAGTCCCCGTCCTCCAGGCCTTCCCCCCTGCTGCTATCCGCGCCCGCCCCGTCCATCCGCGCGGATCTTCCGCCAGAGCCTGCGCGCCCCACCTTGAGCCGCTTCCACGGGCGCGCGGAAGCCTCCCCGCCTGCGCCGTCGTGCGCATCCCCGCCTGCGCCGTTGAGACGCGCATCCGCGGAAGCCATGCGCGAGCCAGCCAGCCCTGCAGGAGGCGGCGTCCCCCCCGCGCCCGCACCCGCGCCTCCCGCAGCGGCAGCCAAGGCGCCCGGCGAGGAAGGGTCGGCGTACCCGTCAGCAGCAGGGCTCGCTGGCACAATCCCGTCTGAAGTCCTTCCATATATCCTCTTTCTAAGCCCACCATCAGACCCTGCTGCACCCGAATCGCCGCCAACACCGCCAGTACCGGCGGCACTGGCACCCGCGGCGGCAGCGGCAGCGGCGGCGGCTTGTTTCCGATCCCGCGCTGTTAAGCCCCGCTGACGCTTGGGGGAAGGCTGCGAGGGGGTCTCGTATCCGTTCTCCCGATCCATGCCCGCGTCTTGCGCGAACGGCGAGGCGGAGGACGGGTCAAAACCCGCCAATGGCGGAAGAGCGCCCTCGAACCCGGCGCTTGCCCCGCCTCCGCCGCCCGCGCCTTGCTTTCTCGCTTCGCCTTCCGCGCTGCCTCCCGCCGCCGCCGCGGGGTCCGCGATCCCCGCAGCCCAGGCGCTGGCGGCATTGGCGGCGGCGGCGTCCGCGCGGGTGGCGTTCGGGGGCGGAGCGTCGCTGGCGCAGGCGGAGGCAAAGACAGCGCGGACGAAGGAGTTGTGCAGAAAGACGTTTTCGGAACCGAGAGTGGCGGGAACGAGGCGATCTAGCTCGCGCTTCGACAGGCGCATGTTAAGATACTCGCCGAGAAGCTGCAGGTACTGCGCCTCGCGCATCGGCCCCACCGCCATGCCGAGCGCGTGCTGCACCTCCGCCAGGTTGACACGTGGGAGAGCCTTGGCCATGTCGGCGATGATCGAACGATGCAAGAGCGATGCTTGAGAGCAGCTGACGCGACGGTTGCGCGTAGTAGGGTAGACGCCGCGCGTCACTTAACTCTCGCGCGCGCGCTCGCCGAGACGCACAAGGAGATTACGGTTGGTCACCGAGCTGTGATCCCCGCCGTCCACCGCCCGCCAATGCCGACGAAAATCACTCAGCAGCAGCGGCGGCTGGCGGCTTGCGAAGCGCCTCAAAAGCCGACGACGGGTATCGCGCAATGTGCGACGTCGCGAAATTAAGCGGCAAAACCGGACTATGTTCCCGGCGCGGCGTGCGAAGGAGGGAGACTGGAGGAATTGACGGAGGCGACGAGACGACTGCCCTGGCGCCGCGCTTATCCCCCTCGGTTGGTGGAGAGTGGGCAACCAAAGTGAAAGTCGAAGAGTCCAAGCGTCGATGCGTCGACGATTCTCGATAGAATTCCAAGGCAAGAGTCAGCAGTCCTCGATGCTGCTGCTGTGTTGCCGCGTGTCACCGCTTGATGCGCGCGCTTTCGAAACCACCCCGATTGTGCCGCGCCACGGTTCCCAGATGATTGTCCTTTTCAATCGCGCTTCACTCCTGCGCGGATGATTGCGGACTGGTCCGTTCCGCTCTCCCCCGAGAACAACACATGAGGACGGGAAGCGACGCAGCGAGAAGTCGTTTCGCGCGAACGCGGAAGAAGCAGTCAGTCAGGCAGGCAGGTAGGCAGGCAGGAACGCGCCGATCGCTTATCGGGCGTGTCGCGAGCGGCTCGTGAGTCCCAAGGGTCAGCAAAAGAGGAAGGACAGGGGAAGGAGTGGAAACACCCTAAGAAACGCGAAAACGCGAAATGCGATGCAGAGCGAGGAGCGGAAAAGGAGGACAACAGGAGGCGACAGGAGGCGCCTTAGGCGGTTCAGTGATGCCGGTTACTGCGGCGGAAAAGGAGCGGCAGACATGGCGGGAACGATCCGTGCTGCGCAGGCAGCAGCAAACCCTAAGCCGAGTCCCGACGGCGCAGGGGAAGGAGAGGGAGGAGGGTGAGGAGCGCGAGCAGGGGAGAACCTAATCTCGTGTAGTTCAATTGCGAAATTACTTATAAACGATATTTAAAAATTTTCATACATTGCTAAGAACAGGGCCAACTAACAAAATTGAATGGCAACGCAGACGTTTCAGGCTATGGACTGACACAAATCAAATCAAATTTGTCACACGGAGTCCAAAAGGCTAAGGGATTCCATCCCTTCAACCGGTAGATAGGAGACGGGAGCACCCATTACACCAGTCACTCCGAAACCACCCTTCACACTACCTCCACTCACCACAGGCAATTACGAGGTTCTTGCGATCACTGATGGGTGTGTAAATGCATTTGCATGCGGGTCCATTGGGGTTGAGAGCCACAAATACTGCGACGCACCGGTAACCCCTGTAACTGTTTCGTTGGAGCCTACCCAGACAGGAAGCCCTCTGCTGCTGTTAGAGTTGCTGCTGTTAAAGTTCTTGTTGCTGAATCTGTTGCTGTTGCTGGTATGGAAAGAACCTGCCGGAACTGCTGGTGTGCCGGCTGCTGCTGTTGCTGCTGTGGAAAATGATGCTGAAACAAATGGACCGGGCGAGACGGGTGGTGCTGCGACAGGCGACGGCAGCGATGGGCCTTTTGGTGAGTACGGGATTGAAAGAGTCAAGGGCTGAGCCGCAGAGAGGGCAGATGGGGCTGCTGCTGCTGGTGCTGCTGCTGCTGCTGCTGCTGCTGGTGCTGCTGCTGGCACTTGGCAGGAGAGCGAGGAGGACCAGGAGGGTGGAACTGAGGGGACGAACACAGAGGAACCGGAGGAGTAGGAGGAGAGAGAGGAGAAGGAGAAGGAGGAAGCTGAAGAGAACGTGGAGGATGAAGAGGATGGGCGAGAGGATGAGGACGGACGGGAGGACGAAGAGGACGGCCGGGAGGATGCCGAGCGGGGTGATAGCAATGCAGAGCTGTTGCTCTGCGACTTGTGTCTCTCCTTTGACCTATCACTCCCCTTGTCACCAACTCTTTCACCTCCTCTTTCACCTACTCGTTCACTTCTTCTATCTCCTCCCCTATCCCATCCGCCGTCCCCTCCCCCATCCCCTCTTCTGTCCCCTGCGTGGTCCCCTTCGCTGTGACGTGCTCGGTTGGTGAGTGTCTGCAGCAGGGGCCGCACGCACTTCTCCATGCGGGGCACGCCGCAGCACGCCAGCTGCACCAGCAGAGGAATGAACCGGCTTCCCTCTATGCACCTCAACAACGCCACGACCACCTCCTCCTCCACCATCCCCCCTCCTTCCTCCTCGTCATCCTTCTCCTCCACTTCACATTCATCCCCGTGCCTGTCTTCCTCCACCTCATCCTCCTGGTGGTTTTGATAAGTCCAGTTTTGCCGCAGTTGCTGGTGCGCTTGCTGCTGCTCCTGAGCCTGCTGATATCGCTGCTGCTGCTGCTGCTGCTGCTTCCGATAGTGCCGCTGCTGTTGCTGCGGTGCATGCTTCCGGCGCTCTACACGAGCAGCAGCGTCACGACCAGCGTCACGACCAGCGTCACGAGAGCAACACAGCTCAGCGAGAATGGCAACGGCGTCCTCGCGGGAGCGCGGGCTGCCGCTCTGCACCAGGCGCACCAGAGCAGGCAGGTGGGGAGCAACGGCTGCTGCCACTGCTCGCACACCCACCTCCACCTTCACCAGATTCGCCAGCACTGCCAAGCACTTGCCCTCCATGCCGCCGCCACCGCCGCCACCACCACCGGCTTCCTCCTTGTTATCCCCGCTTGCACTGCCACCAGCAGCGCTACTAGCGCTACCAGCACCACCAGAACTACCTGCACTACCAGCACCACCAGCACTGCCAGAATCATCAGCACTACACCTGCTCCCTCCTCCAGTTCCTACGTCTGTCCTGCATGCAGCGGGGTTCTCCTCTCTGCTTCGTTTGCTGCTGATTGCCTTCTCCTGAGACTGCCCTCTCTGCCCTCCCTGCTGCTGTCCCTGCTTGCCTGCTGCTGCTGCTGCTGCTGCTGCTGCTGCTGCTGCTGCTGCTGCTGCTGCTGCTGCTGCTGCTGCTGCTGCTGCTGCTGCTGCTGCTGCTGCTGCTGCTGCTGCTGCTGCTGCTGATGCTGCCGCCCCTGCCGCCCCTGCTGTGCCTGCTGCCCCTGCTGCTGCCGCCACTCCTGCCCCTGCTGCTGCTCGGGTCTCCCTGGGGAGTGCAGCAGCGACAGCAGCACGCCAACGGCCCCAGCTCGCACCATATCCGCGGCACATCGGGCGTTGCGCGAGAGATGAAAGAGCGCGAGTGCAGAGTCCTTGCGCGCGCGCAGGCTGCCACACACCAGCAGCTGCACCAGCAGCGGTATAGCGCCTGCCTCCCGCACTAGCTCCCGGTGCTCTTCCGCTGCTGACAGCACGAAGAGGGCTGCAGCGGTGTTGGCCTTGCTGGTGGCTACTGACTGCTGCGCCTCAGCACTTGCTAGCTGCTGCTGCCCCTCCTCCAGAAGCATTCCCGCTCTCTCGCCTGCACCGTGCGTGCTCCGGTTACCACCGCCACCGCCACTGCTCCAATAACTGGCGCTGGTGGTGGCGCCGTTGCTGCACGTGCCGCAGCCGCCGCCGCCGCCGCTGCTGCTGCTGCAGCTGTGGGCAGGGAGTTGAAGCACGCACGCCAGGATGGAAATCCCTCCAGAGGCGGCAATGACTTTGCTGATGCCGGGCACGAGGGACATGTTGAGTAGAGCCGTCACACAGTGCTCCACTCCGCGCACCAGCACCAACGCGTCTGCATTAGCATCCCCCGCCCGTTCGCCCTGCTCCCTTCCCCTTGCTGCCTCCTGCTGCCATCCCGTCTCGGTTAGCACCTGCTGCTGCCGCTGCTGCTGCTGTTGCTGCTGCTGCCACTGCGAACCTGGTCGGACCAGGCGTCCTTGCTGCGGCAGCAGGGCGTCAGGAGCGCGCGGGCCAACGAGCGAGCCAAGCAGAGGAACCAGCAGGTCTCGGAGCAGGGCCAGCAGCGCGGACACCCCCCCCGCGCAGATGAACGCGTCCTTGTTGCTGCGGCTGTTGCGCAGCGCCACACGCACCGCCTCTGCTGCACGCGTTCTCTGGGTAAGCAGCGCAGGGAGGGTCAGTGCTTGCACCAGGGCGGCCATGCTGCTGGGTGCTTCTGCACCGGAAGCAGTGGTGCTGGTGGTGGTGCTGGTGGTGATAGTGGTGATGCTGCTGCTGTTGCTGCTGCAGGCGTTGGCGCTTGGAGCGAGCTCGGCCGGGCTCGTGCAGGAGGAGCTGCTGTTGTACGCGCTACTAGCACTAGCACTACCCCCACCACTACCACTACTCACGCTGCCGCCGTCAGCAGCACCACTCGCGTCATTGCGGCAGGCAATCCTAGGCGCGGACGCATCGTGCGGCTTATCAGACAGAGCGACCTTGAATCCAGACCACAGCTGGGGAAGGGAAGACCCTCGCACCATCGGCTTAAGGCTATTCTTCAGGCCGCTGCCAAGCCTGCGCAGACCCTTATTACTACTGCTGCCGCTGGCACTGCCGCTGCCGCTGCCGCTGCTACTGCTGCCATTGTTACTGCCACCGTGCACCTCTATATCCAAGCCTCCAGTCCTCTCCTGCTGCTGCGGCCGCTGTTGCATTGACCGTTCTTGCTGCTGCTGCTGCCGCAATCGACCCTCTAGTTGCTGCTGTTGGCTCTGCCGCTGCTGCCTCCTCATCATCTGCTTGTATCTTATCACATTCGGTTCCTCCTCCCTGTCCTCCTCTCCTCCCACTCCTCCCATCCCTACCACTCCCACTCCTCCTCCTCCCTCCTCCTCTTGCTCCTCCTCCTCCTCCCCGCCACTACCCTCCTGCTCCTCCTCGCACCTCCATTCCTCCGCACCGCATTGCACCCCCCCTGTTAGCCCGTCGCACGGCTCTCGGAACCAAAGCCGCTCTCCGCGTGCCGCCGCTCCGTCTCGCCTTCCGCCCAAATCTTGCGCGAGGCCTCCACGGGCGCAACCAACTTGCACCGCTCTCCGCACTCCCCCGCCCGGAGTTCCAAACCCACGCTCCGCGCTCCGGAGTTCCAACTCATGCTGCGCGCACGCACGCTCCCTGTAAAGCCCGACAGCGTCCGCTCTACCGCAGGACCCGCAGGACTGGCAAACCGTCCCACCCGCTACGTCGGTTCTACCAACGCACTCGCTGCTGCTGCTGCAACAGCCGTTGCTACGACCGCAGCAACGCGCGGCGCTTGCCGTGCCGGGAGTGGCCGCATCCGCGCAAGCCGCCACATCCGCGGACCACGTGTGCCCCCACGGCCGCGACTGCGCGCGGTTGACAGCAATCCCCGCGCTACCATCACTGCAGCGGCACGCAGCGCTACAAGCAGCGGTACACGCAGCGCCATGCGCAGCGCCACGCGCAACGCCATGCGCGGACTCCAGAGGCGACTGCAGCTGCAGTTGCAGTTGCGGTCGCCTGCTGCTCCCCGCGGATCTGGGTCGGGCTTCCATGGCGCGGCACGCTCTACTAACGCCGCTGCTTCCGCTCGCGCCATTCGCGCCACTCCCGCTGATTACGCTACTCACGCCACTCGCGTTCCACGCGTTACTACACGCGCTACTCGTCTCGTTCGTGTTCCACGCGCTCCTGTCCCTCCACGAGTCGCCCGCCGCCGCTGCGCCTTTCACTAGAGCATTCTCCATGGGTTCAGCCCACGACACGCTTCGGCGAACGCGACTCGCGTCGATAGGACCCACTCCGTGGCTGGTGACCGTTTGATTTAACGGCTCGGTGGACTCTCGTCGCCCGAAGGAAGGGCCCAGTTTGCCGTACGCTATCGCCGCGTTTCGCGGCGACGAGGACGGCATTCGGGTGGGTTCCGGTTTGTCGGGTTTCCAGCCGAACTGCCCGCTGCCGCCGCGCTTCGTCGCTTCTTCAGCTGCGTCGTCGCCGTCGCCGCAAATCGCATTGTAACCTTCGTTAATGACGTCCCTACTCTCTTCGTCGATTTCCTCGTCGTCGAGGTATGCTTGGCTGCGCGGTTCCGGCTGCAGTAGCGGCATGACAGCCATTGCCGACGGGCTACAGGAAATCAAGTCCGCGACCGTAGCGTAGCTGCTGCTACGCTTTAAGTGCCGCGGCTTGGAGGAGGACGACAGCGTGCGGCGCAGGAATGCTGTGGGGAGAAAGGAGCGGAGCGACGAGTCGCCACCCCGCCTGGCCTCCGCACCGCCCATTACGGCGGATTACGAGGAACGGACGGGAAAGGCTAACACTTGTGCAGCGCGGAGACTTCGTATGGACGAAATAGATGACGAGGGGGAAAAGGACCCCTTACGCAACTACTGACTCCTTCGGCCAGCTTAGTATCTCCGAGAATTACTTCGTGCTTGAAGCTGACTCTGGTCAGAAGGTAAGCGTTGAACGATTGTTAGCTTGCATGGTGAGCGTGGCTGCTCATTCCTGCCTACTCGCGCGGATCATTCACCTTCATCTGACAACTCGTGGTTTTGATGGATAAGCTGCCTGGTAGTGGATGGACAGGAGTGAGAGTTGAGGAAGAAGTTGGCGAGGACGAAGCCAAGGTGGGGAGCAGAAATGACTTCTCATCCCACGATTGACCATCCCACTCGTGTTTTCATTGGCTCCCACGCCTTTGAGTTGCTCTCGCTGGCGTCAGGGCATTGTTTGGAAATCTCACCCCGTCGGCTGTAAAAATTCCTCTGCAATTTCAGGTGATGCACTGTACTCGAAACAGCTCAAGCGTGCCAGGTTACAAATTCTTGTAATTTCCCTCTCAAATAGCCTGTCCTAGTGATTCGCGCTACTTTCGGACAAAAAAAGGTAGACTCCCCTTGTCAGTATTTTCCACTTACCTAAGCAGGACATATTTGAGCCCGTTCCTGGTACATTAGCACAAACCTGCAGTGCCTGCATTTTGTTCGCATGGTTAAAGCATCTGGAAAAGAAAAAATCAAGGTTTCCTCTTTCCTACACCAGCATTGTTGTCCAGTCGAGGCGCAGGTGCCAGCACGAAAGTGGAAGCCAGAATCGATGGCGAATATTCTTATATCGAAGTTGTGCGATTGCTTCCCCCACCACAAGCTTCAAGGTCAGATACCACAATTCCTGGATTCATAATCTTTCGCCAATTTCAGGAAATCAATCCCACGACACCAGTGCGTGCACAGTGCACACCAGTGCAGCCTCCGTTCCACAAAAGCACTACTGTAACACCTGTCTGACCTCTCTCATTCAGAGTCTGATTTCTGATTTGTTTACGTAAACGAACGAATGACCTGATAGTAAGAGCGAACGGAGATTAGAACCGTTCACCAGTTGCCTTGGCGAAAGGTTGCAATACAACTTGTCAAATCGTGTTGCTCTACCCGAGTTTCGTTGTCGGGCGGTACACGCAGTCGTGCCTCATCAAGCGAATCGCACCAATCCGTTTATGCGGAAAAGTGCGTACTGTAACCAGTGAACTGTATCTTCTTGACGTGCGGCTTTCCTGCTCTGATCCATCGATCTCGCGAAAAAAGATGTAGTTACAAACTGTTCTCGTGAACCAATAGCAACAATGACGAGTCACAAACTGTTGTACGGTCATCCCTACGCTCAACACCACCAACCCAACCACCCTCCTCGGGACTATCCCATCCAGGGCTGTCGCTACAAGGGCATTTGCCCTTTTTGTCCTTGAATTCACGGGCTTGTTTGAGCCCAACTCAGAGAATTCAAGTGCTGGCTTTGAGGCCAGCCCTTTTTCCTTAAGCGCTGGCCGAGCTCCTAACCCTGATTTCACGTATACGTTCAGAGACCTTCCCCTTCCCCTACCCCCTCGTTCCCTTGTTATTCATTCCCTGCTTACGTAAAACATCCTCACTACCGGTTCCCCGGCCCCAATGGGGATTGGGTTATGTATCTGCTATGTACCGCAGCCCTTAGGTGTATTTGAACATCAACCTCCTTCCACGATGTGTTTACGTTCAAGTGCAGAAGGAGGTGTAGCCCTGAATCTAAGTGTTGAAATTGGACTCAACCCGGAAAATTAAGGGCTGAAATTAGGACACCTCAGCCCGCTAAGTTCTTCGGCCAGGGCAAGCGACAGCCCTGATCCCATCTCTCCCTCCTTCCGCTGCCGTACCTGCTGCCCTCCCTATGATCCCTTGCCCGTACCAGCTCAGCCGCAAAGAAGTGGAAGTACAGTCGATGCTCAGCCTATCACAAAAAAATGTTTATCACGATTAGAAAATCAGTCACTCGCGAACGTTTTGCCTGTGAGTGGTGATTGTGCTGATTTCAGGGTACAGTCACCAAGTCGAGGAAGAAAAACATCTACAGTTCATAAACAACAACGGCTGCCTGTCATCAGAATTGTTTACCTGGTTACGAACTTAAACCCCCAGTCTCGTTTCACATTCCAATTTCATTTTACAATCACATTTTTGCCCGTGGCGACAAGGGCGCATGTGGCGCCCGCCTACCTGGTGTTCTTGAAATGAGCACCGACTGTACTTGTGGGTAGTGGTACAGTCGTTAGCAGTGAGAAATTGGTGCCGGGTTGGGTGGGGACAAGAGTTTCCAGCACCCACTAAGTTCACCCATACAGTTAGAAACGTTAGCAGGCAGTGCTCTAGGCTTCACCAGGCGTTAGGTTTCGTTTCCGCCAACCGATCTTTTTTATGTAGCATCGTACGTGCATGAAAGCAGAGGAGGCGATTGTGCCAAGCGCACGCAATTTCATTCAAGCATTGACAATTGTGATGAGAATAAAACGGCAGCTCTAATGATCTATGCCCAGACACCCCTGAGATTCTACGTAGGTTCTTGAGCCACGAACGTTTACTACGTTTCCCTAGGTGTGCTTTCGTTTTCTTCTCTCTCTCTCTCTCTCTCTCTCTCTCTCTCTCTCTCTCTCTCTCTCTCTCTCTCTCTCTCTCTCTCTCTCTCTCTCTCTCTCTCTCTCTCTCTCTCTCTCTCTCTCTCTCTCTCTCTCTCTCTCTCTCTCCCGCTTGCGAGGTTCCCAGTTTCCACTTTCGACCTCTTCCGCAATTACGACTCTCCACCATTCACTCTTCGTCCTTACTCGCACTGCACGCTAGTATAAGGCCGTCGTCATCTTAAACGTGTTCCGTAGCGCACAACGGCCAGTCTCCGTTTTCCACAGCACCTCCTGCTTCCACCGCTCAATGCCACCTTAATTTCCCCTTTTCTTCTGAAGGATACTCTTAGCTTGACTGACATTTAGGTCCTTCAAGCCAGTCGCCAGTGCACCGGCAGTTATTTCTGCTTGTTTCGTCCGCATTGGCCCCCCTTCTTCATTCAGAGCTCCCGATTACAAACCATTGTGGATTGTTTGAATCATGATCTGCGACTCTTTGCTTCTATTGCGATCGCTTTTTTCTGCGCTCTTACCTTTCCCGAACCCTCGTTTTCTTCTCCCGCCATTTCGACCCGCTCTATCCCCCACCACTCACACTTATTCCCCCCCGCAGTTTCGTAGCCAAATGCGCGCGTTCCGCCGGTAACCTGCGCGCAAAGGTGCGCGTTCCGCCGACCGCACGCGCGCATCCTGCCTGTCACGCGCAGCCCCGCGAGGCCGACCGGCGACCGCGGAGAGTGTATGAATGGACGGGAGCGGGCGCGGGGATCACAACGACGATGACGACGGCGAGTGGGACGAGACGAATAACGGCGGGCTCCCGCCAGACCCGGCGGAACCCCGTAACAGGAGGTCCGGGGATGACAGTAACGCGTACGAGGATGAATATGACGAGTATGGGGAGGAGGGGGAGGAGGGGGAGTATGGCGAGGGAGGAGAGGGGGGAGGGGACGCGCGGTATGGGGAAGAGGGGGAGTATGGAGAAGAAGGGGAGTACGGGGAGGAAGGGTATGAGGATTACGATCCCGATGACCCCAATCACCAGCAGCAGCAGCAGCAGCAGCAGCAGCAGCAGGGGTTGAGAGCTGCTCCCCCTCCTAAAGGGCCCGGGCCTGGGACTGGAGAGGGGAAGGAGGAAAACGAGTATGATTATGACGAGTATGGCGAGGAGGGAGAGTATGGGGGGGAAGGCGAAGAGGGAGAATATGGTGGGGAGGGTGAAGAGGGAGAGTATGGGGGGGAGGGTGAAGGGGGAGAGTATGCGGGGGAGGGTGAGGAGGGAGAGTATGGGGGAGAGGGTGAATATAACGAGGGGGAATACGTTGAAGGAGAGTACGACGAAGGCGAGTACGCTGAAGGGGAATATGCAGAAGAAGAGTACGCTGGGGAGGAAGGAGAGCACGGAGAGGAAGAAGCTTATAACGAGGACGGGGAGTATGTTGAAGAGGGGGAGGGGGGTGGTGGCGAGGGGGGAAAGGAACAAGCAGCGGAAGGTGGCGAAGGTGATTATGAGGAGGGGGATTACGAGGGTGAGGGGGAGTATGGGGAAGAGCATAAAGGGGAGCATGAAGGAGAGCATGGGGAAGAGGGTGAGGGGGAGTATGGGGAAGGGCATGAGAGGGAGTATGGGGAAGAGCATGAGGGGGAGTATGGGGAAGAGGGTGAGGGGGAGTATGGGGAAGAGTATGGGGAAGAGCATAAAGGGGAGCATGAAGGAGAGCATGGGGAAGAGCATGAAGCGGAGTATGGGGAAGAGCATGAGGGGGAGTATGGGGAAGAGCATGAGGGGGAGTATGGGCAAGAGCATGAGGAGGAGTATGGGGAAGAGCATGAGGGGGAGTATGGGGAAGAGCATGAGGGGGAGTATGGGGAAGAGCATGAGGGGGAGTATGGGGAAGAGCATGAGGGGGAGTATGGGGAAGAGCATGAGGGGGAGTATGGGGAAGAGCATGAGGGGGAGCATGAGGGAGAGCAAGGGGGGGAGCGTGGGGGACAAAGAGATGAGTATGACGACGAGGATGGCCATTACAAGTGGGGCAAAGCGGAGCATGCTGACGAACGGGATGTGTATGCTGAAGGGCAGGAGTACGCTGAAGGTGAGGAGTATGACGAGGAAGGGGAGGAGGGTTATAGAGAGGGCCCTGAGGGTGGTTATATGGAAGGGGGTGAGGATGCAGGGGAGGAAGGTGTGCAAGAAGAGCGAGAGGGTAAGGACGATGGTGGTGGGGGTTACAGTGACGATGATTATGGGGCTGATGATAACTGGGATGAAAATGAGTACGAGGGAGGAGAAAGGGGCGATGGGGAAAGGCGGGAGGAAGGCCGTGAGGGGGAGGAGCGAGAAGAAGGTGGTGAAGGGGAAGGGGATGGGCAGGAGGAAGGAGATATGTACAGCGAGCGAGAGAGATACAGAGGGGAGGAAGGGGAGGAGTATGAGGAGGAAGATAGGGGAGGGGAAGGTAGTTACAGCGATGAGGGCGATATGTATGGTGATGGTAGTGATGGCAGAGGGGAGGAGCATGAGTCACGGGGAAGCAGAGAGTGCGATGACAGGTTTGGTGATGAGGGTGGTGAAGGTGACTATAACGAAGAGAGAGAGTACGGGGATGATGGGTATAGTGATGATGGTGGTTTTAGGGTTAGTGACACGGGGTCGCGCAGAGAGGGAGAGGTAGAAGGAGAGGGAGAAGGAGAGGGAGAGCAAGGAGATGAAAAGGTAGAAAGAGAGGGAGAGGTTGAGGGAGGAGAGGGAGAGGGAGAGGGAGAGGGAGAAGGAGAAAGAGAAGGAGAAGGAGAAGGGGAAGGAGGAGAAGGAGAGAGGGAGGATGGCGGGGAAGGCGAAGAGCGAGAGGGAGGGCCGTTGCATGCAGGCATGGAGAGGGGGGAGAGTGAGTATAGCGAGGGAGACGAAGGGGAGTACAGCGAATTGGAGCGCAATGTGGGGAGAGATGGATTCAGAGACGAGCAGGAGGGAGAGGGTGATGATTATGATGATGGACGGAGGTATGGTGGGGAAGAGGAGGATGGGAGTGAGGGAGAGAGAGAGTGGGGTGAGAGAGGGGAGGAAGGTGAGGAGAGAGATAGGGAGATTAGGGGAGGGGAAGGGGAGGAGGAGGAAGAGGGAGCAGAGGGGGAGTTGCGAGGGAGAGGCCGAGGGGGGGAAGATGGTTCGGAGGAGGGAGGAGATGATTTGTATGGTGAGTCGGAGGGTTCTGAAGCAGAGGAATGGAGGGAGCAGCAGGCACGAGAGGAGCAGCACCGGGAAGGACAGGACGAGGTTGAATATGGTTATGATGATGGTGACGCTGGTGTAGCTGAGGAAGAGGACGAGGAAAGGCGGCATCAGCAACAGCAGGAAGGGGAGGAGCAGCAGGAGGAGGAGGAAGGGCAGAGGGATGGCGAGGAGGAGAATGAGGAATTCAGGAGGGATGGGAGGGAGGAGGAGGGGATGGAGATGGAGGGGGAAGAGAGGGGCGAGGACAGAGATTTGTTCTCAGATGAGGATAGAGAGGAGGATAGAGATGCAGGTAGAGATGTAGAAGGAGAGGAAGATGGAGAGGACAGGGATTATTACAGGGGAGGAGATGGAGGAGGAGAGAGAGGGGAACATGGAGGAGAGGATGGTGATTATGGTGAGGCTGAAGGGGAGTTTGATGGTGGGGAAGGAGGAGGGGGTGACAGTGCTGCTGGGTCTGCTGCTGCACGCAGCATTGGTGGGAGTGAGTATGGCGGCGAGGGGGAGAGCGTGCGCGGGAGTGAGTATGGCGATGGTGATCTGTATGACGGCGATGGTGCAAGTGATGACGGCAGGGAGGAGGACGCTGGTGATGTGGATGGTGGTGGGGATGGTGGTGGGGACAATGATGGATACGGGCAGCATGAAGGGTATGAGGATGAGGAGGAGGACGCGGAAGCGAGGGCAGTGGAGGATGAAGGGGAGAGAGGGCAGCAGCAGCAGCAGCAGCAACAGCAGGAAGGAGAGGGTGAAGAGGGTTATGAGGATGGGGAAGGGGAGAGAGGAGGAGGTGGGGAGCGTGAGGGAGAGGATGAAGGGGAGGAGCTGTATGGGGAGGAGTATGATGAGTACGGGGATCGAGAGGAGGGAGAGGAGGGTGATGAGGGGCGCGAAGTTGGGAGAAGAGTGGTGCGTGGAGGGGTGGAGGAGGGGAATGATGGGGGGAAAAGGGAGGATGGGGAGGAGAAAAGAGAGCATGATGAGGAGGAGGATATGTATGGTGAAGAGGATAAAGATGAGTATGATGAGGATGGTTATGGTGATGGGCATGAGCGGGACATGTATGGGGATGAAGAGGAGGAGGATGGTTATGGGGAGGGTGATGGGTATGGGAGGCAGGAGCAGGAGTATGGGGAGGATGGGGAGGGGGGTGTTTATGCTGATGGGGATGGTGATGCAGATGGTGATGCAGATGGTGATATGGGAGAAGAGGAGCCTAGGCGTTTCTTGGATGGGGAACATGAAGGGGGGCTGGAGGGAGAAGGGGATGAGGAGGAGGGCGAGAGAAGGGAAGAGGAAAGTCTGGGAGACGAGGGGCGTGCAGAGGAAGAGTATGAGGGAAGCGATGATGGTCGAGGAGGTGGGAGGTTGGATAAGGAGGAGGATGGCTGGAGGGGCGATGGGAGTGAGAAGCAGCACGCAGGGGAAAGACGGTTGGATGGTGACGGGGAGGAGGTGTGGGATGGGGAGGAGAGGGAGGTGTGGAGTGACGAAGACGGGGAGAATTGGAATGGGGGGAGAGGGGACGGAGACGAGGGGAGCGATGGTGAGAGGTACGAGAGGGAGGAAGGAGAGGGATGGAGTGATGAGGAGAGGGAGAGGTGGCGAGAGGAGGGAGAGGGGGAGGGGGAGGAGGAGGGAGAGGGTGAAGGGAGAAGGAGACACGCAGAGAGCGAAGACGGGGAGGAGCGGTGGAGTGAGGGAGAAAGGTCAGGTGATGGACGGGAGGAGGATTATGAGCTGGTTTTTGAGAATTCTCAAAAACCAGCTCGGGAGGAGGATTATGAGGGGGCGGAGAGAGGTGGAAAAGAGGGGTTTGATGCAGGAGCGAGAGGGAAGAGCGGGCAAGGCATGGTCAAGCGAGTCAACGGAGAGATTCTCCCTGGAAGTGGGGGTATGAACGGGCGGGGAGGGTCTGAGGATTATTCTGATGAGGAAGAGGAAGAGAGGGATGGGGAGGTGGAGGGGGAGGGAGAGGGGGAAGTGGGTGGGGTGGTAGGGGGTGGAGATAAGGGTGAAGTGCGGGTGTATGAGGTGGGGGCTGGGTGGGAAGAAGGGGGTAGTGAGGCTGGGGGTTTGGACTCTGGTGGGGCTGGTAGTGTGGTGGAAAGAGCAGATGTCAGGGAGAGCGACGAGGAGCAAGAGGCGAGAGAGGAGAGAGGGGAGGGGGAGGAGGGAGGGTCTGTGGTGGATGGGGAGGAAGAGAGGGAGTATGGTGAGGGAGAGAGTGACGGGGAGGAGAGAGACAGGAACAGCAGTACAGCAAGGTTTGCAGCAGGAAAAGAGAGAAAGGAGGTAGAGGAGGAGGAGCATGCAGAAGGGGAGGTGGGGGAGGAAGAATATGAGGAGCGGGGTTATGAGGAGGAAGATGTGAGGAGGGAGAGGAGGGCGGGGAGGGGTTCGGGGAGTTTCAATGGCAGTGGGAGCTGGGACGAGCGGGAAGGCGAAGAGAGAGATAGAGAGCGGGATATGTATGGTTCCGGATCGGAAGACTTTGAGTATGAGAGGGATGGTCGGTACGAGAGAGAGGGGCGGTTTGACAGAGAGAATGAGTATGATGAGTATGGAGATGAAGACGGTGAGGAGGGGGATGAGTACGAGAGAGGTGGAAATGGGTATAGGGAGCATGGGGAGCGCCTCAACAGGAGAGGCTCGTTTGGGGATGAGGATGAGGATGAGGGTGGTAATGGTGTGCATGAGGGAGGGCGGCCCAGCAGCGAAGACGCATCGTCTGTGTCACAGGGACGGGGGGAAGGAGAGGGAGGGGAAGGTGAGGGCGGAAGGGATGGGTTTGCCCTGTTCAACCTTCCAGCAGGGTTGTCCCTAGGCATGCCACAAGGCTTGCCAGAAGGCCAGCCTGTTGACTACTCCGTTGGGGACCTGGAGAAGGCGTTTCGTGCCATGCAATCTGGTGCTGCTGCTGATGCGGGATCGAAACCAGGTGCACTGGGTGCTAAAGCAGCAGCAGCAGCAGCAGCAGCAGCAGCAGGTGCTGGAGCAGGAGCAGCTGCAGCATCGGGAGCAGCGGTTTGAAGCGTCTGCGAATGCTGGTGGGAAGGGTGGAGCAGGAACGGGGAAGGCGAGGGAGGGAGCGACAGGGGCAGTGGAAGGGGGTGGAGATGGAGGAGAGGGAGGAGAGGGGGAGAAGGGGGGGCGAGCGGGGTTTGCGCTATTTGATCTGCCTGCTGAAATGGCGAATATCCCCCTGGGCCAACACGTGGACGAATCAGTGGGCGACCTGTGGAAGGCGTTTCAGTCCATGCAAGGGAAGGGCGGAGTGGCTGCTGTAGGAGGTGGTGGTGGGGGGATAGGAGAGGCAAGTGCTGGTGTTGGTGGTGCTGCTGGTGGTGGTGCTGCTGGTGGTGGCCGTGACGATTTAAAGATTCGTGAAGAGGATGAGGAAGGGGAAGATGGAGAGGGAGGGAGTGGGGACGAAGGGGGGGAGGAGCGGGGAGGACGGGGCTTTGGTGTGCAGGAGAGAGAAAAGCAACAGCAAAGGGAGAAGGAGGAGGAGGAGGAGGAAGAGGAAGAGGAAGAGGAGGAAGAGCAGGATGAGGTGGGTCTGTCATTCCTGGATAAGCTAGATCAGCTGCAGCAGCTGCAGGAGCATGGAAACGGGTTGGGCGTGCCGGCAACCGGTATGGGAAGCTTGCTGCAAGAAGGCATGGGCATGGGGCTGGGAGCAGGCATGGGTATGGGCATGCTGGGTAGCCCTCTCAACAGCCCGTTATCAGCCATGGGAAGCCCTTTCGGCATGTCTGATCCGTCCTTTCCATCCCCAGCCTCCCACTCCCCCAACACACTCCCCTCGTCCCCGGGGGGTGGGAAGGCGGGTGGAGCAGGGGAGGCAGCAGCAGCGGCAGGGGGAGAGGATGTGGGCGTGGAGAATCGGAAGCTGCCGGAAAACGTGCTGCAGCTGATGCGGGAGAAGAAACCGGTTGTGCATGGCAAGGCGGAGCGCGATGATGACGAGGATGAGGATGACGATGATGATGATAGTCTGATGGGGGGAGAGGTGCGCGCACGGGACGAAGAGGAAGAGGAGGAAGAGGAGGAGGATGGGGGGGGAGCGGGAGGAGGGTTTGGGATGCTGGATCAGCTGTTGAATTTCCAAGGCGCAGGGCCTCCTGCGGGCATGGGCATGGGCATGCTGATGGGGGGGGATGGAGGCTTGCCGCTTTCGGATAACGCTCCTGCTGGCTTGGCTGGTGGCTTTGGAGAACTGCTAGCCGCCAGTGCTGCCCTCCTCGGCCCCAACAGCAGTGCTCTGCCTAAGCCTCCCCAGGAGGGCCCTGATTCTCCCGACAGTGGTCCGTTAGCCGGGCTTCTGAGCATGCAGAATGACATGGGAGGGAAGGGCGGTGGGGGCCTGGCGGGGGGGTTTCCGACGGGTGGCGGGCTGGCAGGCGCGTTTGCGCGGTTGCAGGAGGAGGAGAAGAGGGGGGGAAGGGGGAAGGAGGGGGAGGGGGATGGTGTGGGGGAAGGGAAGGTGGGGAAGGCGGTAGGGGGCACACCGCGTGTGACTCGTGTGAGGTTTGTTGAAGAGCCTGAGGAGTGGGGGGCAGGGGATGTGCAGGAGGAGGAGGAGGATGAGGAGGAAGTGGATGAGGAGGAGAGAGGGGAGGATGAGAGAGCGGAGGGGGAAGAGCTTGAGGGGATGGAAGAGCAGGAGGAGAGGGAAGAGGAGGGGGATGAGGGGGAGGAAGGGGATGGGAGAAGGAAAGGTGATCGATCGGGTGAAGGGGAAGGGGAAGGGGAGGAGGACGAGGAAGGGTACTACGAGGGAGGGAGGAGCAGGGATAGGGAGCAGGGCGAGGAGGAGTATGGGAGGGAGGACGATATGTATGAAGAGGAAGGGGATGGATACCCGAGGGGTGATTATGAAGGTGAGGACGGGGAGGAGTTTGGAGATGAAAGGGAGGGATATGAGGGTGAGGAAGGGCGGATGGGTGGAGGGGAGGCTTATGAGGATGAAGAGGGAGCGTTTGATGAGTATGGGGAGGAAGGGGAGGAAGGGGAGGAAGGGGAGCGGAGAGGGAGAGAGGGGTATGACGAAGAGGAGGAGGGTGTTGGAGAGGGAGGGCAGATGAGGGAAGGGAGTGTGGGAGGGAGTGATGACATGTATGGGCAGGAGGGGCATGAGGGAGAGATGGGGCAGGGGAGCGGGGAGATATATGGAGAGGGGGAAGATGGGGAGATGTATGAGGGAGGGGAAGGGGGCGAGATGAATGAAGGGGATGGCGTGGGGACGGGTTATGGGGAGGAGGGGTATGATGAGGGGGAATATGGGCAGGTGGAGGGGGCAGAGCAGGGGGAGTATCAGGAGCAGGAAGGGTATGAAGAGGAGCAGGCGGGGTACGAGGAGCAGGGGGAGGGGTTTGGTGAAGAGGAGGGGATGTATGGAGAGGGAGGGGAATACGAGGAGGGGCAAGGGGGGGTGCATGGGCAGGGGTATGAAGGAGAGGAAGGGGAGTATGGGGGCGGTGGTGAGGGGTATGAGGGAGAAGGACAGTATCCTGGTGGGGAGGATGATCAGTATCCGCCAGGGGAAGAGTACCCTCCAGAGGGACAGTACTTGCCAGGTGATGAGGGGTATGATGGGCAATACCCTCCTGATGACCAGTATCCCCCAGACGAGCAACAGAGAGGAGGGTATGGAGGAGAGGCAGAGGAGGGGTATGGTGGCGATGGGAATGTGGATGGGCAGTTTGAGGAGGGCATGCAAGGAGAGGGGTATGGGGAGAATGAGTATGAGGGGCCTGGTGGGCAGGAGGAGGGGTATGGGCAAGAGGGGGAATATGGGCAGGAGGGGGAGTATGGGCAAGAGGGGGAATATGGGCAGGAGGGGGAGTATGGGCAGGAGGGGGAGTATGGGCAGGAGGGGGAGTATCATGAGGGAGAAATGTTGCAGGAAGAGGAAGAGTATCAAGGGGATGAACAGTATCAGGGAGACGAGCAGTATCAGGGAGACGAGCAGTACCAGGGAGAAGAGCAGTATCAGGGAGACGAGCAGTATCAGGGAGAAGAGCAGTATCAGGGAGAAGAGCAGTATGATGAAGTGGGGGAGGGGTATAACGAGGGGGATGGGTATGTCGAGGGGCAGGAGGAGGGGCATGACATGGGATATTCGGAGGGTGGTCAGTATGGACAGGGAGGGGAAGAGGGTGGTGCAGGGGATGGTTATGAAGGCGAGGAGGTGTATGGGGAAGGAGGAGGGTATCCGGAGGGAGAGGGGTATCCGGAGGGAGAGGGGTATCCGGAGGGAGAGGGGTATGGGGAGGGCATGGGGCCGCATGGGGAAGAGGGGCAGGGGTATGGAGAGGAAGAGGTAGAATATCATGGTGATGAGCAGCAGTATGAGGGAGAGGAGGGATACGAGGGCGAGGGGGGTTATGAAGGTGAGGGAGGTTATGGGGGGAATGGGGGCGATGGTGATGGCGGTGGTGGCGGTGGTGGTGTTGGGATGGGGTTAGGCAGTCCCATAGCACACATGGGCCCAGGAGGGGAGTTTGGTGGTGGAATGGCTGGTGATGGTTATGGGGAGATGGAGGGGCAACAGGGGTATGGGCCGGAGGATGGGCAGTATATGGGGCATGAAGGGGAGCAGTATGATGGAGAAGAGCAGTATCACGAGGGGGAGCAGTATAACGAGGGGGAGCAGTATAACGAAGGGGAGCAGTATAACGAGGGGGAGCAGTATAACGAAGGGGAGCAGTATAACGAGGGGGAGCAGTATAACGAGGGGGAGCAGTATAACGAGGGGGAGCAGTATAACGAAGGGGAGCAATATAACGAAGGGGAGCAGTATAACGAAGGGGAGCAGTATAATGAGGGGGAGCAGTATAACGAAGGGGAGCAGCAGTACCAAGAAAACGGCCAGGGTGCGGAGCAATACGAGGGGCAGTATGGAGGTCCCGAGGGGCCTGGGGAATACCATGAGGGGTACCAAGAGGAATACCCAGAGGAGGGATACCAAGATGGGGAGTATCATGGGGAAGGGGAGTACCAGGGGGAAGGGGAATACCAGGGGGAAGGGCAATACCAGGGGGAAGGGGAATACCAGGGGGAAGGGGAATACCAGGGGGAAGGGGAATACCAGGGGGAAGGGGAATACCAGGGGGAGGGGGAATACCAGGGGGAAGGGGAATACCAGGGGGAGGGGGAATATCATGGGGAAGGGGAGTACCAAGGAGGAGGGGAATACCAGGGGGAGGGGGAGTATCCGGATGGGGAATACCATGATGGTCAGGGCGGGTACTATGATGGGGCAGGGGGTGGGGGCGGTGGTGGTGCTGAAGGTGATGCTGCTGCTGATGGGCAGTACATGGGTGGTAGTGACGGTGCATATGGTATGCTACAGGGGCAGCAGGAGGATGGGTACATGGGGGAGCGGGACCAGGCAGGCTTGCAGGGAGCGTACGGGGGAGGAGGAGGAGCAGGGGACGGAGGGGGGGGTTACTACGAGGAGCATGTGCGGCTGAACGGGACAGGGGAAGGCGGGGGAGAGGGAGGAGGAGGGGGGGAGGAGGAGGTGGGTACTATGGCAGGCCGCCTGGCAGCCCGTATCCCATGAACGTTCCTGAGAGTCCCTACCCTGACGAGCGACCCATGAGCCCATATGCGGATGGACAGGGGTATGATGCTGGGGAGCAGTACGGGGAGGGGCAGGGGTATGACGAGGGGCGGGGGTATGGGGATGGGCAAGGGTATGCGGACGGGCAGGGGTATGCGGATGGGCAAGGGTATGAGGAGGGTCAAGGGTATGAGGAAGGGCAAATGAGCCCCTATCCTGATGGCAATCCCATGAGCCCTCTCCCTGACGGGCATTACCCTGATAGCCCCTACCCTGGCGGCTCTCCTTACCTCGACCAGCAACAGCAGCAGCAGCAGCAGCAACAGGGGGGGAATGGGGATGAGCAGCAGGAGTATGGGGAGGGCGCGGGCATGACCCCGTATCCCGAGGACGGGGGGATGATGAGTCCGTTTGGGGATGGTGGCGGTGGGCAGTATGAGGAAGGGCAGTACCAGGAAGGGCAGTACGAGGAAGGGCAGATGAGCCCCTACCCCCACCATGGGTACCCCGACGGCAGCGGTGGGCATGGGTATGAAGGCGAGCAGGCATATGGTGGCGAGCCGGGGTATGGTGACGGGGAGGGGTATGGCGATGGGGAGATGAGTCCGTACACACCCCAGGCACCCCTCAGCCCCTTCCCCGACCAGCAGCAGCAGCAGAGGCCGATGAGTCCGCTTCAGGGGGACAGGCCTGGTAGTCCGTACGGTGGAATGCAAGCCCCTGGCAGCCCGTATCACCATGAGCAGGCGCCTGGGAGTCCGTACCACCATGAACAGGCCCCTGGCAGCCCGTACCATCACGAGCAGCCCCCTGGGAGCCCGTACCACGAGGAAGGCGGCGCAGGAGGAGGCGGTGCGTTCTATGAAGAGCGCTTGGGAAGCCCATATCACCAGCAGCAGCAGCAGCAGCAGCAGCAGCAGCAGAATGGTGTTAGAAACGCCCCTGGGAGCCCCTACCACGAGGAACGGTTGGGGAGCCCTTACCACGAGGAACGGCTTGGGAGTCCGTACCACCAGCAGCCGCATCAGCAGCAGCAGCACGGGCATGAGTATGAGCAGCGGGTGGGAAGCCCGTACCATATGGAACCGCCAGGAAGCCCATATCATGAGGAGGGGGTGGGAGGGGGGTATGGAGGGGAGGGTGTGGACGGGGGGTTTGATGGGCAGCAGGGAATGGCAGGGGGCGGGGGCGGGCAGTGGGAGGGGCAGTATGGGGAGGAGATGAATGGTGGTGGGGATGGGTATGGTGGGAATGGGTATGGGTTTCAGGAGCCGCTGACGCCTGCTAGTCCGCATGAGTATGCCATGGCGTTGCATCGAGAGCAGCAGCAGCAGCTGCAGGAGCTGCAGCAGCACCAGCAGCAGCAACAGCAGATGCAAATGCAGCAGCAGCAGCAGCAGCAGCAGTTGGGGCAGGGGCTTAGGCTTGCCCGCCCAGATTCGTCTCGCTCCTCTGACCGCCCCCCTAGCCGTGTCTCTTACCAAGATGACACAGACAGCCGTCCGCCCAGTAGGGTATCTTACGCTGAGTCAGACAGCCGACCATCCAGCCGCATGTCTCGAAGAGGGGCGGCAGGGCCGGCAGGAGCAGGAGGCGGGGGGGCAGGCGGGGTAAGAGGCGGGGGAGAAGTGGGGGAGGAAGGGTACGCTGCGTTTGGGTTCTACGGGCAGCCGTCCCCACGGTTTGGAGGGGTGGGGAGGGATATGGAGCGGCCGACGAGCCGGCAGATGAGCCGGGGCTTTTCAGGTGCTTCCCACGGGGGGTCGGATCTGGAACGGCCGGTTAGCCGGCATGGGGCGGCAGAGTATGATGAGTTTGGCCGCCCACTCACCCCACTCAGCCCACTCACCCCGCGCAGCCCACTCAGTGGGGAGGGCGTGGATAGGCCGCTGAGTAGACACGGGCAGAGAGGGGCCATGGGGGGAGAGTATGGGGATGGCGCAGGGGGGATGGGGGGCGACGGGGGATATGGTGGTATGGATGGGGGGATGGGAGGTGGGTGGGCGGATGGGGGGTTAGGATCACCAATGGGAGGAATGGGGGGAGGATATGGGGGGGATGGTGGTGCGCTAGGCTCCCCTGTGGGGTTCGGAGGTGGAGGGTTAGGCTCGCCGATCAGCATGGGGGTGATGCCAGGAGGGGAAGGAGGAGGAGGGGGAGGGATGGGGAGTCCGTTGGGATCTCCTATAGGCGGAGGTCCCTTGGGATCTCCGATATCTCTGGGCGGCGGTTTGGGTGGCGGGATGGGCGGTGGGATGGAGGATGATTCTTATGCGGAGAGTGCTTATATCGAGCATAAGATGCCGACTCTACGTGCCGAGGGGCTGCCTATGGCCCCTCCGGATGATCCCAATGACATGCCTGCAATCTCCTTTGATAGAGTCACATCCATCCGAGGACCTGCAGGCGGCATGGGAGGAGGAAGAGGAGGAGGAGGAGGGGGGTTTGCGTTTCCATCTGCAGGGCACGGGGAGGAGTATGGGGAGGACGAGGAGGAGTATGGGCACGGGGGCGGGTATGGCATGATGGGGGGGTATGAGGATGTGGGATTCACGAGCATTGGCGTGGGGGCAGAGCTAGGGCCTGTTCCTGAGGTGGATGAAGATGCATTATTGGAAGAGGAGGAGGATGATCAAACCCCAGGGTTGTTCTCTGCAGGGGAGTTTGATGGGCGGCAGGTTGAGGAGGGAGAGGTGGAGGGAGAGAGTGACGGGGAGGGCGAAGGGGAGGGTGAGGAAGGCGAGGAGGGAGAGGTGGAGGGTGGCGAGGAGGGAGGGTATGAGAACGGGGGGTATGCTGAGGGAGGGTATGGCGACGGGGGGGTTGGAGGGAATGGGGTAGGTGGCGAAGGGTACGAGGAGGAGGGAGGAGAGGGGGGGTATTACGGGGAAGGTATGGGGGGAGATGGAGGTATGGGGATGGCTGGAGGGGGAGATTACAGAGGAGACGAGGGGGGGTATGGGCAGGAGGGGCAAGAGGGAGGGGGATATGGTCCGGGAGGGTCTGGTTTCGACAACCAGTGGGTGTCTCCTCGGCCCATGCCTACTGGTGCTGCTTCCACTGCTGGTGCTGCTGGTGCTGCTGTTGGTGTGGGGCATTCTTTGCCTAACTCTGCATGGCAAGAGCAGCAGCAGGGGCAGCAAGGGCAGCAGGGGCAGCAAGGGCAGGGGCAGCAGGGGCAGGGGCAGCAGCAGGGAATGCTTTTGAAGCCGTCTCCCCCTCCTACTCAGCAGCAGCAACAGCCGGCCCGACGGAAGACTCCTCCCAAGCGGCAGCAGCAGCAACAGAAACAGCTGCAGCGAGCACAGCAGCAGCAGCATCTCCAGCAGCAGCAAGAGCAGGAAAAGCAGCAGCAGCAACAGCAGGCAAGCAAGAAGCAAGGAGGACAGCCCAAGCAGAAGCCGTCAGCCAAACAGCCAGGTGCAAAGAAAGCGGCGGCCGCTGCTGCTGCTGCTGCTGGTGCTGCTGCGACTGGCTCTGCTGCTGATAAGGGTGGTGCAGGGAAGACAGGGGTGCAGGGAAAGAAGGCAGGCAAGTCGGGGACGAAAAAGCAGAAGGGCAAGGCTGGCAGCACTGGAGCTTCGGGAAAGACTGCTGGGGGAGCATCAGGAGGAGTATCAGGAACAGCTACAGCGGCAGCAGGAGGAGCAGGGAATGGAGGAGCGGGAGGCATGGGCATGCAGGCTCAGAGTGGGAATGGGCCTGGGAATGATGCGGATTACTACTCTCAATTGTTGCCTGCTGACGGCGCGACTACCCCCCGCCTGAGTCCATACAACCCGTGGGAAGAGGAGGAGACGCTGCTGCTGGAAGGGGCTGATTCAAGGCACAAGGCAAAGCCGCAGAAACAGCAACAGAAACAGCAGCTGCAGCAGCAGCAGCAGCAGCAGCAGCAGCAGCAGCAGCAGCAGCAGCAGCAGCAGCAGGAGCAGCAGCAGGAGCAGGAGCAGGAGAGAGGGGCAGGGAAGAAGAGTGCTGGCGGGCAGGAGGGGAAGGGCAAGGGTGGAGGGAAGGCAGCCTCTCCTGAAAAGCCTGTGGCAAAGAGGGCAGCAGCAGGTGCAGCAGCAGGTGCTGCTGGTGTTGCTGGTGCTGCTGAAAAGGACAAAGCGGGGAAAAAGACATTGTCGGGTACAAAGAAAGGGTCTGCTAAGGTGAAAGAGGCCGCCGTAGGGAACGGTTTGTCTGCCCCAGCTGCTGCTGCTGCTGCATCTACTTCTGCTGCTGCGACAACCACTCAGCAAAAGAAGACAAAGAAAGCCGCACAGAAAGCAGGAGAAGGTAAGGGTACGAGAAAAAAGGCAGCGGCGGCAGCAGCAGGAAGCACAGGAGAAGGGGGTGGGGAAGGAGGAGGAGGAGAGCAGTCGCAGTCAAGAGGCATGGAGGAGGAGGAAAGTATGGCGTCGGACTTTGCCGCTATGGTCACTGCTGCTGCTACAGCCGCCGCTGTTGCCGCCACCATGCCTCTCAGTGACGGCTCGGCTGCCTCTGCCGCCGCCGCTCAGTCAGCCGCTGCGGCTGCTGCCGCTGCCGCCACCAGCAGTGCAGCAGCAGCGGGCGGGCCCCATTCGTTGCTGAGCCCTAGCCCTAGCCGGTCCGCCTCTGCTGCTGCCTCTCCCTATTCCGCTGCTGCTGCCGCTGCTGGTGCTGCTCACAGGAGTGACAGTGACGGGGTGGTCCATAATGCTATCGACTCGCTCTCTCTCCTCGAGATTCCGTGGGCAGAGCTGAGGAGAAGAGGCATTTACCAGGAAGACTATGCCTCTCCTCCCATGCTTCTTGCTGATCACTCCCCAGCTCCCAGCAAATCCCAGGGCAGCACCAGCGGCGCTGATGCCTCTGCTGCCTCTGCTGCCGCTGCTGCCGCGGCCGCAGCTACTGGTGGTTGTAGCAGCAGCAGCAGCAGAGGAGGTATCCCTGGCGGTTCTGCTGTCACTGGCGGTGAGAGTAACAGCAGTGCGGGTGCCAGAGCTGCTGGTCATGGCGCCATGGAGCTAGACTCGTTTGTTGACCTGTGCCTGGATGAAATGGTTCCTTCTGGGAAAACCGAGCAGCTGCTGCATCAGCAGCACGAGCAGCAGCAGCAGCAGCAGCAGCAACAGCAAGGGAGGGGTGGGGGAGGAGCAGAGGAGACGAGCAGTGGCAGTGCGAGGGGCTCGGGCAATGGCACTAGGGCAGGGATGGTGGCTGGTGGTGGTGGAGGGGAGAGCAGCAGTGCGAGTGCGAGTGATGGGTTGACCACGGAGGGATCGCAGGCGTTCATGCTGCTCACCAACCGCAGCCCTGCCATCACCGAGAGGGAATTCCGCCCCTTTCTTCGCCATGGTACGGACTCACACCTACCCTCCCTCCCTCCCTACCTCCCTTCCTCCCTCGCTCCCTTCCTCCCTCCCTCCCTTCCTCCCTCCCTTGCTCCCTCACCTCCTCACTCACTCACTCACTCACTCACTCACTCACCCTCTCTCTGCCCATCACAGCCATGCCTGTCATCCTTCTAGTCTCATCTTCACCTCGTTCACACACACGTACGCATCATCCCATCATTCTCCACCTCTCCTCACCCCCTCCCTCACACCTCCTCCCCTCCCTTCCCTGTTCCCCCGCACATCCCCAGCAGACATACCCATGATCGTCCCGCCGTCCCCCGACTCACTGCATTCACACACACATACCCATCATTGCATCATCCCATCTTTCGCCGCACCCCTTCCCTCACACCTCCTCCCCTCCCTCCCCTGTTCCCCCGCACATCCCCAGCAGACATACCCATGGTCGTCCCGCCGTCCCCCGACTCTCTCGCGCACGCAGCAGCGCTCCTAACAGCAGCGCAGGAGCACGAGCACCAGCAGCAGCGCGCGCTCGGCTTCGGCGGCCTGGACCGCCGACTCCTCCTCTGCATCCTCTCCACCATCGACTCCCCCCGCGACTGGCTCTCCTTCTCCCTCGCGTGCAAGCCCTGGCGCGCAGCAGCCTACTACGGGCTCCGTTCCCTTCGCCTGCACCGGGGCCGGAGGGTCAACACGAACGGGCTTATCCGCGCGCTCTCCCACTGCCCGAATCTCACCGCGTTGGATATACCAGGAATGAGCCTCGACCAGCCGGTTAGCAACGACCTGCTGTGCACCATTGGGTATTCATGTCCGGACCTCCGGCACTTGTCTATAGGCGGTGATCCTGAGCTGGGGTATTCGTTTCGGGAGTCGGGGCTCGTGCTGCTGTTCTCTGGCTGCACGAATCTCGTTGACCTGCGGCTGGAGGCGTTTCAGAGGATTCAGGTGAAGAGCAATGGTGGCAGCAGCAGCAGCAGCAGCAGCAATGGGGGTGCTGGTGCGGGTGCTGGTGGTGGCAGCGGCGGTAGCAGCAGTAGCAGCTTGGTTCACAGTGGCAGCAGGGGCAGCATCAGTGATTTGCTGGCCGCTGCTGCTGGTGATAGGGCAGGAGCAGCAGACGCTGCTAGCGACACCAGTGGCGACCTCTCCTTAACCGCTGCCTCCCTTTCCTCTCTCCCTCTCTCTGCCGGCACAGCTGTCGCCGTCGCAGCAGCAGCAGCAGCAGCAGCATCCTCCACCGCTCTCTCCGCTGTCCTCTCCTCTGCCGCCTCCGCGGCCGCCTCGCTCTCATCCCACCACGCACCACCGCCTCAAACCGACCCAAACACCGCAGCCGTCGACGGCATAACCTACCTCCCAGAAACCCTAGGCGAGCTCATCCATCTCCAAACCCTAGTCCTCAGCTTCCAGAACGGCCGTCACCACATCCGCCTTCCCGACTCCATCGGCCGTCTCTCCGCCCTCCGATCCCTCGAGCTCGCATTCACCTACCCAGTCTGCGTGCCGCCCTCCCTCTGGTCCCTCACATCTCTCCGCGTGCTCCGCCTCGTGGGCTGGAAGGGCCTTGCTCTCCTCCCCAACTGCCTCGGCGAGCTAGCCAGTCTCCAAATCCTCGACCTCCGTTGCTCCGAGCTCGTAGATCTCCCCCCCTCCGCCGGGCTCATCCGCTCACTGCACGAGGTGGTCTGGGAAACCAAGCGCACGCGGGAGCTCGAGGCCTTTGGCTCATCGGTCCCGCCATCCATTGTCGACTTCCCCTCCATCCGCCGACTCACACTCAAGAACGTCTGGACCGTCTCGGGAGACATCCAGCACCTCTCCGCGCTCACTCGCCTCGATATCTCCGGAGCTAAAGGCCACCTGCGCTCTCTCCCCGAGGCTATCGGCAGCCTGCCGAACCTCACCCATCTGGACGTGCGCGGGTCGTTCCGAGCCATACCATCCTCCATCGGCCGTCTGCGCAAGCTCGAAGTTCTCCGGCTGCTCAGCGAGGTCCTCGAGGTGTTACCTCAGGAGCTCGGGGACCTCACCAGCCTGCGCCAGTTGCGCCTCGACGGTTGCCGCGCCAACCCGCCTCTCCCGGACTCCCTCTGGCAGCTGCAGCAGCTGCGGGTGCTCTCCATGCCATGCGACCGAGTCCCGGACGAGATCGGCGACCTGCAGTCACTCCACGCGCTCGAGATCGACTGTGACACGTCCCGATCCTCCCCGCACCACGCGCTGCCCGCACGCATCGGCTGGCTGAGAGAACTCAAGGAGCTCCGCCTCGTCTGCCCCTACCTCCGCTCCCTCCCAGCCTCCTTCGTCTCCCTCTCCTCGCTTCGAGAGCTCCAGCTGCAATTCGCCGGCCCGCTGCCCAAAGACTTTGGCCTCCTCACCTCGCTCCGCCGTCTCGTGCTCGACAGCCGGGAAGTTTACGCGCTGCCCGAGTCCTTCGGCGACCTGACCGGGCTCGAAACCCTAACCCTCGTAGGGGAGAAGCTATCCACGATCCCAGAGACGTTCGGAAACCTCTCCTCGCTCCGCTCCCTCTCTCTCGTCAACTGCTCAGGTCTCACCAGCCTGCCTGCCTCCTTCGGCGATCTTTCCAGTCTCACCAGATTCGAGGCGTCCTGTCGGGATCTTGCATGGCTGCCCGTGTCTATTGGGAACCTATCAGCGCTGCAGGTGCTGGAGGTGCAGAGCAGGCGTTTGTCTCAGCTGCCCGAGTCGTTTGGGAACCTTACCTCCCTGCACACGCTCAAGCTGCACTGTCCCATGCTGCGCTCTCTGCCTGCTAGCTTCAGGCAGTTGCCTGAAATGGTCCGTGCTCATGCTGGCGTGAAGCTGTATGTGAGTTAGGAATCATGGTAGATCGACCGGTCTTTGTAGAGCCTGAAGTGGTTATTGCTTTCTCATGTGTGCTTAGCATTTTTTTTCACAGCTTTTTGTCCTTGTACCATGTCCCTCCCTCCCCCTGTGAACCGAATGCTTTCTAGCCTGTAGCTTCTAGCCCATCCGCTTCCATTTTCTCCATGGGTGCTCATGGAACCTTCTAACCCCTGACTAAGGGCCTAGCTCATGCTTAGTTTGTGGGCGCTCGGTCCACATTTGTTTCAGAAATATGGTCTGCTTTTGTACCGTAATCCCCCGTATATAGGACCCCCCCCCCTTGTAGACCCCCGGCTCTATAATACGGACCCGGGTGCTCTATTCGAGTACATCTGAGTTGTACCCCCCTAAATGGCTCCTAACATTATAAGACCCCCCCCACATCCTAGAGAAGAGCGGATTTTACACAAATGCCATTGAAAATGGTCATATTCCATGTTGATTAAGAGAAATCGCACACATCCATGAACACACATCCGGAACTCAATTATAAGCGCCCCCCTGTAAAACCCTATTCTATTATAAGCGCATGTATAATTTTGTTTTTCATACCTGATTGAAACGGTAGCGAATTTCGATTTTCAAGCGGGTCAGCACCCATTTTCACCTTGTTTGACTTTCGAGGTCCTGACTGGTTGCGCGTCCAGTCAGGATGAGCTGGCACGCGGGCAATTTGACGTGCCAAAGCTCTGTGCAGCGTCAGAGAATCGCCCTCGCGCGATTCTGTTTCAGGGTCTCTGTAAAATTCAGATTCGTTTGACATTACGAGACTGGAAAGTACAATTTGAACTCCAGACTACCTTCATATAAATGTCAAAATGAATAGACCCGAGTCTTCTAAAAAATATACCATTTAAATATACCCCCAGCCTTTTTAGGGGTGATTATCATAAGACCCTAGGGTCCTATATACGGGGGATTACGGTATTTCCAATATTGTGCTCATGGAAATTTTAGATTGATTGCCTACTAGCTAGCTACCACCAAAGAATCATGTTGACCACAATACATCGATAAAAAATAAAGGAAGGAAAACATACTAGTATAGCACTGTCTGAGGCGTTCATTTTTGCCCCAAAGAAAAAACAACACATCTGGAAGAGATCTAGGAACTGGAAAGTATAACTGCCTTATGGCAGTTCACATTCTGCATGAATGTGGTCGAGTGTATTTGTTGCACGGAAAGCAGGTCTTCATTTCGCAAGCCGGGCAAAAACGGGCAGCCTGGACCCACCTCCGTTTAAATCGTCACGCCACGTCGGCACGCGATTGGTACCCTTTTCCGAGAGGACTGCCGAACCAATCTGATCGTTGGCGGCAACTCGTTCAGAGCCGTCGGATTTAGACTCGAAAATGATGTTGCGAACAACACTCTCCACCGAATCGAAGTTGTAACTGAAGCAGGACTCTGTCAGGGTCAAGTCATGTGCCGAGGTATCGAGTTTCGCCGAAGGACGACAAAGCTGCTCCAGGTCGTCGGCGACGATGTTACCACCCTTTCGCAAAATAACTCCCGCATCCTCCAGACCTGCTGGCAGCAGGTTCGGGCTCATTTGAACACTGCCGGGGCAGCTGCTGCCACTGCTCATGCTGTCAGGGGAAACTCCCTGGTTGAACCATCCAAGCTTGGAGCGTATTTCAGGCGAGATTGGCCCGCATTCAGGGGTTGACTTGCCTGACATAGCCAAAAACCCCGCGGGATTAGCGACACCAGCGTAAGCTGGGTTGTATGCGGCACTGCCGTTTGCCTTGGTAGAAAGGCTTGACGTATCATACACCGGAAGAGGGACGCCTGTCTCTCCCATCGCACAAATGCCGTAAGCAGAAGCGTACGCAGTAGTTGCTGCTGCTCCTGCAGCAGCAGCAGCAGAGGCGGCAGCGATTCCTTCCGCATCTGCATATCCGGAACCCGCGTACCCTCCCTCTTCCTCCTCATCATCCGACTCATCACCCCACTCCCCACGCCCGCAGATCCAATCCCGGCCGCGACCACAGCTGCTGGCGCTGCTGCTGGCGCTGCTGCTGCTGCTGATCGTGCGGCCAGAACCGCCCCCTTCCTCCATCCCATCAGACGCAAACACATCTTCCCCACCAGCACCCCCAGCACCACCACCAGAACCAGAACCAACACCACCACCAGCACCAGGAGCCGCGGCGGCATTAGCAGCAGCAGTGGCGGCTGCAGCGGCAGCTGCAGCAGCAGCAGCAGCAGCGGCATGGGCGTGAGCATGGGCGTCATAAGGCGCATAGTCCTCATCTTCATACAGCCCCAGAGCCATTTCTGAGCACCGAGCCATCCCTGCCAATCTCGTCTGCCTCCATTCCGCGGCTGCAGCCGCCGCCACCAGCAGCCTCTCGGACCCTGCCTCCTCCCTCTCCTCCTCCCCTTCCTCCAGGTCCAGACTCTCGGGCAGGTCGAAAGTTACAGTTCGGGCAGCAGCAGGCGCGGTTGTTTGCACTACGTGCGGGTGGCACGGGTGGTTGAATTCTGATGATGCAGCCGACATGAACATGTCGTCTCCACCAAAAGCCACACCCATGGCCTCGGAAACACCGTACATGTCATCCGCTGAGCCCATCGGGATGAGATCAGAGTCGTATGAGTCATATCCATTCATCCATGCACCACCGTTGCCGCCATGCTGCATCGTCACCTCCTGCTGCTGCTGCTGCTGCTGCTGGAGGTGCCACGGCATGTGAGTGGAAGGAGGGGAGGTCAGGCCAGCAGCAGACGACGCACCGGGGCAGGGGGGCGAAGAGGCTGTGCGCCCAACACCACTCAGGCTACTGCCGCCGCCAACACCACCACCTGCCTTTCTCGCCTTGTAAGGTGCTGCCAGGCCAAGCTGAGCGCATCTGGTTCTGCCCGCACCGGTTGCAGCAGCAGAGGCGGAAACTAGCACTCCTTTACCGCCACTCGCTGCCCCGTCTTGCAGTAACGCTGCTGCCGCTTGTGCTGCTGCTGCTGCTGCTGCTGCCGTTGCTGCTGCTGCTGCTGCTGCTGCTGCTGCTGCGTTTTCTGCTGCCGCACATAGGCAAGTGACGCATGAGATGAAGCAGCAGTGGCAGCGGCCGCCGTAGCAGCAGGAGATGCGGCCATGCCGTTGTTCTCACCAAACTGAGAGGACGGATTGTACAAGCCAGGCACGAGCGACATGTACGGCAGGTAGAACCTGGGGCAGGGCGCACCTGACGCAGCAGCCGCGGCAGCAGCAGCAGCAGCGTTAGCTGCCACAGCAGCAGCCGCAGCTGCAGCGGCAGCGGCAGCAGGGGACGCGGGCATGACTAGGTGCATGGAGGAACCAAGGGAGGCGGCAGCAGCAGCACTGCCAAGCGGCATGGAGGGCGGAAGCATGGGCGGGATCATGTAGCCGAGAGAAGAAACGGGAACGCCAGCCACAACGCCACCAGACGCTGCAGCAGCAGAAGCAGAAGCAGCAGTAGGTGTGGAGGTGGGGTTGTTACCGCTGCTGGCACATGAGTGGGCAGCACTCCAGCTATACGCGCGAGGAGCGCGTCTCGATGCCCATCCGCTCCCTCGCCTGCCGCCTCCCCCTCCTTGCTGCTGCTGCTGTGAGTGTGACTGCTGCTGATGCTGATGCTGATGATGCTGATGATGATGATGGTGCTTCCACGCTTGTCCACCGCCCTGCTCCTTCTTCTCCTGCTCTGACTCCTCCGCCTTGCTTTCCCGAACAGCGCCTCCTTGCTGCCCCTGCACCTGCTGCGACCCCTGCGTCTGCGTCTGCTGCTGCTGCGTCTGCGACCGAACCTTCAGCTGCTCTCTGCTCGCCTCAGTCGCCGAACCAGCAGTTTGGGTGCACTGACCGGCATTCTCGTCTCCGCCAGCAACAGCAGCAGCAGAACCAGCAGTAGGAGGGGGGGAAGAAGCCGGAGAGAGGGCGGCAGCAGGAGAGGCGAGAGCGGCGGAAGCAGGGGTCTGAAGAGGTTGGAGAGGCTGTCCGAGGGGCAGCAGCGAGTCCCATGCGCTGTCCGTGCCCAGCAGCTCCTGCAGCGTCGCCGTGCGCCCCTCCTCCTCTCCTGCACCCCCCTCATCTCCCCGCCTCTCACCACCGTCGTCCGAACCACCCTCCTCTCCGTTCCTTTTGCTCCTTGCGTTCGCTGCTGAGGCCTGCTCTTCTCCGCTGCGCTCCTCCTGCGAGTCGTGAGACTCCTCTTCCTCCTCGTCCGCCTGCCCTGTCGCAGCGCCGTCTTCCAGTAGTCGCAGCATCTCGCGCGCGCGATCCAGGGCCTGCAACAACCACACACGTCACAAGCCATGTTAGCACGACATGCAATCAGTTGAGGAGAAAAAAGTAACGAAAAAATGAAAGAGGCAATCGGCATATAATATGAAAAAAATGAATAAAACCAATACCTCCACAAAGACAGAGGAGCGTCCGAGCTTCAACGGTTGGGTGAAGAGGATAAGGGATTTTTCAGTACAATACCTTCACGTGGGAATCAGAAGCTGCTGCTGCTGTTGCTGCTGCTGCTGTTGCTGCTGCTGCTGTTGCTGCTGTTGCTGCTGCTGCTGTTGCTGCTGCTGCTGTTGCTGCTGCTGCTGCTGCTGCTGCTGCTGTTGCTGCTGCTGCTGCTGCTGCTGTTGCTCTTTCCGCTACCTCCACCTCTGCTCGCATCGGCCACACCGCCACCATCCTCTGTATGCGCCTCTGCCTTGTCGTCAAACGCCGCTGATTCTTCATAAGCCTCGGAAACACAAGCAGCAGAAGGAGGAGCATCCGCAACACCATCGGCAGGCTCAGCAGCAGCGGCAGCAGAAGCAGCAGCAGCATCACCTTCGTGGTTGCTGGTGCTGGTGCTGGTGCTGGTGCTGGTGCTGGTGCTGGTGCTGGTGCTGGTGCTGGTGCTGGTGGAGCTGCTGTGGGGGTGTGCGTTGGCGCCGCTGGGACCAGTGACGGAGAGCAGCAGGCGGCGGGCCTCGCGCACCTTGCGCTGCTTCAGCAGGCACAGCGCGAGGTTGCACACCTTGTTGTTGTCGCGCTCGATCCGCAGCGCCTTCCTGCGATGCGCGCGCGCGCGGGGGGGAAGGGGAAGCGCGAGGAAACGTGGAGGAACGCGGGGGGAAACGGGGAAATGGGGGGGACGCCGTGGAACAAGGTGAGAAATCATGCAAGGGGTTGAGGGCCGGCGAGCGAGCGAGAGGGAGAGTGAAAAACCGAGGCAGGGCAACGTCAGCGAGAAGACGGCACAACGAACTACCACCACCCATCGTCATACCTATACACGAATTCCGCCGCTTGATAGTTGGTGCACTGCATGTACGCCCACCCCAGGTTCCCCAGCAGCCGCGTCGCCTCCTGCTCCAGCGACACCTGGAACTTCCGCCCCTGCGACCGCGCGGTCTTCGTTTTCCGACCGTTGAACGCGACGCCGAGGCGGATACGATCCAGCTTGTGCTTCAGCAGCGCGATTTGATCCTCCACGCGCCCGCACCGCTTGTAGAGATCCAACAGGATATTATCGAGGCTCTCCTGCGCCGCGTCGGAGCACTTGTGGCGGAGTTGCTGCACGGCGGAAATGGCGGCGTCCGCCTTGTTCTGCTGCTTGAGCACGATCGCGAGGTCTTTAAGAGCGCTGTCCACGCGGTCGCCCGACGCGATGGCCTGTGAGAATAACTGCACGGCGCGGTCCGGGTCCTTGCCCACGAGCTGCACGCGGGGGACGCGAGGAGAGCGCGCGGCAGGAGCGGGAGTAGAGGGAGCAAAAGGAGCAAAGGGTAGGAGAGGGTAGGAGAGGGTAGGAGAGGGTAGAAGGGAGCAGGGAGGTAAGGAGAGGGATGGAGCAGGGGGTAGAGGGAGACGGGAAAACACAAAGTTTAAGATTATTGAGTGGAATGACGCTAACTGTTGGAGGAAACGAGGCAGCAACGGTTCTAAACGCGACCGTAACGAGGCACTAGAGCGCGCTGCACTGCGCCACTGGCGGCGTCTGTGTGAGCCATTGCTCCCCAACGCAAGGCTATTATTCTCTCCAGCCGCGCGCTCGGGAGGCTAAACGGGTCATTTACACGCCGAGCGGACGGCAACGGCTTGCACGGCAGCACAAATCCGTGTCAGGTCAGGAAATGGGCGTGTGGGGTGAGCATGAAGGAGGGGTGCATGTGGAGAACAATCAGGCGAGTCTGCGAGAGCGAGGGTGGGAGTGAGGCCCTCGCTGCACGCATGCAGCGGAACACGAAGGAAACGCGCGTTGGCGCGGAGGGGAAATCGTTGCCATTTTGCCATTCCGCATGGCTCTAAGCACTCCGCCGCATCCACTAGAGTGCGAGTTCCGCCAAAGGGCGCTCGTCGTGATACCGAGGGGGAAAGTGCGGGTGGGAGTGCGAGTGAGGGAGCGCAAGTGAGATGAGAGCGCACGTGGGATGGGAGCGCACGGCTCACCTGATAGTGCTTCGCTTGGATGTACGGCGATGCGGAGCTGGACCAGGTCGCTGCGCCAGACGCTACGGAGCCTGCGCTTGCGCTTGCGCCGGCTGCGGGAGGAGCGGATGCGGAGGAAGAGGGAGGCGAGGCGGCAGAGGAGGAGCAAACGAGAGCAGGAAGCGTTGCAGTGGAGCAGGACGAGCAGGCAGGAGCGGAGGAAGTGACGGAGGAGGCAGAGGCGGAGGCAGAGGCGGAGAACCCGAGTGGCGATGCCATTGACGGAGGCGCTGCAGGTTTGTGATTGGCGGACGAAAGCGTGCAGCTCAGGGCGGAAGATCCGGCGGATGGCACGGCAGGTGGAGCGTTTGCGCTTGAGACGGCCTGATTGACGAGGTGGTGGGTGTTCTGCCACGATTTGCGGCTTCGGCGGCGATGTCTGGGCCCCTCGCAGCCTGCCATGATGGCTTCTGAACCCGGGTTCGATTCGTCAGTCAGTCTCGAACGGTGAATCTCTTGCAGAGAAAGAACCCCCGAACTCGCGAGAAGCGGGTGGTGGTTGAATTTGCCTTACGGCCAGGATCGTTCGGGTTGCTAGGGTGCGAGCTCACGGATGTTGTGCGAGATTTGAGAGAGAGCAAGTTGATAGGAGAGAGCGGATTACTAGAAGAGAGTATTGGAATAGAATTACGGCGTTGCACACATGGCATTGCTCGAAAAGGGAAGAAAAAGGAAGGCTGGATGGATGACGATGCGATGGTTATGCCGTATGATCAACGACGTCCTGGCGATTCACGAGGACATCCGCAAGAAATGGTGCCATGGATCGTCAGCGCTTTGGATGCGCCTGGCAGCGGCACAATCGCAGCAGGATGATTGGTGCTGATTCATACCGATGGGTTGGGGTGGACTAGCCGTGGTTGGGTTGGGTTGGGCTGGGAATCGGGATGGGGAAGGAATTGGAGATGGAGGGAAAACAGGTGGGAGCCAGGAGGAGGGAAGAATGCGAGATGTGGTTTCCGCCCGCACTGCTGTGCCGCACCACCTGCTGTTCGCTCAGGCTTGGCGGAGAGGGGACTGGTGGATGGTGTGGTGTGGGGAGGAAATACCATACCATACCAACACCTCTCTCCAAGCTCTCACTCCCCTACCATTCCGACCTGGGCCGAACGGTTCTTTATTTTTTTCGTTCTGCCCGCTACAGTTCAGTCAGCCGCCAAATTTCTCGAACCCATCGTCCCCCACGAATCCGGCCCCGCATTCGCGCTCCGCCCCTCGGCCAAATCTCTCCGGAAAGCTCCCCCCTCCTCTGGTTCCCGCCCACACCACAAGATTTTTCTCCCCCTTTCCCCACAGCTAACCATCCCGCGCGGGATCCTGCCAGCGCGCGGTAGCAACAACTCCCCAATTTGATCGGGGCCAGCAAAGGGCAGTGCGATTGACTAGGCTTTGCTGGTTCGGCTTGCTGCCCACCAGTAAGGCGAGAGCACGCGCGCACGGTGTCAGATGAAACTGGGGCCAGCCAGTTTGCCTGCAGTGGTAGGGCATTTGGCGTATCCGTTCGCGATGTTGCTGAACCGCTGTGTGCGACTGGTTTGGCTCAAGGGAGTGGAACAGTCGTACCTGCTGGTCAGGAGGGCAGCGAGCGGGAGGGAGGTTCCGCCCTGGCAACCTTCTCGCGGTTCGCTGTTCCACGCCCCTCCGCGCGCAGAAGTTGTGTGTGGATGAACCATCAGTGGTAAGTGGATCCGGCGACGGATTTGTTTGAGTCGCCAGGTTTGTCGCACGCCTGTCAAGTAACTGCGGCACGAGTTTGGAAATTCTGTGGCGGGTTTTGGTTGAGAATCCCAAGGGACCCGTAAATTCCGCCGACGCCCAGTGTTTTGATTGCAGGTTGTACAAGCCAACACCCACTCACACTAACGTACTGTACTAGTTTGGCTGACCCAACCCAAAACTGTATCTCCCCCCCGGCACAGACGATCATCCCTGTCAGAAAGACCAGCCAGATCAGAGCTATACGACAAACAAGAACCAGATGCATTTGGTCACTGATTGGATAAGCCAACGGCTCCCTCGTTTCCCCCCCTTTCAAAAAGAAGTCATGGGATGCAAGCAGTCCCGTAACTGATATGAGCCTCTGGCAGGCACTACACAAAGTCTATGCGGATGAATACATTTGAATGTCAAACTTTGGAATGCTTACATCAATTGCCGCCACCTCTAATGTGGCAATCTATATTTCATCCCTCGTACTCTTTGCAGACCATACAGTTTCGCCGTTTTGCGACACTAAACAGCAATTAATTATTTTGCACCCATATAGACTCTCCATCACAGCTTCACTTGTGATAACGAATCACATACGCAATCAACATCGAAAAAATGTGCAGAGATTTGAGCATTCCTGTTCTATTACTCCACAACTCGCTCTAGGTCACGTAGCAGCTGCACACCATCCCTGCAACCTCGCTTGCGTCTCAGCAATGTACACATGCGCTGATACACCTCCTCCAGCTGACTCACCATCAACCCATCAGTCCTATCAGCTACTCTACACAGCACTTGCTCCATAACTTCCTTCACTGCTCTCTTCTCCTTCTCCCACTCCTCCCGCCACTCCTCATCAAATTTCACAGCCCTGGGGGTATCATGCATGATAGCATCGGAAGCAGGCCCATCACCCAAACCAGAAGTGTCCGCACCAACACCCGAACCACCGACACCCGAACCACCAACACCCGAACCACCGACACCATCATGCAGTGGCGATCTGCCTGGACCTGCTGCTGCCACCCCTGGCACACCTGCTGCTCCTGCTCCTGCTACTCGTGCTGCCCCCGGCGCACTCATGCCTCGCACACATCCTGCTCCTCTTGCTCCTGCTGCTGCTCCTGCTGCTGCTGCTGCTGTGCCTACCTCTGCTTCTGCTCTCCCTTCCATGACTGTTCCCCGCGCCACGTCATGCAAAGAAACACGCTTCCCCCTCTCATCTCTTGTAAGTTCACCCAAGGACTTGAACTTGATCGGACCGTCACCGCCGCTGGCGCCGCTTACCCCACAAGCTGCCTCTGCACCTCGAGGAGCATCAGATGCATCACTAAACCCTAACCTATCATGTGCTAACCGCATCCGGTCTTAAAGCACCTGCTGTTACTGCATCACTAGGTGGTCCTGAATACCTGGGACCAGTGGAATCAGGATGGCTACACTTGCCTGCGCTACTCAGCTTGGACTTTGCGCTCGGAACACCAGTATCTCTGCTTCCACCCGCACCCGTGCTGCCAGGTGCACCAGGTGATAACCCCACAGCTGTATCTGTAGCTGTAGCGGTACCAGTACCAGGGGATTGATGCAGACCCACAGCAGCAGGTGTTGTTGACGGCTCTGCACCGACTCCAGTCACTTCACTCCTACGACCGTCTTGCTTACCACCATCGCTGTGAGCAGCCCCGGCCGTATCATACTCTTCCTCCTCATCCACACCCTCGTAACTATCTGGTACCATCTCCACATCATCATCTCCCCATCCCTCCATGTAAACTTTCTCCCTCTCCTCACGCTCCTGCTCCTTCCCCTTCTGCTGCTGCTGGTGGTTCTGCTCATGGTGCCCTTCCTGCAACGCCTTCGCTCTACCTACTCCACTCAAACTACCAACCTCACTCATCACACCGCTGCGATCAAATTCTGCCCTACAATGCTCATCATCCCTCACAAACCCCTCCACCTCACCAGCACCACCAACAGCCTCTTCTCGACCCCCGACTTCCCCACCCTCCCCACACAGCTCCCCACACAGCTCCCCACGCTCGCCTTCCCTTCCTCCTCTTCCAAAACCGGCACCACCCACGCCATTCTCGTTCCCACTCCCTCCCCTCACTACTCTCGCCTCATTCTTCTCCACTCCATTGATCGTGCCCGTGCCAGCAACCTTCCCATCCGTTCCCACCCTGCTCGCAAGCTGTGGCGTCTCGAATGGCACCACCGCATCCGCGCAACCGGCCCTCTTCCTCTTGCTGTACCCCCCCGACTTGAAATCCCGCCCCCGGCCTTCCATCATCAACACATCACCTTCGCTTTCTCCCGCACGATTCTCCTCACCCCTCCCGATCTTCTCCCCATCCCCAACTCTCCCATCCCCAACTCTCCCACCAGGGTGGCTCTGGTTGGGACTATCAGTCCTGTGATTGCTCATATGCTGCAATCCCATCACATCGTACCATCTGCCAGACGCACTCCCTTTCACCGCCTGTTTCTTCCCAACTGCCTTTTCTCCTTCACTCCCTTCCTTCTCCCACCCGCTCTGCCCATCACCAGTCCCTCTACCATCCACACGCGCTTCTCCCCCCTCTGCCTTCCTCTTCGCCCCATCCCTCTCCCTTCCCTCCCTCCCCACCTTATCTCGTCCACCGCCATCAAACAACCGGGTACCTCCTCCTCCTCCTCCTCCTTCTCCTCCTCCTCTAGAACTGCCGTGACTCTGTCTGCTGCCGCTCCCATACACAACCCCACCACCACACCCTCCACCCACAAAAACCTCCCCATTCCCTTTCCCATCCATCTCCCCATTCTGCCCAAGCACCGCACCATCCCGCACATCTTCCGGAATGGTCTCCTGTGCTTTCTCCCTCGCCTTATCTGTCCCATCCGAGACAGTCGAGACTACCACACCACCTATCGGACTCCCACCCCCTGCATGCTCCTCATTCGCTCCTCTACCCTCCTCCATGTTACCCAGCCGTGCACCCCCCTCACCCTGCCCCTCGCCCTCCGCCTTGCCATCCTCCTCCCCCTCCTTCGCCCCCTCCCGTGTCTCCCATTGCACTCGCCCCTGCTGCAGTCCCAGCAGCATCGCCTCCACCTCCTTTTCTTTCTCCTCCACCTCCTTATCCGCTTCCTCCTTCTCATCCGCTTCCGAATCCCCCGCCTTTCCCTGCAGCAATTGCCGGCCCGGCTCAACTCCCCGCCCTTCCAACTCTCGCGTCCCCTCCTTCCCTTCCTTTCCTTCCCGCCCTACCTTCGCTTCTCTCCCTCCCCCTTCTTGCCTCCCTTCCCTCCCTCCCCGCTCCTCCCTTCCCTTTCCCCCGTCACTGCCTCTCTCCCCATGCACCTTTCCAAACCCCATCTCCCCGTTTTCCACGCCCCCCTTGCATCCGCCCCCCACTTCCCCATCACCCCGGCCCTCCCCTCCTCTCCCCCCTTCACCAACCTTCCCCTCCCCAGCACCAACCCTTCCCACCAACTCTTCTCCCAGTACAGCATCATCACCCCTCTCATCCCTCACACTCCTCCCCGCCCCGATCCCAGCCTCTTCTCTCACAGCACTCTCCAGCAACCCCTCCGGACCACCCACGTTGCCCCCCTCAACATCCATCCCATCCCCTTCCTCGCCGGCATGCCCTGCACCATTTGCTTGCAACTCCCCTCCTGCCACCGCTTCCCCCTCCTTCCGCCTCTCCCCATTCCCTTCCACCTTTGCTCCTCCGCCTCCTCCCGCCCCAACGCCTCCTCCTCCACCTTCTCCTCCCCCCCCTCCCCTCTGCCCCAGTGCTCCATCTGCGTCTGCTGCTTCTGCTGCCTCCTCTTCCCCAGGCGTGGGTGTTTCTCCTCGTGACCCTGCACACACACCAAATGAGGCCAGCACAACAAGAGCTTCAGCTCACACTACGGCTATGCTCATCATGTGCTGTGGTGTAATGTGGTGTGGTGTGGTGTGGTGCGGTGCAGTGCAGTGCGGTGTGGTGTGGTGTGGTGTGGTGCGGTGCAGTGCAGAAATGGGAGCATCCATCTTCCGAAGCAGCAAGCCAATCACCCACCAGACTCCACACCCTTCCCCCGCTTCTCCCACCTCCCCCCCCACACACACACGCACACACACACGCACGCACCAACATAGGGTTGACTCAACTGAGACGACACAACACACACACACACACACACACACACACACACACACACACACACACACACACACACACACACACACACACACACACACACACACACACACACACACACACACACACACACACACACACACACACACACACACACACACACACTTTCCACCACCTCATCTAACTTTTGAGGCGCCTCAAAAGTCACACACTTTCTTGAAGAAGTGTTTTGAGACGTCTCAAAACACTTCTTCAAACACGTCACATACCGTCCACCACCTCATCTAACCAACTTACCATTCCTTACCTTCTATCCCCACCCCTCCTTCCGCCTCCCTCCTCCTCTCCTTTCCCACCACCCCTCCTCACCTCACCTCGCCTGGGTCGTCAGCCATGTGCCTTCCAGGACCCATGCACATCCACCTCCACACACACCCCTCTCAACCTTTCATGTCAACTAAAAGAATCCCTAGTACCCAACCCCCTTCTCCCTTTCCGTTCCCCTCCTTTCCTCCTCACTCACCTCGCCTGGGTCGTCGGCCATGGGGTTCCGGGGACCGATGCACGTCCACCTCCACGCGCACCCCTCTCAACCTCGCACTGCTCCGCACAAACGGCACTGACCCCGACGTCCCGCCCTCCCTCACGCCCTCCTCCCCATCCCCGCCCCCGTCGTGGTACCTCTCCCCCCCGTACCTCCTCTGCCCATCCACCCGCCCATACCCATACACATGCCCATGTGTCTGCTCATGCTCCTGACCCATGCTCGCCCCACTCCTTCCGCCATCTCCTCCCGCAAAGAGCCCCCTATCAATAGACCCCTCTCGGACCCCCTCTCGGCCCTCTCGGCCGTACCCACCCCTGCTCTCACGCCACCGCCCGCCATGCTCGTCCTGCTCGTGCCTCCGCACTGCTTGTGCTTCAAATGAGAGCGAGCGCGGAGCGACGTTGCGATGGGAGAAGTGGGGATGTGGCGGGGAGGGGGGCGAGAAGGAGGGCGAGCGAGTGGCGGAGGCTAGGAGGGGAGGTGGGATGGGAGGGGGCGGGCGAGTCTTGGAAATCTCAAGGCACGCTGCTGCTAGTGTGGGGTCGATCTGGGATATCATGAAGTGGGCCTGTTGAGGGGGGAGGGGGGGGGGGGGCGGGGGGGGGGGGGGGGGGAGGATGGGGGAAAAAGAAGAAGCGGAGAAGCACGATTGAAAAAGCACAAGACGATGGCAAATAGGGCTGGAGGGCAGGAAAAGGGAGCGAATGGGGGAAGTGCAGAGAGAGAGAGCAGGAGAGAGGACGGGACAGGCAATGCAAGGGAAAGGAAAGGGGAGAAGGTAAGGAGAGGTACGCAGAAAGTAAGATTGAGAAGAAGAGAGAGAAGTAGTAGAGAGTTACAAAGGGAGAGGAAGCGGGAAGGAAAGGAGGAGTGTACAGAGTCTCTAAGGGCACAAGCTTTGCTGTAGAGACGAGTGCCCTGATAATCGTCACCGTATAGTGCCTGCTCACATGACCACCACACCAATGCACCGCCACCACACGCACACGCACATGGACATGCACACGTGCATACACACGCACACATACATGGAATGGGAAGGGACAGAGAGACAGAGATGTGAGTGGTACCTGACATTATTAATGGGACACCACACACGGCGTTAGAGAGCAGTGAGTGCGAGAGGTGTGAGGAAAGAGCAGCAGGAAAGTATCTCTCTTCTTACATCCTTCCACCCCACCCACCTTGGTGCAAGCAGGGATGCGGTGCACATCTGAGAGGAAGCTTGTTCTAGGTGCATCAAAGGTTATGTTTCTACTTGTTCTTATTTCCCCCACCCTGACTCCCCACCCCCCGACCCACCTTGGTGCAAGCAGGGATGCGGTCCACATCTGAGAGGAAGCGCTCACAGCACAGGTAGCACCCTGCATTTGAGGCGCCTCAAAAACCTTGTGAGGCGCCTCAAAAACCCTTTTCAGGCGCCTCAAAAGCCCAGCCCACCTTGGTGCAAGCAGGGATGCGGTCCACGTCTGATAGGAAGCGCTCGCGGCACAGGTAGCACCCTGCATCCACTCGCTGCAGCAGCGTCGCCACGTCCATCACACCCCGCTCGCCACCTATTGGTGCTCCTCCTGCTGCTCCTGCTCCTGCTCCTGCTCCTGCTCCTGCTCCTGCTCCCTCCTCCCCCGCACCAGTCCCAGCAGCAGCAGCAGAAGCAGCAGCAGCAGGAGGAGCAGCAGCAGCAGCAGCAGCAGCAGCGGCGGCAGTGGCAGCCGCAGCGCCCTCCTCATGTCCCCCTCTGTCGTCCTCACCGCGACCCTCTTCCCCAGGGCTCCCACCAGTGCTGCTGCCGCTCACGTGCAAGCTGGTGTAATGAAAGGGCTCAAAGCGCCTCTCATACAGCAGCCGGTTGCACACATCCCTCAGACACATGATAACGCAGGCGCCGCAAGCAATGCTCCTCCGCTGCCTCTGCTGCTGCCTTCTCGGCTTCCGTCTGCGTGCGCTGCAGCGGAGGCGCGAGCGGCAGGGACGGCAGCACCCGCCGTTTCTTTGCCGGCCTGCTGTCACCGCCGCCGCCGCCGCCGCTGCTGCTGCGCCGGCTGATCCCCCAGGCCTCAGCTGCTGCCTCCGCAGCTGCAGCTTCTGCCGCTGCCGCTGCCGCTGCTGCTGCTGCTGCTGTTGCTGTTGCTGTTGCTGTTGGTGCTTGTGACGCCATGGGTGTTGTCGCAGGATTGGTCTGAGAGCTGTGGGGGACTTGATGTGGAGTTGGATCTACAGGGTCCAGACCTGTTGCGGCGGCAGCAGCAGCGGCAGCAGCAGCAGCAGCAGCGCCGGAAGCTACAGCAGAGACAGCAACGGTGGCTGCAGCTGCAGCAGCTGCGGCAGTGGCAGCAGCTGACTCGATAAGTGGGCGGAAAAACGACAGGCGCTCGGAACGATTGGGGCACTCGATGGTGTGGCTGCACGGGAGAGATGGGAGTGATGCGAGGTGGCATGGGAGGTAACTTGTCTAATGAGTCGATTCAGAACTTGAATTCCAATAGCGGCACTCAATGGTGGTGTGGCTGCATAGGAGGTGGAGTAAGGTGGTGTGGCAGGTGGATTGGCTTTAAGGCAGAATAGAGTGGACTGAAGGCCATTTGTCACAGGACAGAATGGGAAGTGGAGACAGCAGGAGAGAAAACCTAGGAATGGGAATCAGGGATGGTGGCATGAGCAAAGGTCAAGAGGGCACTACTCCGATGCACACACAGCACACGCCTGCACTCAGGGAACCACATGCATTATCATGCACAGACGAGCGCTGAGGCCGGAACGGGAGGTAAAGCGGGAAGGAAGGAGGAAGCGAGAGAGTGCGGGAGAGAGTCTCACATGTGGAGGGCGAAGAGGCGGCGCAGGGTGGGGGGTAGTTGGTGCAGGGAGCAGTTGGCAAAGGCGAGCAGCAGCACGGGCAGAGAGGGAGGCAAGTCGGAGAGAAGCATGCGCAGCACTGCCCGCTGCACTGGCTGTGCCTGCATGCATGGATGCAGTACGGAAGGATGGGGTGGAATGATACAATCAGAAGGCGGAGAGTATACAGCTGAGAAGGTTGAGGGGAGGGAGAATGCGAAACAGGCTGACATGGCCGAGGGTGAGAGGAAAGACAGCAGCAGGAGCAAGAGGCAGGGAGTGGGAGAGACAAAGAGAGGAAGCAGCAGGACGAGGCAGGAGAGAAGAATGAGACAGAGTGAGAAAGAGCTGTGAGGCAGCAGGGGAAATACCGTACGCCCCCAGAGGTTGACGTGCGGTAGGAAGAGGGAGAGTTCAAGATGGGGAGTAGAGAGGCACAGAGTGAACGCGAACTACAAAGAAAAAACAGCAAGAACTGGCAGTACAGTACCGTTTGCCACCAGAGGTCAGCGTGCGGCAGTTCAAGATGGGCAGTAGAGAGGGACAGAGTGAACAAGAACCACAAGAAGAAGAAAAAAAAACCACAACAAGAACAAGAACTGGCAGTACCGTTTGCCACCAGAGGTCAGCGTGCGGCAGGAAGAGGATGCAGCGGGGGCCGCGCCTGGCCTCCGCCACGACTCGCACGAGTGCCTCCTCGGGCGAGTGCGAGGAGGGGTCGGTGAGGAGCGATGGCAGCGACATGGAGTGCACTGGCAGGTGCTCCAGCCGGTGCAGCAGCGCTTGCACCAGGTACACCTGTAATAGGGAGGAGGGAGAGAAGGAATTGTGGATGAGGCGTCTCAAAGAATGAGGAGCGATGGCAGTGACATGGAGTGCACTGGCAGGTGCTCCAGCCGGTGCAGCAGCGCCTGCACCAGGTACACCTGTTGCATGGAGGGGAATGAGAACGAAAAGCGGGGCCGGGAAGGGGGAGACGGGGGTATTGGAGGATGGGAGACGCGTGGGGTTGGAATGGGTGGGTGGGTGGGTTTCTAAGATGCCTGCCTCGAAAGTCCATCTTTGAGGCGCCTAGAAGATTGAGAGCGGATGTGCTGTGAGTGGTGAGCAGCGATGGCAGCGACATGGAGTGCACTGGCAGGTGCTACAGACGGTGCAACAGCGCCTGCACCAGGTACACCTTCAGGAAGGGAGAGAAAGGATAGCGGGGGCAGGAAGGGGGAGAAGGGGCATTGGGGAAAGGGAGACGGGAAGGGTTGAGTTGGATGCGTGGTTTTTGAGGTGCCTTGCATGACGATCTTTGAGGCGCCTGAGAGAATGAGGGGTCGGTGGTGAGGAGTGATGGCAGCGAGGGAGCGGGGAGTGGGAGGGGGAGAGAGAGGAGGGAATGCGGAGCGGAGCATGCAGTGCAAGAAAGGGGCTAAACAACGCACCTGGCCTGAGCCTGGAGGGCCGCAGAGCATGAGAGAGGCCTGCCGTGGAGCAAGCTGCAAGGATTGCACCAAGCGGTGGCGCACCAAACGACCGTACTGCCCACCATCACGCACACCCTCCTCCTTCCCTCGCCCTCGCCCCCTCTCCCGCCCTTGCCCTTGCCCTTGGCCTCGCCCCAGCTCTCGCCCCTGCTCTGGGCCCTCCTTGCCCCCCGCGCCTCCACTTCTCTCTTGCTTCTCCGTCTCCTTCTCCCTCTCCTTCCCCTGCTGCTGCGGGTCCGCTTCTTGGCCTTCAGTCTGGGTCCTCGCACCAGAGCCCTTAGCTAGCCCAACCCCACCCTCCGCCTCAGCTGCATCTGCAGCAGCAGCAGCAGCGACAGGAGATCCAGTGGCTGCTGGCGTGGACTCTCCTCCTACTGCTGTAGCTGCCCCTCCCTGCCCGCGCGTATTCCCCACTGCAACCGCTGCCTCTGCCGCTGCTGCTCTTCCTGCTGCAGCTGCCCTGTCTGCTGCTGCCACTGCTCGCACACTTGCTGCGCGGGCAGCAGCCAAAGAGGCACCAGTGGTGGGTTCACGATGCAATGGCACGTGATCATTTGGTGAGGACTGAGCAGCAGCAGGTTGGTGGTTCATGCATGGAGCAACTCCTTTCTCTGCTGCTGCTGGTACTGCTACTGGTGGTTCTGCTACCGGTGCCGCTGTCACAGCACCATCGGAGGCCGTATCAGTGCCGTTTCCAACCAATCCCGGCTCCCCTTCACACGGCCCACTTCCCTTCTCTGCATTTCCGGCCTGCTCGCCCATCTCCAGTTCCTCCCCACCCTCCCCATCTTTCCCACCCACCTTCCGCTCTCTCCCACCCCCATCCCGCGTTTCGGGTGACACATCCTTCTTTTGAGGCGCCTCAAAAGGCTTCTTGGGTGAGACATTCTTCTCACACGCAGCACGTAATCGCTCTGGACTCTCTTCTCTAATCCCACTCGCCTCCCTCCCGTCTCTCTCCTCTCTATGTTCCGCCCCAGCAACCCCACCCTCCTCTTCCACCGCCATCCTCTCTGCACTCTCCCTCCCATCCGCACTAGCCTTAACCCCATTCTTTTTTTTCCTCAATACATCATCACCATCCCCTCCTCCCTCTCCACCATTCACCGCCCCTGCCTCCTCCCTCGCACCTTCCTCCACTTTTTCCTCCTCATCTTCCCCACTCCCATCCTCACCCTCCTCCTCTCCACCCTCCTCCTCACCCCCCTCCTCCTCCCCGCCCTCCCACTCTTCCCGCTCCTCCAGCAACCCAGGAAACCCATCCCCAAGCGCACCCACAACCTCCCCCAACTGCCGCTCCAGCAGCGGAGCCACAGCGGGGGGCAGCGGCGCGGGGGTAAACGACGCCGCGCGGTGCGCAGCAGGCTTCACATCCAGCAGCGCCTCGAG